GTATATTCTTTAATAGGGGAGCGACGGTTGTTGGTGGTTGTTTTAAATAGAGGTGTATTGCAAGAATCTCCGTCGATTATGCTGCTTGGCTTGGTGCATCGCTCGTGCAACGTTGGTGACGGCAGATATATGGCGTGGCATTTGCTGCAGGCAACATATTTTCGCAGATCCTGTGTCAACCGGTTAAAGCCAATAGCTTGTCGTATCCCAGCAATTGTAGACGGAATAATGGTGTTTTCGGGGAGGATGTGAAGGCCGGCGAACAAGGTTATGATGAATGTGATCAGCATGGATGCGACACGCTCGGATAGGTGGTGGAGTTGGAATAAACAAATGAAGATGAAGACGAATATCAATGGTTGTGGGACGGAATCGAGCGGGTTTGTTGCGGCTAGGATTGTTGGCGGTTCATCTATTGCATAGCAGTTATTAACCCTGATATTTTTTCCACATTATTTCTAGCACCATTACTACCACTAACCTGCTGTATCATCTTCGACTACATTATCGAATTCGACGTCGTCAGCCTGGTACATCAATTCATCGTCATCTCTTTCTTGATCCGCTACTGGTTGGTCACCTCCAAATGATTCATACGGCAAGGTTACACCGGAATCCGCCGCAGCTTCAACAACTAGATTCCAACAAGGAACACACAATCAGTTCAACAAAGCGCAACACAGTGCAACATCGCAACTCACAATCAATATCATCAACAAAATTACCATCATCAAATACGTCGGCGTTATGATCAGGCAGCTGTGGATCATCGACTTCCATCTGCATATCGCCCCCATCCACCATCGGCAGAGTTTGATCTACATATGGCGGATCAGTATAATGCAACATTTGATACGAGCGTAAAAACTATTCTGTGAAAGCTCTGCTACCGTACCGTTGATTTCCTGCTGTAAATTATACTGTTCGTCAGCCCTGACATGATCAGTATACGCTCTCAGAGTGACTCGACGGTATCCCTCCGGATGTGCCCGACAATTTCGACAAAAGCATAACATGAACTCGCCGTTCAAGTTGGACATCGTCAAGGAAACAAGGGTACGTGAAGAATATCAGTGGTGGTGTAATAAGTCTGTTGCTTTCTTCGCTCTCTTTTATATCTTTTTCTAACAATCAATTCTTTATCTATATTATAGCACTCATCGTTACGGTGCAGACGCATCAGACTACTTCATTATTATTTTAATTTGCACATTGGCGCTACGCGCATGTTTTCGACCACGTTATTGATTGTTCCTCAGGAAATATCTTGGCGCCACGAGCGCATGATAACAGCGGTATCAACATCACTACTTATTTTTTTATTTATATTAATATAAGCTTCTTGGCAGTATGCGCACGTTGCTAACCACCAATTTATCGATCCTTTCTCAAGAAGCATCTTGGCGACATAAGCACATGATAATACCAAACGTTTTTTTTCTACGTATGAACGTTACTGATCACTTTTAATTATTGTTAATTTAGGCATGAGCACATGTTGCTAGCAAACAAAAGATCGTGGCAGCACAAATACACCATCGAGCAATCGGGTGCCCATATACGTTACTACCCAACGTCCTTCTCTGCGTCGCGTGCTGTTATTAACGAAGTATTCGGTATGTCTTTACATCAGATTATTTATAGAAAAGGAGTCTGTAATAAAATATCAAATGAAATATTTGTATCTGATTTTCGAGGCTACGTGAGCGCATAAGGTTGAGTAGCCTTTTTCTGATAAACCAAAACATTTCTCTCTACTGGTGCCTCGTGAAAAGGTTGTCTTTCATTTCTTCCTTCACGCACTCTTCCTCCCAAATCGATGCGCCGTCTCTTCGCATTGCCTTTCAGACGGCACCATTTCGATCCAATTCACTTTCTCACATTCTGTTAATCAGCGACGCGCAACCATTCTAATTCCGTTACTGGCAACTTCCGATTACACCATTCAGAAAGAAAGCTGCAAAAGTCAATGTGCTAATTACCAACTTTTAACTCAAAATTTGAGGTCTTACGAACTCTGCAAGTTTAACGTTAAAATCGCCTGGCAAAAATAGTGGTGGTAATGAAAAATGACCCCATCTACCATTTACTTTCAGATAAAAATGCTCTTCTATTTTGCAAATGTGCGGCGTCTTCGTTACTTTGGTACTACTTCCTGCTTTGCATATCAGGTGCTGGACTTCTCTCTTGGCCCTGTTCTACAGCATAATGTTTCTTGTAACAGAATAAAATAAAAGTATTTGCAGCTGCTTCCATATATGTTGCCCATCGCTTGACTACTTTATGTTCTTTTTCTTTTTTGATGTGTCCCCTTAATATAAAAGGGGAAGGAGTGCCCGCTTCCTTTGAGCAGGTCATTTCAACAATAAGTCAATAGCGGCAGCTTTTGTATAAACGGTTGAACGATGACTATGCTATCTGGACTCTCTTCAGAAGCGGCTTTTCTTTATTTTCTTTTTTCTTTTATTGCTTAGCATGTTGCAAAATCATACTCCTTGAGTACGTCTGCTGCAGCAACTATGAAAAAACCCGCCCAGATTGAAATCCGTGTCCCCACTCCAATCAATATTATTGCAACCCTTAACCGCTTTTTCTCCTCCTGTGACCCCTTTGCTTGATAAAAAGTATACATTCCCTGAACAGGTACCCCTAATATACTGTCGAGACCTTTGCATCTGGCAAGAGCTTTTTCTTTATTAGCTTGTGGTGGCACCCCCAATTTTGAATGAAGCTGCCTTGAAGTTGCTGCTTTTCCACTTGTAACCTTCATGCTTCACATAGATGTCTACCCCCATATATTGGAAAATATCTTGTATTTTTTAATTTTTCACTTGCAGCCCTTCTGTCCCCCCTTCAAAACTTTGGGGTACTGGCTTCCCCCATCTCCCAACTTCAATTTATTGAAAATCCATAACTTTGAAAAGTTATGGATACCTCTCTACGGGCGCAGTGTTTTACCTTCTGTGTTCGCGTAGTTCTGTTCGCAAAAATAATGGAAAGGAAAGAAATTTGTTGGGAGGGTATGCACACCAGCAACAACGGTGCTAAGGCAAGCTGTTCTAAGCTGAGAGAACCAGTTTAATGGTTTGTTTCGCTCGCCACGCCCCTTTCAACCCCTTGACTAACCGAAAACATCGTTGGCACAACTTTCATGTGCTCAGAAGCAAGGCTAAGATTATGCATGTATGACTCTCGTACGAGCCGACCATCCTCCTTTCTTTTGTATTTTGTTTTTTTCCCACATACATCATACATCACCCACACATACGCCGACCACGTCTGATTGACTTTGAATCGCTACTGCTGAGGGAGGTGGTTGATAAAGCGAGCAAACCAAACAACAGTGTCAACCTGAAGAAGCAGCCTGTATGGATAATAGTAGCTCTAGGATGACGCGCATACTATGCTGAAAACAGCCATGCTGCTCTTTACAATTTATTTTAAGCTGCCCACATCCATCATTGCGGGCTTGGAGGATCGGTAATCACTGATTGCCGTAGGCATATACTCGTGTAAGAGAGCGGTTTTTATTTTCGTTACACACACCACCACAGTTGATACAACAATGGCCGAGACTTTCTACAATGTCTCACTGATCCCATGAAGAAGCTGGCTGCGGCGTTCAGCACATGTTTACTCCAAACAAACAATTTATTGTTCAATATAAACAACATTGACCCGAACCCTGTACAGAGACCCTTTGATCACTGGCTTGGCCTTTGCGCTATCCCAATCTAATACACGCCCAGTCATCCTGCTGATGAGATATCACTATCTGCTATCATCCCCCGTCCCCTACGTTCCAGATACTTTTCCTTTCATGCATTTCTATTTACCAATGTAACTAGTAGTGACAAGACACCCATTCTAAGTGCATCATCAGCCGTAAATAATCATCAAGAGCTCACAAACGACGTCATATCACGTCAGCCCATTTGGGTTATTAGCCGTTCATTGCTCTACGATGTTGTTTACATGAACTGGATCATTCGAGTATAATGTTTCCGTGCTATATGGTGGATACTGTCTAGTCCCTTTGAAACCTTTGACCGGTCTTTCTTTTCCATCCACAAATCAATAGCTTATGCCTGGCAAAAAATCAATCGGCATCAATACAAGCAAGAAAACAATGCGCCATATCGAGCGACATTTAATGCAAGTTACTTATTCCCCGGACGTTTTCAATTTTTTTTGAAAGTCAGATAGGTGGAGGGAAGCAGGCACAGAATAAAGGGACTTGAGAGAAAAAAGAAGTGCAGCAGTATATGTTTCGTCAGTGAACATTGTAACTACATGGTGTGCCGTTCATCTTGAGACAAGGTAATTATAACAGTGCATCTGTAAATCGTAAAGATCATTGAGAATGGGGAGCGGTAGCAAAATAACACAGGGAGAGCAAAAGCGCGACTTTATTTTCTTACTATTACGAGTTTGCATCTGCACTTTTATACTAACGGTAACTGTCAAAACCTGCTCAAATCAATTCTAATAGACACAATTGTAACAGCGGCTCGAAATGAAGTTGGATTCTACGCGTGATGGACATCAGCGACGATGTATGCGTGAAATTGGCTCGGATCATCGGCAATGTGGATGCAGATATCGAGCTTCTGGTACTCGGAAAAAACATGTGCCCCCTTGGACGATCTTTGGTGCCCATGCTGGAGGTAGGAGCGATTTTGATGTCTATCGCTTTAAATAATTCTACATTTAAGCTGATATTTGTGAATAGAAAGAAGCAGATTCTATCACTGCTTATGGTTTCGAAGCCATTAAGCGTCTTAGAACCGCAATTGAAAGGCTGGAAAACGCGTTTGAACCGGAGAAGCTTGGTGAAAAGGCTTTGCTTAAGCTTAAAATGAAAGATGCCGATTTTTGTCTATATGAACAGCGCTATCAGCTGCGTCATATACGATTGACATCTCAGTAGCGTAAGGTCATTATCGATTAGTAGTTCGTGAAAGCCTGTGCCAAAATTGAACAATTTTTATAGGATGCGCCGCTTGCCGCTCGTTGCCATTAAAAACAAGCAAACTATTGGAGAATGTGAGCTTTTCACCAAGTACTTTGATCCCATCTTGGCATCGCTATTCTCTGATCCTGACAGAAAAGTGCTCCTTCGCTGGTCCAACGTCATGTCTGATGAAAATGACAAGATCCGCCCTGACGCCACAATTTCCAAGCTACGGCAGCGCGACTTTGGGCCCAGTCTTGGATATGGAGAGGTCAAAGTTGCACGTCCCACCATCGATAACCACGCGCTATGCCACGATCTTATGCGTTTGGCAACTCTAGCAAAGGATACCATTGATACCAATGCATTGGAAGCCGCTCTGACCTTCCAGGTGCATGGTTTTCATATCACTTTTTTTCTGACGCGCCTCCGCCACGATGGAATCTATGTGATGCAAGAAGTTGCGCAGCTTACATTTCCCCGGTTTTTAGAAGAGCTAGCAACATTTGTGTCCTTGATCAATTTGCGCACATTGATGACCCACCTTCTGGCGTTTGTGTCAACCTGTCCGTGCCGCTTCTTCGTGGCAAGAAAAACGGCGCCCCACTCATCACTCCATTTATTCTTTGATTGATTCAACCAAGAATTGCCACAGCTTCTGCGCCCTGCGCTTTGAATAAATGCATCCATTCATATATATCTCCACATACTGCTGCCATCAATTCATTTCGTGTGAAGAATCCGAGCTTAATTGTTCAGATAAAATAAGAAAAAGTGAAAAAATCAAATTTGTAACTTTCTAGAAATGACCAGGTTGTAGGTTGTGAATTGATTGCATTATAAATATTTTTATACTGAGTTGCTATAGCAGGAGTGTCAGCGCTTGTAGTCTATGTGATTATCCGAGTTAAGATATCCATGTCGCCGCAGTAATTGACAAATTAACTGAGGTAAATTTCCGCATCAATCATGACAAAGCCGTATATGCACAACGTTGTGTCTACTTACTTGGCCACTGTGTATCCACCGAAGGTGTATCACTGGATAAACGCAAAGTATGCAACATCCAAAATATCCCTACACCTACAACTGGCAAAGCTATAGCTGCCTTCTGTGGTACTATCAATTACATGCGCTCTTACCTACCAAAAGTCTCTGAAGTTATGGCACCTTTAGACCGACTTCGCAATGCCAAATCTTTAAAAGGTTTATGGACACAAACAGAACAACACAGTTTTGATACGTTAAAGAAAATGCTACTTGAAGCTCCCATCCTGCGCTTTCCCGATTTATCACACCCTTTTCAGGTTGCAACTGACGCTTCAAATACCGGGATCGCTGCAGCACTTTTCCAAGTCATAGATGGTGAAACACGTCATATTGCTTTCATGGCTAGAGCACTCTCCAAGTCAGAAAGATCTTATAGCACTACACGACGTGAGCTCAGAGCTATTATATTTGCACTTGACAAATTCCACAAATATTTATATGGCAAACCGTTTAAATTATACATGGATCACAAAGCATTGACCTTCCTCCATACACAAAAAATAGCCAACGCTATGATGATCAGTTGGTTTGACACCATCTTACAATACGACTTTGAAATTATTCACCTACCAGGATTAGATAACATCCTTCCTGATCAATTATCTCGCCTTTTTCACATCGATGAAAAAGAGCTGGAAGGGGGTACATAGTGCTACGCAAATTCATACAAATAATAACACTGTACAAAATAAGACTCTCACAGTAAACACACAAACAAGTAATAACACTGACAACATGGATGATGACATCTATTTTGAACCACCCGAACATGGAAGACCGGAATTACTCAAAAAAGCACATGCATTTGGTCACTTTGGCGCTGAAGCTATCACAAATATTTTAGACCATTAAGTGTGGAGAGACATCCTAGCAGATTTTATTACAGCGTGGCAAGGTAGATAAAAGCTTAATAAGTGTCAAATTCTCTGTCTTTTAGACGAAAATGCATCATCAACATATCGATGATCTTTTCCTCCTCATCTTCTTTACATTCTTTTTCACACATCCGCCCTTTTCCACGGTCGCCTAACGTTCTTCTTCCCTCTTAAATTGTTTTATGAACTACAGCTGCTGTTAATGGTAGCCGAAGGACTCTTTTATCCAAAAAGTAAGTTTTATCATTGGCTTTTATCTCTCTGTTTATTATGATTTCTTTGAGTATTGATGCTGCAAGCTACGCTTAGACAACATACACCTTGTTTGAAAAATGGTGCGACTCTGAAATGGCCTGAGTTCCAGAACGCTAACGGATATTCAATTATCCTGCTTCAGTCACCATCACGGAGCCGGACAAAATGCTTACCGAGATATACTCACTTTGTACTCCTCTTTTTCATTAGTGAGCAAAACAAGAAATGACAGCCGCCGAAGCAACAATGACAAACGAGCCTCAAAAAACTTCCGTAATGATTGATCCTGAAACGGGCAAAACAGTTCCCATGAAGGACGGCAAACCTTGTCGCGTTTGTACTGATTTCAAAACATGGTCCAAGATCGAAAAACAGAATTCAAAGCAGCCAGCCCATAGTGCTGTTGCTACTTCTGCCGCTGCGGAAGCTGCCTCTCCCGAATCAGCAACCAAGGCAAATACGTCAAAGTCTACGTCAAATTCTACTGAAGAACAGACATCAAAAATGCCAGAAGAAGAGTGGCGAAAAAAGAACTGTCCGGCTGACGTAGAAACACTTGGCAACGCGACTTGGACACTGTTACATACAATGGCAGCATATTATCCAGAGCGGCCAGCACCCTCACAGATGGAGAGCATGAAATCATTTATTTCTTCGTTTTCGGAGCACTATCCATGCTGGTTTTGCAAAGTAAGTGATGATAGCCTTTTTGCATTAGGTTTTCAGTTGGATCGGCTGGCTGGGTCTCAATCCTTCCAGCAGCGGCTGACAGTTAAATTCAAATAGGATGATTTCAAGAAAGCTGTTGAAAGGGAGCCAGTACAAGTAGGAAGTCGTAAAAAGCTGAGCGAATGGCTGTGTCGTCGTCACAACGAAGTGAATGAGAAACTGGGAAAAGAACAGTTTGACTGTACAAAAGTATTTGAACGATGGCTGAACGGACCTCCGGATGGCCGATGCGACTAAAAGAAAAAAGACCCATGTATACACACTGTGATTTTTTGAATAATAGACATTGTAAATCCTTGATAATAGATCTACCAAACCTTTCAACCTAACAATGAGAACATTGTTTATTCGACGGAATATACACAGTACACATGGGGCACCATTCAATCAGGTGTCACTTCTTCCTGCAAATGCGACTTTTCCAACTCAGAGTAGTGTGGCAAATGAGTTTCTTGACTTTATCCTTTCACTTTTCATATTGCCAATATGAGCTACAACACGATGCTGCCACTGGAAATCATTGACAATGTCTTGTCATTCGCGGATTTTCTGGAACTCTATCGCTACAGAGAAATCTGTCGCACATGGCAACGGTTGGCCGAGCAACACATTTACGAAAAAGCCCGCGTTACCAATCTCATTCTACAGACAGAAGTAGCACATTATTGCGAGCAGGAACTTGCCATGGTGGCACATAGTTTTGATCCCGTACATAGAGTCATTGAGTTTCGACCACGCGATGCCACCTTACCCATTGCCAAGGACGCCACTCTTCCGCCCAGCAACTTTCGCACTCTTCCGCCCAACATCTTTCGCCGATTGGTCAAGCTGTTTTTTGAGCCGTGGAAACACGTCCCTATGCCAGCTGGGCTTCCAGAGAAATACCAAAAGCTGGTACCGTCATATGGTCAATATAACCCTGCATTGGAGCAGCGCTATATGCTTCCAGAATCATCCAGCACTCATTCAGCAGAATATGAAACTCACCTTATCGCTAAAAGAGGCGTGATCATGTCGTTTTCGTATGTGCATCGTGCAGACGTCCGGCAGCAACGTCGGGAACTCGAACGCCAAACAACAGCAGGTGCCATAAACGACAACAATGAGCTATTGCCGATAACTCAACGAGGATATCCAGCCTCTGTTACTGCCACCCCATGGCTACCACGGGCTTGCGGCATCCAGGTAAACTGGTTGAAAGCATCCATTCCATGGCTCGTTTCTGGTTTCCATCCGTATGTAGCAGTACCACATATATATCCAGAGCGATATAGTCATTTACAGACAACGCTTGCCGACAAATATCGTATATTTCGTTACTACATATACTCAGAGCCCGTAACAAAATATATTTTGGATGACGAGCAGCATCAGAATAACCGTCTGAATAACAGCGATCGCTTGCCAAAGGATTTGGTAAACTATCTTAGAATGTATACGGACGAGGATGATCCATCTATCGAGTCACAACTCTCTTTACTGGAGCGCACATTAGAATACGAGAATATCGACTCGCGCTCTCTATGGAAATATCGATATGTACGTTACGGCATATTTACTAATTTTGCGCCCGGTTATAGCAGAGATATCATCATCGGCCAGATCCTAGCTGCAGAAAAGCGATTGCAGCAAGAAAAAGAACGGATTATAGAACTGTACAAGTCATCCAAGAACTAGCACCGATCGTTTTTTTCAATTCCCCCGCGCATTCCTCACCTATGAACATTGTCTATCCCTAAACTCTCTCTCCCTTTTTCTTGCGAGCTACTATTATATCTTACACCTTACATTATTTTCCCTTACATATATGCTTGACACTTTTCCTTGCGCCATATAAATGCAATTGTAAGAAGAGTGAGTTATTGTTGCAGTGGGGATGGGAGAGATTGATGAATTGCTTTGATGAGTAGTAATATTAACAAATATATGTGTATAAAGAGGGGTATGCAAAGATTAAAGTAAAGAGACATGGTTTTTCTTGGTAGTCTAGGTTACAAATGCGTAAAAAATTACACTTGGAAGTCGCATCCGTTTTAGCGCATACATAATACTGGCGACCCTGATTTGGCCCTTGTGTTGTTGTCCTTCGTATACCTGGTTGGCCACACTAACAATTTGCTGGATCAGAAGGTCCATTCGAGCTGCTACCACGACCACGGCCACGACCGCGTCCACGACCGCGGGTGCTGCTTCTGTTGGAACCTCTAGAACTCGAACCTCGACCAGTTGCACCACCACGACTACCTCGGCCACCTCCTCTTGTTGATGTAGAATTATTGGTACTCGTATCTCTGCTATATGTTCTCCTCGCGTTTTCAATGTACTCTCCATAGTCAAAGTATGTTTGCATGGAGTATCTTAGTTTTCCGAATTCGGTTACCGTCCTTGCAAACATCTCACTGTATCTCCGGATGCTCTGCTGAAGGACTTGTTCTGACTGCTTGGTTCCTTGACAAATTTGTTTCAAATCGGCTTCCATCTAAGAGCGTTTTTCAAAATTTTTGTTAAAAAAACATCATACAGCTTTCATCATTCGATTCTCCTGCTTATATGGACTTACCTCACGACGTAAGAAGGGCTTACTTAAACTTGTTTCAAATCCGATCTCGTCGTAGCCCAGCACTAGTGCAATTCCAAGTGTTGATGGATTAAAGTATTGACCGTCTTTGTAAACATAACGTCGATCGCAAATCTTTTTGATATGCTCTGCGATAGTCGCGTCGGTACCAATCTCATTCTTTTCCATCAAGCTGATTAGATCGTATTCCGTCAGTAGTTTAGGTGGCTCTGTTTTGCCACTGTTAAGTTGTAATACTGATGGCATGAACTGTTCGTTTTCTTGAAAATTTGGAAGAACGTGCGTGCTCCATTTGTCGTAGGTGTATACCTCGAGGTAGTTGCGTTCGGCAATGATAAGGCCTTTTGCATCAAACATTTCACCAGCGATTTGGACGTCAACGACCGTTTCATGTCCCACGGCATCCTTCCAACAACATCCAAGAAAACGACGGACAACAAATTCGTAAAGTCGGCGAGCGTCACCACTCAAGTTCATGTCGTAAGCAGTCGGATGAATAGGTGGATGCGCCTTGTCGTCGTGTCCACCACTTCGGGGTTGTTCGAACTCTCCATCTCGTATCCTTGAACGGAAAAAGGTTGCAGTAGCCATTAGTACACATCTTTCATGCGTTAAAGCAATAGAGATAGTGTTATCTTCTTACAGTTGTGCGTAAGTACCCCAAGACCTATCGTTTCCTTGCATCTGAACCAGTGTCATAAAATCGAAATTCTTCGGGAACTGATCTGTTTCGGTTCTTGGATAGCTAATTAAACCATTTCGATAAAGGTCTTCTGCAACCTATTCATTTTCCACTTAGCATATTGGAACCACTGCCATATAATCCTTTTTTTTTCACAAAGCATAAGTGTATCTTACACTCATGACTCGGTCACCAGTAAAACCTAAAACACGAGTGGCAAGCTTCTGCATTTCAACTGTTGTCAAAGGCAATGGCTTCCTAATATACAGAACAACATGTTACTATCTTCGGCATCGTCCATTTGACTTATAAAGTTATCTTTAGCAAAAGAAACAAAGATGGAAAATTACCGTTTGGTAACCCTCTTTTTTTGAACACGCTTGACCGTTGCCATTGGGTTTTTGTAACAGCTTTCATAGAGAGCAAACGACGACCAATAATCAAATATATGGCCTCGCTTCCAGTTGAACTTGACAGCTTTGTCCGTTTCGTCGTTCTTTTTTGCGGGTTGCGGTGCATATTCCATGTCGATCCTCCAGAATTCTTCAGAGACAAAGTTCTTGATCGCCATATATCGATCGACCACAAAGCCCAATGTAGGAAATTGACAAGAGCCTGATATAATATGTTTATCGTTAGGACATCCATTTGATACCAAAACAAGAGAAAGCTCATAAGAATCCAAGTCCTACCATAGCTCACAATCGCCCTTTCAGTGTTATTGAAAAACTCGTTCAGCCGGATAGTTTGTAATCGCGTGAATGCTGCACCAATCCGCAAATCCAGTTCTGACCGTGATTCTACTGCAGCAACTTGCCGTCTGTCTAGTTGAACGTGATTGTTGGCTGCATGGTGGATGGGTCTATGTATGTAGTATGTTATATGAGCATACAAATATGCATGGATGATGTAATCGCTTCTGCGAAGACAACTTACCCGGCTTGCATTGCTGAAAAACGAGCCCGCCATACTTGTATCCGACGATTCACTTGAGTACATATGCTCTCCACTTCAGCACCAATAGCTTCCCCTTCTCTATCACAATCCGTCCATATAAATAGGACATCCGAGTTCCGTGACAGTTGTCGCAAATTTGCTGCCACGCCTTCAGAATTCTATTAAGGAATAGGAGATGAGTCCCTATGAGCCCCTTCATACTTTAAGCAGCTGCCGAGATAATGAAACAGAAGAGCTTTGCGTTACCTTTGAAACGTTGCGATATACAGGCGCCTCAAACAAATCCTCTGGGCTAGTTCCTTGCCAACTTTTAAATTCACGACCGAAATCAAGCTCAAGCATGTGTCCGATTAACGATGTCATTGTCATTGCTACAGTTCGTTGATTGAGTGTGTAATTGAATGAGTAGTTTTTAACATATCGGTTATCAGTTGGACTCTAATCATATAAAAGTTGCTCTTTGTTAGATTTTCCTTTTGTTTTCCTTCTCTTTTTCGTTCTCTTCTTTAATCGCACCGATTCTCTTTTTTCTTTTTTAGCTAATGCTGCGCACGACGCTGCATACATAGATACTTGAAAAAATTCAACAATTTTACCGTTCGAAAGCTGGATTGAGACAGAATGCCAGCAATTTGCTTGGCAGCACTTGGTTTCTCGGCCACGCATAAGATTCTCATAAAGTTGTCATCACGACGCGGTAGCGCGCTTTTCAGGCAAAAGAATATAATTTCGCGTTATTAAAATGGTCGTTCCTTTTATTTGGACCCCCGCGCACCTCAGTCACGAGATTTGGCATGCATAATGATGTCACTCACTAGCGAATAACCCTTTGATAGGTATTATCTAATGGAAGATATCTTGGTAAGAGAAGATCCTGTACAGAAGGCATCTTTTATGTCCTTTTTAACGGGTTTGCTCAACGCTGCTGCTCTGAGCACTGGCTAAACATTCTTTCTTTAACCCAGCAGAAAGCGTCGGGTCGCCAGCCGACGAGATCTATAACTGCGGCCTTTTTTTTTTGAACAGTCGTGTCATCAACAACGAAGCGAGTATCTGTTGCTGATAATAGAAAAGCGGTTGCTCTTTGACTATTGGGAAGCAGTAATTATTTTTATTAATTGGAAATTAAAAGTGAGCGCTGAATAAGCATTCAGTACAACAGCGGTCCATGCAAAAATAATACATATTACGATCGAGGTTTTGGAAAAAGAAAGCACATTTTACTTAATATAAAGCTACATATACTACTGCAGAACATAAAGAGTCATTGCAGGGATTATCAAGCGCAACTCATTTCCATTTTTATGTACTTCTTTGTTAGGTCTCAGTTACGCGAGTGCCTCTAAACAACAGCATGCACAGGCATATGTTTACATTGAAATTAATCATTTATTTTGTTCTATTTAATCAAATATTTCTGTCATTACCGGTAGCTACAGTACAGTATTGATGATCGTTACTCTTACCTCTTTTCTCTAACCGGATGTAACGCGTGCTCCTCTATGGTACGAGTCAATAATACATCTGTTGTTGTAAAATACTAGAATGTCAATGACAAATATACTTCCTTCTTTGATGCGATGTGGAAAAAGTAAGCAAACAATATCTAACCTCTTTGCATCATGACCTGTTACGCGAGTCCCTCTATAATATAGCATAGTAAAAGCGGGATAACATTCATTAAAGAAGCTTTGCTGGTACTGTAGCATGAGTAAGTGCTAGTTGGTAGATACCTCTTTTAATTATGTCCTGTAACGCGAGTACCTCTACAACATAATGTCCGAAAATCATAGAATATATCATTACGATGGGCCTTTCTACTGATTAGCACTAAACAATCATATAGCTAGTAGGTACTACCTCTTCTCTTCTCTTTTGTTGACATGGGATCCTCTTTCTTCGTTATTATGGGAGGTAACGCGTGTCCCACTTATATTAATTTGATAAGCCCACATGAGCGGAGGTCATCCATTTACCCGGCTCTATGCCTTCTTTTTCCTCTCTGAAAGTCTTAACGTTTGGACTCTCTGTTACCAAGAACAGCAACAGTGCAGAGCATCAACGTACACATAGGAAGGATCAGAATCAAGGAAAACGGGCCATGGAGAACAGAATTTCAGTAAGATCAATGCTTCTTGTTTTGGGAGAAATCTCGTTCTGTTCAAGAAAAGAAGGTAAAGGTGAAAAGAAAGAAAATGATCTTCAAAAAAAATATGAACGTGGCGGTTTTTTATGTGTTTTCGCTGAATATAAATAGAGACAGGAAGGAACCAGCAGTACATTACCGCACGGTCAATGTCTATGTGCTAAATATTAAATATCTGCACTCTGATAAATAGAGCAGCTGCTGTTTTTTAAGACTTTTATACCTAATACGTTGCTCATCATAATCATTAGCAGCACACGATTCAATATAATAAGTGATTAGTAAAGCAGATGAAGTGCCGAATGTAATTATACTAAGGGATGCTCTTCTAATATGATAGCAGCTGTAAAAGCACCAGAAGAAAACGTTTTGATTAGCAAAACACACCTGTATTCATCATTTGACGTGAACTTAATAGCTCACATATCTACTTAATACGCACACCAAGCCACGTCTAGTAAAGCGCCCATCTTTGCATCTTATTTTGTATGATTATTGTATGTGCTGACCTATAGAAACACATAACCATTGATAGTAGCAGTGCCCACTTGGTTAGATATTACCATTTTTCATGGGAAAACCAATATGTATCGGAGTGATATTAATTATTGAGTTAATGAAGAAGTGAGGTAAAAAAAAGCATAGGAAACAAGCTAGCATTCCTCTTCCAGAGCCAGTAGACTTCTTTACTGCTGTCAGAATGAAGAATCTAGCGCACTTGTTCAAGTGCTTATAGGGTATAACTGATAATAAACACTACCTTTTTCTTACAGAAGATCCGCTCTGTATATAAGAAGAATCGACATAACACCCTTGATTGGGCAAAAAGATGCTAATGCGAGGAAAAGAAAAGGTGTAATAGACTATTTATTTGAGAAACGATGCTCAAAATGAAGAGGAACAAGGGATCGCTCTGGATGCTTCGTGTGTCTTCAGATACCGCTCGGATGAATAAGGAAAAGCTGGCTTATCATGTTATATTTTCTCCCGCCTAAACGAGCTTTTTATTTCTCGAGAACGCATGCACGATGAGTGTATAATGATGGCATAGTGTATTTATACTGTCCCAAAATGTAAGGCACAGATTCAAAAAGAGCCGTTGAAGATGGTGTTTGCACGGTCCACAGTCCACAGTGACTCCTTTAAACAATAAAACCACGTGAAGCGAGATTCTTTTTGCGTCGTGCGTGCCTGAATTATGCTGTGCGCAAAGACATCCTTTTCCCCAACTCCCCTAGCGCGTCCCCCTTTGCCTGTTTTCTCTCTCTCTCTTTCGCTCCACAAACACAGCCGATCTAATACCCCTTGCCTGTTCTTTTCTTTTCTTTGCTTATGTCCATACCCAAACGCAGTCAATCGTTACTGCAGCGCTCATGGTCGTTCCCCAACGCCCCTCTTCCCGAGTGTGACGCCCGAAAACGATACAATACTGCAGCGTATGTGTTGCCACCGTTACGGTCGTCAAGTCTGGCCCCAGACTATTCTGAGCCATTAGTAACGATAGCAGCCACAACACCACCAACAACAACTCATCTGGACAATGACAATGATCTCAACGATGAAGAAGCATCGTCATTACTCGAGTGGAAACGCCAGTCTATTTTACTGCGTGCCTCGGTGAATATACCCGTGTCCGACGAAAAAGACAAATGCCAGGACATGGCCGACAGACTGTGGCGAGGAGATAAAGTCCCAGAAGCATCATTTCTCGGCAATGGGTACGTTTCCTGGGTACATACAACAATGAGCGGTGTTATAGACTTCTCACATGCGTATCTTAATTAAATATGATTCGTGTAGTGATCCATTCTCGCAATGTACACTTGAGCTGTATCTTGTAAAATATGACTTTGGCGGTATGCGACTTGATGAAGCGTTCAGGTGAGTTGAAGCATTCTATGACCGGCATCATTGTCATATATTTGGATCATCATACATACTAAACATGGACATATACTTCAATGTACATCATACGTCCAGAAAGTTGTGTCAGAAGGTCTATTTCAAAGCAGAAGCCCAGGAAATTGATCGGATACTGGAAGCATTCGCGCATCGGTACTGGTCATGCAATACTGAAGCCCTGTGCGGTTCTGCAGGTAAAAGAAAAAAAGACTACACTAGCGGTGCTGCTAAAGAGGCCACATTTATCAGTTATCCACCCCGCTTCCGACGCATACACTAACAATAAAGTCATAAATTTTTTTAAAATTAATAAAAATGTATTATACAGATGTTATCTACGCTTTAATATACTCGCTGATGCTACTGAACACAGATCTACATATTGCCAAGGGGCACACACGCATGAACAGACTCACATTCTGTAAGAATACGATGGAGACAATACGTAACTTTGTACCAAAGGAAACTTTCACGGAATGCGAGGTTGAGATCGACACGTTATTAAAGGTAATGCAACTTGGCACAATAGGCCTGATGAAAGATACACTTCCCACTAGACCATATATGAAACAAACAAGTTGACTGGAAATTAGGATTTGTACAATTCTGTAAAACAACAAGGATTTATGCAGCCTGAACACACCAACAACAGCAGTAACAGCAGTAACAGCAGCAGCAACATACCGCGTACTTTGCTGCGACGGATAGGGTCATTTACTCAAAAGGACAAAAGTAATAAATCGACAGTATGCATGCATGCGGACGGCGGTGGAAGCGACAAGTCACTTGTCTATCTGGAGGGCAAGATGCTCTACAAGGCTGTACCACCACGGCCTGCTTCTATTAATAATACGGCGAGGCACAATAACAATAACATCAATAGACGCATCACCAAACGAAGCAACCACCACCACCACCATCATCATCATCATCATCACGAGAGATATCGCGAGTGCTGGATCTCACTGGGCCCGGGGTTCCTGCAAATAGACCAGCACTTTGGCGCACGACTAGGAACAGTAATTTATCATGTGAAACCCAACAGACAGGGAGCTCGCCTTTATTAATAATAAAATCATTCCATTTTCCCCTTTTTACCCGATTAGAAAACGTCATGTCACGACCTTTTCCACGCCTTTGCCATTCCACATGCACCAAGCTGGCATCAGAATGGTCCGTCACCCTTTGGGTTTCTGTTGCAGCTGCCCGATGGTCACGCCTACATGTTCAACTGCGACTCAAAAAACCAGGTGCAAACATGGGTGCGGCAGTGCAACTACTGGGCAGCCAGAGAGACCAAGGTGCCTCTGCCGAGTGGGGTGGGGAACTCGATCTACTTTGGATGGGAGCCGGCCATACTGAACGGACATGTGTGTCTTGACCAGGTCGAGATTCAAGACTGGTTTTCTCCGCTGCTCAATGACAGCAGCAGCCATGCCATGGGTACATGTAATGTGGACGAGCACTACGACACGCTGCACCAGTACTTGAACGCCCTGCGGACGGAACGTGAGCAGCATGTCGCGCTGTTTGACCCGATAGATCAAGTAAGGGTTTAGCTTTAGTACCCCCCCCCCACCCCAATTATAGACGCGATGGAGCCTTGTGTTATACTGCCTGGCAGCATATATACACACGGATAGTGCATATAAATTACCGTATACGACGACGCTATAGACCCGTGTGAAACTGAACGGTGGCGCATCATTTGTATATTCCACCACAGGTGGCCGTAGGTACCACCAAGTGGGCTCAGGTGCACGCTAATTGGACTGCCCGAAAAGGATTTCTCGACCAGCAAATCCAAAAGTACAATGCTTACATCAACGCGATTGAGGAGCAGCGGAGGATGCCATTTGCTGGGTTCTACGACGATGGTTCGTCGTGGCTTTCTGACATGGACCTGTTCAAAGAGATCAGTGATGAGCTTGAATCCAAGGGATCTAAGCCGCTGTTATAGTAGAAAAATACAAGTAGTTCACCCAAAAGAGTTATAACTGTATCTGCAAAGCGTGGGGAGGGTGTGTGTTGTAAATTAGGTAGGACAAACAAAACAAAAAAGCTGTCAACTTGAGTTACGTAATGATGAAAGAAATTTGCTCAGGTGGACATGTTTGGCTAATGAAAGCCGCGGTTCTGTCAGCTGGTTTTTGGGATGCGCTGCTTGTGTTTCCTTTACGGTTGGCTGGCCGGATCCAGCCGGCCAACAGCCTTCGGTGAAAATCTGATTGGACGAGAGGCAATAGAGTCATCGCAACCCTGATGTGGGTATCATAGTTTTTGCTCAGAAATTCCCACGGATGGTTGAGGGGTCGACGGAGTCGGTCTGGCCAATCAGCGTGTCAGGGCTTATCTCGCAGCCTGTTATCTCCTTTCCATCTTTGGCCAATGCCGGCTGAAAGATCATCTTGAAATATCGTTGCATCGGAACGATCGAAAATATACGCTTTTTTTAATAATAACAATACAATAGCCGATCGTTCTTGCTGCTCTTGCTGGGTGCAGCACAGCCGGTGAGTGCAGCGTCTGCTGGCGGAGCGGGTGTCTAGAGAAGAGAAGCAGCCCATGGAGGACAGCAGCTGCGGTGGTCAACGCAAGCAGCGAAGAAGGGAGACGAGTGCAAGAAGCAAAAACACCAAGGAGAGCAATCAAAAAGGTTTGTTGTGCAATGACCAAGTCCACCCTCCTGGGAAAGTGTCCTGGGAAAGTGTGGGTGGATGTGCACCTCCCCTCCCCCCACCCACCCACACGTGATAAGATGATGGATCTTATCAGCAACCAATAAATAACATAAAAATTTAGGCTGTGTTGAACACCACAACACCCCTTACTTCTTCCCCTTCTTTTCCCTCTTTCCCACCCTCCACAATTCCATCCACTCCACCAAACCCCCCCACTCATCCCAACCCAACTCAGCAACCGCAACCGCAACCGCAACCGTCATGGAGCACTCTCACCTAATATCTGAGCAAGTCTTCGGCTCTAGCAAAAAGATACAATTCATCGGCATGTCGCCCATGGACTCGCTCTTGAGCGTCGTTGACTGCGCTCACCGCATACACCTGCCCGATCCAACGCAACAACGCAACCACAAAAACAACCACAGCCATTCTCCTCAGCAGCAACGCATGTCCATCGAATCATTACTGGACTCAAACGACTACGACAGCGAGAAGCGACGGTGGCCTGACGACAACGATGGGGAGCGTGCTTCCAAAACACGACGTCGCTCACCGCCTTCTTCACCCGCTCCACGTACGACAACCATGACCTGTCTGCATGCAGCTGTTGCGCAAAAGTCCTATGGCTCTGAAAAGCGCTTCCTGTGTCCGCCGCCTATCGTGTCTATCGACAACAACGACAGCCATCCGCTCGTCTCAATGGCGGTCGTGTGCGAGAACGGCGACCGATTCCTGGAACAAAAGATCCTGCTTGACAACGAAAGCCGCGGTAGTTTCAAATACCTTCATGTCACTGGCACAGCCAAAGCAAAGCAGTTTTATCTCCGAGTTAGCTTGAGCCCGAACAACAATACCAACGCCAGCAGCAGCAGCAGCAGCAGCAGCAGCAGTAGTAGTAGCAGCAGTAGTAGTAGCAGTAGTAGTAGTAGCAGTAGCAGTACCACCAGTGTCTCTTCTCCATCGTCACCATCGCAACCCTATGTCACCTTCTTCTCCAACCCCATCTCAATCATCTCGAAGCCATCCAAAAAGACGTCGAAAGCTCGCAATGTCTCCAGCTGCATCACTGCCAACTCCCCCGTCTCGCTGTTCAACCGCATCAACTCACAAACTGTCCGCACCAAGTATATGACAACTGAGAATGGTCAGCTGTGCGCAAAGAACTCCACATGGACACCCTTTGACGTCCTGGTTATACGTCAGCCCACGAAGGATTATGTCGACGAAACGATGAGCCCAGGACAACAGCAACAACATAGCCACCCTCATCAGCATCAGCAAACCACCTACAATCACAGCAGCAACAGCGGTAATGTGGCTGTGACATATGGCTGTGAAATCGTGCTCAAGGACGCCCAGTCCGGCACCACATCGCCTCCCATGATCATCCGCAAGGTCGACAAGGGCCGCATCGCCCCGAGTGCTTGTGGGCCCGTGAGCCAGATGCAGAAAATTGCGCTGCAGTTGGTATCCGAGACAGGTCCTCCTGTCTACCTTAGTGCCAGCGGCAAAATCATGCAACCTTCTTCAGCATCGTCGTCGTCGTCGGCTTCTTCCTCATCCTTGTCTCCGCCAACTGTGGACGAACAAGACGCCATGTGCAACACATTAGCAGCCACCTGGCTTGTTTTTTCACCTTCCAAAATGGTCATTGACAAACCTGGCCAAGACCCCAGCGAACGCGTCGACGACTATCTGTGCTGGACCATTGTCGGAATCGCCAAATTTGAATATACATTCTACGAACCAGCGTCCATCATCCAACAACAGCAACAGCAGCAGCAGCAAAGCAGCCCATCTGCGTCATATTATAGTGAACCCGAACAACAGCAACAACAATCATTGATGGCGGTGCCAAGAAGTCCGCCGCGCATGACGATGGTACCTCAGCCTTCGCCTCCACCGTCTCCGCCACGACGCATCATGCCTCTTCCCATGCTGACTTCCGCCGAATACCGCACAGCTACACATTGTTTGGATCTGGTCGGTCAGCATCTAGTGCAGGCAACTGTTGGCCGTCTGTTTGAATTCTGTCTTGGTTCGCAAGGTCCGCTTCAGGTCAATGTCCAGCAGGAAGATGCGTCTGGGATGCATCTCTCCATCGATCTGCCCCCGACACAAGACTTGCTAGTTGCCAACCACGATCTGCTCGTTTCTCGTGAAGACGGCTCGCGTTATGTGGAGCTAGCACTGGTTCTAAAGCGTCATGACGGCACCGTCTATACAACCGGACGAGGTCTTGCTTGTGATGTATTGCCAAACGGTGATACTAGTCACTGGTCCATCGTTTCGATCTCATCAAATACCTCAGTGAACTCCCCTACCATCTCCTCCTCTTGCTCAACGTCATAGTTTTCCTTCATCACCCCCTTACGCACACATAGTATACTCCCTCGTTTTTTTCTTTTATATCCAAACTGTACATTTGTCTCCGCTGTTTTTTTCACTAGTATCTTTACCTCGTTTATATGTCACCTTAGTTTCTTCCAATCTGTATATATGTTTCTTTGTCTCGCTCTCTCCCTTTCCAGTTACTTCATAACAAATTGTTTTATTTTACAGTCTACTGTATGTACTAATATGCCCATATAAAAATTAATATGAAGAACTTGCACTTTTATTACCGTACGCAGATTATTACCGTGTGTTGTTTATTATACTTCGAGCATGCAGAAACTGGGATAGTACACATACACACAGAGGAAAATGCGCTATATGCCGAATGGATCCGGGGACTAGCTATTGACACGAATTGAAAAGATGTATAAACTCCTCCTTACACAAAAGGACCATTTATTTGTCTGGTACTACAGCAAACATGTTTGTAACAAAATGCTGGCTTTCCACTTACATACATCCACGGTAAAAGCTTGTAAATGAGCCAATCTCACAGTTAGAAAATAGAAAGACCGTGTAGTCGAGGCTACACCATACTGTCAAACTCATGATATACTGTATGACGTCAAAGCAAGAACATTTGACGACGGTGTGGACCGTTAAGTTTATGATGGATCGATCATTAATATGTGCCAACAGACAGAGAATAAAATTCAATGTTAAAAATAATCATTTTACATGCAAACTATATATCATATCCTTGATGTCCATACTCTTTACAATTATCTGAGCTTAGTAAGGTCGCTTGCTTTCTTAGCTATGATAGTGAACGCACCCATCTTTGCCTCGCAAAGGGAAGAAAAACTTTTTTTTTGCCATACATGACATTGCGTACACGAGATATCAGCTTTCCCCATTTTAAATTCTTTTTTTCACACGCCAATACCTATAGATAAAACCGGGCTGCCATATTTATGCAAAGCTAAATTTGCTATCAAGAAAAAACATGATTGATAGCCGAACGAATAAGACTAATAGATCACATTTAATAGTCTGTGCAACAAACAGAGAAAATAGCAGCTACTATGTCACCAGTTCGATATAAGACTGCTTTAACTACTATTACGACTGCTGCTGCAGCTTCTGATACTTGTTACTATGCGAAAGCAGGATCAAACAGTGATGATCAAGCCGTTGTGAAACTCATCAGTAAGTAGCAACCACCGCTTACAGTAGCACAATCAACGATCTTGCGCATTTCTGCCAATTCTTCGTTCGACAAAGTAATATAGTCACTTTTGACATTCTGCTCGATCTATCGGGCGCGCTTGGCATCTGGGGTTACAAAAAAAAATCTTTTCGGTGAGCTAAAATTAGGCAGAATCCAACTCTGATGGTGAACCCCCTTCTTGGTTGTGGGTGCTTCGATTTCGTTGATCATCGGGCGAGAAGCGGGTTAAAACAAATATCGTTTTTTGCGAGATCTGCTGGTGAATTTTGATGACGCTAGTCAGGAAACCATGACTTGAAGGAGAGCTTGTCAAATGATGAAATAAAAACTTGGAACGGAAAAAAATCATTTGGCGGGAACAATGTATTATAGTATACACTGGCAGTATTCACTAGGCGATATTCGTTATACCCAGCTCTCTTGTGGTCTTAAGGATCCCGTTCGTTTCAATATCCAAACCCCATGTGGAATCTTTCATTTGATATGCTGTGATTGGATGAATCTTGTGCGCACGGCGGAGCGTTTCGATATCGCATCCAGAAAGACCTTGATAGCGAACTTTGCCTTCTATCACCGGCTCTACCATAGCCTTGACAGTATTCTCGATGGATCTTTTTGAAATCACGTGTACAGCAAAGATTACAAGTCCTTTTGAACGGCGTAGTATTGCTACCATTCCTATTTTTCAAAGCATTTTCTCTATTAGTAGTTATAACGTACGTTTGCCGATCAGCGCGAATGTATGTAATGCAAGTAGTCTTGTCTCCAAGAAGCTTGAGACTGGCTTCGCAAGCATTGTAAACATACTCTGTCCTTCCAGATTCTTCAGGTACTCACAAAAAATATTATGGCTTTTCAACACGAAGGAAGCCGAGTCCCATGCACAAAAACACCTTGTCGCGCTTTCCTGGCTAGGCTGCTGATAAGGCTTTCTATATCACCAACGCCTATACATGTTGGTTGTATCCCGAAAATTGGAGCCAATGCTCAATCTAGAACAGTCAGGTTGGTTTCTTCGTCAAAAAGGTCCGTAAGAAATCACTCATGCAAATATTCATAAAGAAAATGTATAGTCGTATATGTCATCAAATAATGCATATTCACCGTTGCATCTTTTGGACTGCCATCATAGCTACAGTGCTGCTAACAAAACTATATAAAATGTTTATGATATGAGTGAAAAAGCGCAATTCATCACCTCATGCATTTTAAACCAAGTGAGTTTATCATTCAAATCTCAGATTATTTAAAACGACCTTCCAATATCCTGTTAAGCTCTTACAAGCTCTAGACAGTAATCTGTGATTATGTATGTTTTGTCCGTACTTATCTGCCTTACAAACAATAAACGAGAGGGTTGACGGTTCAGACGTCAGGGGAAGGATGTAGTTCCATGATAACTATATTCTGAGCAATGAATAACAGTGACCATGTAGAGCAAGAAGATGATTTTTTTCCTTTGCTGACAAACTGGGTAAGACACTTTAATCGAATGCTAAGGCTAGCTAACACGGGGTTCAACCATGGCATATAAACGGCACTATAACAACATGGTACATGGAGTGTTACTTCCTCATCAGATCATAAGATGGATCGTACTAAGCTTGTTTTAATTGAACCAAGCAACAGTCCTGTTCAACAAGGACTACGCGCTTGACTTTAAGTGAACCATTTTTATTATTCGGCAAACATTTTGTGAAAATATCAACTCGCTTACTACTTACTACTTTACCAGATCATGACGGAAACATTGATTTTTGTGGTACTAACGATTCTGCTGAAAGAATAATACTCGCTTTCTTCGGTACGAGTGCCTCTTCATCTTTTATTCAAGCAGGGAAGATTTTATATATTATACTACGGCTTTTTGAGCTACATGATAAGCACTGACGCACCATAATTTCGTGTATGATGATAAACGATTAAGAGTCAATATGATATCCATTATTATAGAGATGACGCTCCTAGGTACATAGTTTTAACTCTTATCATATGTAGCCATTATTTCAGAAAAGAAAAAAAAGCGGCTGCAAGCAGTAAGGGAGATGAGATGACTTTACAGTCTTTATTTTTGCTTGCTGTTCTGATCAGATTTGATTTACATCAATTTTGCTACATCCTACAAATATATATGTGAAAAACAAGTATATTTGATGTGTAAAAAGCTGCAAAGCTAACATCAATATGATAATAGCGATTATTCATGGCTTTACTTAAGAAAATAGCAGTAATACATACGTATCATCAACAACAGTATTATATATCCTTTAAAGCTTGAATGATGATACAAACATATTCCTGATGAAGATTTATAAATTAATTTATATATGTCCTCGTTGTATGTTTATTATACCATCATGGAGCCATCGTCATCTAGCGAAAGGCTCTGCCCACTTGTTCAAGTGTATGTATAACTCAATAGAGTATTCAAAACTGAACATCATCTGACAAGATGATTAAACAGCAAACTTATTCCGAAAAACCGTCATCGTCGTGGAGAAATGAAAAGTGACTGGCGCTATTGCTTCGATATGCGAAATCAGATTGTATACTTCTGCTTTTGTGTTTCAACTTGAGAAAGAGCACTAGATACCTAGGCAATCTAGTTGATTGTCGAGCTTTGCTTAAGCAAGTGCTCCAAAAATTCTAGAACAAAAACAGATCCTCAGATAAGGAGCACGATGCAGTATTCTACTTCCAAAAGGTAGATCAGTACCAATAACAAAGTTAGAAATGACAGCTTCTTTTAAAATGAGAAAACAAAAGTTGCTATTATGGAAGTCCTGCTTCACTAACCAATTTTCATATCAATCACATGATACTGTAGGTTGCTCTTCTGCAAGGTTCCTCTACAACATGCACTGATGAATTGAGACTATACTTTTTACTTGTTTGAGAAAGTACGCTATCATCTTTTCTTGAAGGCGTTGCATATAAAGGCATAAGGTAGGAAGAATTGAATTCGCTTATGTGGAGAAAAAAATGCTAGACAAGCGGAAATGCCATATAATTTTGCGCTCGACCGGCGGTGACTTGCAATACGAAGACGAGCCAGCTGGTTCTCTCCTTGTCTCCCTCTCTGTTCCACTCCTCTCTACACACGCACACTTTACACCTTATATAGAAAAAAGAAAAGCGATATCATGGCAGACAATAGTAATAACAATCAAACACCCCGTGCTGATTCACCTGCTACGAATTCATTGACACCCATGGACCTTGACGTAAATGCAGCAACTACACCTGAACAACAGCAACAATTACAAATGACACCAAGCGGATCAACAGAGTTTCAAAATCCCAATCAAGTAACATCCCTGCCGCCACCATCGACACCAGGTCTTGCAAACCAAGAGGGAGGAGTGTCACCAGCAATGGCCGTCGCAAAAAGCGCAGCTGCCGCTGCTGTTGCTGCAGCATCGTCTTCGCCTGCATCGTCTTCTTCAGCAGCAGTAACAGCGCCCACACAACCAGTCTCAACAAAAGCAACACCAGCTTTAGCATCAGGATCAGCGTCAGCGACACCGGAAGCTCCAGGTGTAGCAACTGCAACAGGACCACCTCCTCCTCAATCAACGGAAACCGATTTAACCAAACGCGAAAAAACACTGGCCGAGTTCTTGGCCATGATGGATAGCTACACACCTATTGTAAGCAATCGCCACCATTCGATCAGTTTAATGATTGTTTGTCAGTATTTGCTGTTACATATGGGTAATGGACGGTTGGCTTATTTATATTCTCGTTTTTTCTGCGTGTGGATGATTAGATACCAGATGCTGTTACAGACTATTATCTGAGCCGAACAGGTTTCGATTGCGACGATGTGCGAATGTGAGTACTCATTGTATATCTAGTTTACATCAGTGAGGGTTTGTTTCCTCAATACTGACTCTCGTTCATACCAAATCCATAGAAAACGATTGTTGGCGTTGGCAGCACAAAAGTTCGTGGCGGATATTGCTACGGATGCATTCCAATATTGTAAAGTGCGACAATCAGGAAATCGTAAAACTGGCAAAGTAAGTACCCAGCATTTGGACAGTGGTAGTAGTAGTAGTAGTAGTAGTAGTAGTTGGATTAGCAAGGGTTTGCTGATATAAAATGTGGGGTTGTTATTATGATTTTATAGGATCGCAAAGCAGTGCTTACTATGGAAGATCTATCACAAGCTTTGGCAGAATACGGTGTTAATGTCAAAAAGCCTGATTATTACTCGTAATTTGTTCCGTTATTAGTGGGGAGGCATGTGTACAACGCACGGACACTGGGCCATCAAAGAGAGAAAGAAAGAAAGAAAGAAAATGAAACAAAAAAATGTATATAAAATAAAATTCCCATTCTGAAACCTCGTTTTTGTTAAAGTTACCGGTATTATTGGTTTTGGCTTTACCTTTCAGTCAGCACTCAATGAGTCAATCATCGTCTGGTTCCTCCACTGATGAAGGCGACGCACTCGATTTGCTTTTGCACGAAAAAGAACAGCTTCGTCGACAACAGCAACAAGATCATGACGCCGATCTAGCCCTTGCTCGGTACTTGCAGGAACAAGAAGATTTAGCGAGCCGATCTCCTCTGCCGAATATCTGCGTCGATTTAGAAGCAGATTTGGCACTCGCCAAACGATTGCAAGAGCAAGAAGAGGAAGAACAGCGGCAGCAGCAGAAGGAACAAGAGAAACGACAAGTACAAGACGTTGGCAGTTCTTCTTCGTCTGCCATTATTATTCAAGATGCTTCACCTGATCCAGTTCATGAGCTCCTTGATCCCAACCCAGATCTTCATGCATTATTCCTTGCTTTTGATCATCAGTTCTTCAAGGGTCAACTCGCTTCGGTAGAGGTGAGCCTTTTTTTTCTAATGGAATAATGGGTTTGTTGGTTGGGTGAGAAGATAAAGAACTCAAATGTGGTATAGATCAAGTGGTCCACGCGAATGACGCTGTGGTAAGATACTATGCACCTCCTCAATCTTCTTTGTATTTGCAGCCTTGATTTCTCACGCTATTTACAAAGTGCGGGTATATGCGAATACAAATCTGGAGGATACGTTGTCATTAAGCTATCGGAGCCATTGTTAAAGTATCGACCTCGTGAAGATATGGTCAACACGTTGTTGGTAAGTTGCAGATGCGGCAGTAGTGCTCACTTGAGACGAGAGATTGACAGGTTGATTTCTGCGATAGCACGAGATGATCCACGCACTATTGTTTATTCAGATGAGGAATGATGATCATGGTATGTTGTTAGAGTGGGCCAGACCCTTCCCAGCATCTTCATGGACTTTAGCCACTTTCCCAGTATAAAAAATAACTTAGCAAGTGCTATTCAATAGACGGACATGGCCCCGAATTTCTGCGAGAGGCAGATCGAATCAATAAGACAGCAGGAACTAATATTACGGTATACCACAAGTAAGTTGTGTCACTATAAACAAAAAGAATTCTTTGCTGCTGGTTGGGCTGATTATCCACCTCCCGCCGATCTGTCATACCTCAAAAGTTTCCGTGACGAAGTAGATCATTATCGACGCCACGTCTGGAAGTGCGATGTAAGGGTTTTTCTTTTCTTTGTCACAATACTGTATACAATCGGTAGTAGTATATGGAAGTTTCATCACCATGGCACTAACTGTATTACTAAATCTACTAGGGACCTTGTCTAGAGAAACCGCCGTTCTTTGGTATAGTGAAACGATCGATGAATAGGTAGGAAAAAGGATGCTTCTTGCAGTATGGCGCAAGAGAGAAAACGGTATGCATAATACATATAAACCAATGATGTTTTAGACCGCCCCAACCAGCAGATGTATGGTTCCACGAGCATCAGATGACATGTGGAGGGACATACACCAAGATAGCCGAGCCTGAGGGCTATAGGGACAAAAGCAATAAGCGGCCAGTGTCCAAGATAACGGACTTCTTTAAGGATTGGGATGAAGAGGTGCCAGTAACAGCAACGACATCATCCAACAAGAAAGCCAAAACAGTGATAGATAAAAAACCAAGAGGGCGAAGCAACTCCGATGCATGACAGTAGCAGCGGCAGTGTGTGATGGCCCGTTTTTCTTTCTTTCCCTTGCAAGTGTTAAAATATCCCTTTTCTCTTTCTTCTTTGTTTCCCTGACACTCTGCGTCTTTCTTTATTTCTTTATTCCATATACCCCTTATCCTTGCTTGCACACACACACGCACGCACGCACGCACAGTATTCAAACAACATGAGTAACTATGTAGCCAAGCTCGCGCTTGGTAAAGCAGCAGACCACATACAGAGCAAACCATCCATCGTGGAAAGAGATGTTGAGATACAAGCAGCCATCGAAGCCGTGTCGGCAACAAGCAAAAAGCACTGGTGGCGTAAGCGGCCCCAGGCCGATATCATCCTAAGCGCACACGACCGTCAAGTTCTGCGTAAAGTCAAATCGCGTGCATGGTACCTTGACCGCGGATTTCAGTGTTGCTGCTTTACTGTGGGTCTCGATGGTATTATCGGTAAGCACCATCGTTACTCTTGGCGCACATTGATTGGGCCTTGAGCTCATGCTACTGTCAACCACCCCCCTCACCCCTAGGTCTATATCCACTGAATATTCGATAGGACTTATTCCGGTTGTTGGCGATGTCATTACCCTATTTTTGGCGCTGAACCTGGTGCGAGTGGCCGCGCGAGCCAATCTTCCAAACTATATCATTTTCAAGATGCTCATGAACGTATTCATTGATTTTGCGTAAGCCTAAACCTATTTGTTTGAGGGGGTTTATTAGTGTAAAAAAAACAGTAAGGGAAGTATATGCTAATAAGGGCGAGGTTGTTCACCCTTCTAGACTTGGATTGACGCCGGTGGCAGGTGATATTTTGGACATTGTAAGATTTTGCTATATTTCTTTTTTGCTCGTGTTTCCCCCTCATTCCTTTTGATGTGTGTCAAGAATCAATATATATTGACACACATATACTTCTGGATGACGAATAGCTCTACAAAGCGAACTGGAGGAATGCACTTATTCTGGAAGAATATCTCTTCATCCGTCGACGTGACGAGCTACGAGAAGAAAGGTCTGCTGGAGGAAATTATGGAGGCACAGGGCTTGGAGGGGCAGCGGCTATCACGGCAGGGTCATCATCTGCAGCCAAGAAGAACAACAACAACAACGATGAAAATGGTCATACCCACAACAAGGATAAAAAAGGCAGCAGCAACAACAACAACGGCAGCAACCAGCAGTCAAATAAGAATACAAAGGGAAAGGTGCACCAATATTTGGTACATCAAACATTACAAAACCCCACTAAATTAGCGGGCGCTACGTCAACAACACGAAGTGGGCCACGTGAATATGCTACTTTCATTGCCATCCCTCAAGAAGCATGATTTGCGTGACACATTTATAAAGAATACCCGTTTTTTTTGCTATCTCGACTAATTAGCAGTAACTTTATGCACAAGCATGTCTGAGAAATCCCAAATTGCAGAGATAATAGAACGAAGATCGTTGCTTACCGAACCGTCATTCCATAGAGAATGATTGCTTTAATAATGATTATGGTGTAGCAATACACGTTAGATACATATTAATACTACCGTTATATTATGCTATGATGATGTGTGTTTGTGCTTACAGCGTTATGGCTTATGCTGTTGTGCAATCTACTAGCGCTTCAACTTTTCGATTTCCTCCTGTCCTTCCCTTGCTCGCAACTGTGCTTTTGCCTGCATTTCTGGATCACCGGCCACATAGCCAACGGCATTCGTCAGTCTGCCCATCAAAACGTTGTACTCGCCATTGATCCAGCTCGCTTCACCAAGCCGCTGTCTTGACTCGGCCTCATTGTATGCCTGATCAGCATAAGCTTCTGTCGTTCGGCCCTGCGACTGCCAGGACTCGATACCAGACAAGTCACCCAATGCTGCCTGCACTTGACCAGCGCGTCGCCACAACGAACTCTTCCATTTGGCCATTTCAGGATCGCCTACAGGGTTTTCGACAAGGTGCTCGGCTGCGACGTCTTGATATTGTTGCACATGCTCTTGGCGTGGTGAGTAGGGTGCTTGATTCGAATCGGGTTGTAGGCGGTAACGTTCTCGCAGCTTTTCTTTCATTTGCTGTTGCTGAGTTTTTGGTGATGCTGGTGGTTGTTCGGTCTCTGCTGTTGGCGACAGGTTGGACACAGATCGTGGAGGCGGTGGTGTTGCCATTGCGAGATGCTGCTGGTGCTGCTGCTGTTGTTGGGAAACCGGTGAGTGATGTTGCTGCTGGGCTACAGACTGGGGAGGAGGAGGCTGCTGTTGATGCATGTGTGCTGGCTGTGGAGGGGCGACACCAGGTTGCTGTTCTTGCGACGGCAACGGCTGTTGCACTGGTGTTATTGTCGTGGGCTGCTGCTGTGGCTGTGATGAAGATGGTTCTGTACGTGTTGGTGGCTGTGCAGCACCATGCGACGTTGAAAGAGACGTAGGAGACGAAGCTGTTGAGGGCCGTAATGGCTGATTATGCTGTGGTTGCACCACTCCAGCAATCGGTTGATGTACCAGCCCCTTTCTTTCGTTTTCTGGTGTGGATGACATGGTCTATCGTTGTATGAGTGAGAAAGAAAATCAAAGAAAATAAGAGAGAGAAAAAAAAAGTAGAGAAACAATTGACATGAAGGTCCAAGGGTCTTTCTAGTCAAGTCATTGGCTCGACGGTGGTAAGGGAAAAATCCGCCGATGATGGGGTGTGCGACTTAATGCGAGATGATGCCCGACCCCAAATCGGTCAATATCCAGCAAGCGGAGTTCCCCATTGCGCATGAACTCGGTGGCTTGTTGTCTGGTTCCAGCCCGAGAAATTATTCAAAGTGCAGCTTGACACTTCTTTTTTTCAAGGAACCAGAACTTTAAACCATATATAAATATGTCGGCAATGGAGGTAGCAATGACCAATTACACGCCGTCCAAATTTGCGGCGGACAATGCCTTGACGGATACAGACGTCATTGAAAAGTACAAGCTTTCGGCCAATATCGTCAATGGTAAAAGATCTATTCTTTTTGTGTGTGAACAGGTTGATCTGCTTAAGGAGAAAAAAAAAGACGTTTTCATTCGAGCTAACGCTGTTTAATATTTCTGTCAGCTGTATTGCCTCAGGTTCTTGATAAGGTTGCGGTTGGAATTTCGGTTTGCGATCTTTGTCAGTTTGGTGATGATCTTATTACTGCCTATGTAAGTTTTTTTATATTTTATTTATTTTATGCCTGAAACGCTTGATATGGAAATCTAGAAGTGCTGATTTGGTCTTTTTGATTTTTAGGCCGACGGTATGTACAAATCAATGGAACGAGGCATTGCATTCCCTACTTGTGTCTCTGTCAACAACTATGTGCAATACATGTCTCCTATGGCCGATACCGATTATAGCTTGCAGCCTGGCGATGTGGTTAAAGTGTAAGTTCTTTTTATTCGCCAAGGAGGAGACAAAGGGGAAAAGTACATGACCAAATGCTTACCATTCGCCATTACTTTCTAAACGTCTAGTGAATTGGGTGCTCACATTAACGGATACATCTCTACCGCCGCACATACTGTTGTTGTCAATGCTAATCCTGAGCAACCCATCCAGAACCGTGCCGCCGATGTCATTTGTGCCGCATACTGTGCTCAAGAGGCTGCACTTCGCTTGTTGAAACCTGGCGTCAAGGCATCCGAAATCACACGTGCCATTACTGAAATTGGTCTTTACTACCGTTGTCAGCCTGTCGAAGGCACCTATTCTTCCCCAATGAAACGCTTCGTCTTGCGTGGCGGCAAGGATATCGAAAACCGATTTGCTAACGAGTTGTTTGTCGAGGATTTGGAGCGATTCGATTTCGAAATTGAGGCCAACCAAGTTTACCAACTCAACATTGTCATGACTACAGGTGACGGTAAGGTCAAGCCTGCCGAGCACAAGCCTTGCGTGTTCCAGCGTGATGTCAACAAGTCATACCAGCTCAAGATGAAGGCTGCAAGAACCGCTTACAATGAAATCAACAGCAAATACACCGTTTTCCCCTTTGCTTCTCGGTAAGTCCACCCTTGTAAGCACTGAGAGATGTGTTGTGCTCAAGAACTCTTTTTTAACGTTGTCCTCTCTCCTCTTCACATAATATTGCTGTATTAGATCGCTGTCTACCAACCATGCTCGTCTCGGTCTAACATCGCTTATGCAGCACGAACTTATCACTCCCTACACACCCATGCGCTCTTCACTAAAGACGGATCTTGTAGCACAGTTTAAACTTACAGTCTTGGTGACACCCAAGGGATTGATCCGCACCACATTGCCCATGGCTCTCCCCTATGTCCATTCACAATACTGCATACCAGAACAAACGCCTGCTTCTCAGATCCTTGCTAGTGAGGTGCCCTTGGAGATCATCAAGCCTGTCAATGAAAAGTCTTTACCTCAAGTAAACATTAACTTTGGTGAACATCGTATAGCGGTATGTTAAGTTCTGATATACGTTAGAAGAGTACGCCGATTGCTTGAGTATGCTCAACTGATATGGTTCTTTTTGTATGATCAGGTCGAGGATGTGGACATGGCATAAAAGAAAACTGTACAAAATAATATTTTCACCAATTATTTAAGCTAGCTGTTCTCTACCGATCATTGTATAAACATTTTCTCATATCTTTCTGTGCATCATATATAATAACTACGCAATAACAACCTTTTATCGACACTTTTTCTTATAGAATGGATCACATATATTGCACAAAGCAACTTTATTTGACTCGTAACATTGCATCCATCCTTTTTGACTACATAGACCATACAGAGAATTGGAGCTGTGTATAACACGCTGAATGAAAAAGGTATTGCATGGAAGGCGTCGTTCGTTGAAAAAAAAGAAACCACAGCCGCGTGCTGAAGCGAAGAACAATGGCGGATTGAGTTGACGTCCATAGACCAGCGTTTACTTTTACATATAATGTCTGGACGGCAGTACCACGATCATAACATGCTTTACGTTACTTTTATTGTTTTCTATTCGGTAAATGCTCAACCACTATCTGATTATGTTGATACGGCATCATCTCACTGCTTTGCCTCACTGAAAGATCTAGACGTACATTGTTATAATTAGGCAATTTATTGTCATCAATGTTGGAACAAACAAGGATGCCTGCAAGGATCCGAACGGTGTGTTCGTATCAAATCACCAATAATCAGATCATCATTGAGTCGAACGTAGAAGAATCTATGGATTATCTGTCTGGAGACCATATCGACGAGTTCCTGACACACTTGAAGGTATAAAAGAAAGGCAGCAGGAAAGAAGCGGACGACCGACGACGGTATGAGTAGTATTAGCAACGATGGCAATGACAGTTCTGTAGCCCACTTATTCCATACTACGCAGGAGAGGTTCACTAGCTTGTGCGAAAAGTTTACAGCATAAAAAGACCTACTCCCCATCAAAGAAGCTGCTTGAGCGGACAGCACAAACTATTATCACCTAACTTGAACGAATTCCAATGTGCTTTCTCTTTGCAGTTTACGGTGACATCATTACAGCACGTTTCTACCTAGTCCTTTGATCTTCAATCATGCTTGGAACATTTGAAGCATGTTTCCTGATTTACAACACTAGGTCACGCTATATCTATACCTTGCTTACATATATATATATATATACATATGCACTAACGCATGTAGAAAGTAATTAGAGAAACGTGGCCCACGACGTCTGAAGGTGACGGACGGATCAAAGATGAATCAGCACCCTGAAAAGATAAGGGTATATGATCCCAAAGAAAAAAAAGACATCCTCTCTTGCTTCTCCATTTTTATCTCTGTACATATATCATAGCATTTTCTCTCTCTGTGTCTGTATTTCTATCATTTGCGTCCAATAATAGTCATTGCTTACTATCATTCAATCACTAATTACATTATGCATTTTTCTTCTCTCTTGGCGGGTAATGCAACAAATGTATGCAGAATCAAGCGCGTTCGATCGAATTCATAATTTCAGAGCGCGGAGGGAAAGCCCACTTTTTCTTTTCCTTGTCCTCCGTCCTAATATATACACATACACACACACCATGACCGACTTGTCACGACCGCTTGGAGAAATTGAACAAGACATTACCAAAATAAATGAAACCTTAGCTACTGTCAGTCTCATAATTACTCTCTTTTGTTCACCTGTACCTTTTTCCTTCTTCACAATTTACTAACTCTCGAGACAACAGATCTCCGAAGTACGATCAGCATTGAAAGATTTCACGGCTCTTGTCCTTCAAGAAAGCAAAGGACCTAGTTATGTTCAAGCATTTGGCGATCGACTGAATCACGTGAAACGAGGGTTGAATCGGCTTGCTGCAGAAAGTGAAGGACTCAAAGGTACTCGCGCATTCAGTCTTCTTTCTAGATTCCTCCCAGGTTTACAAGACGATATAACTGTTACTCCTAACAACGCTTCTCTTTTTTAGGAGGCCTCTCTTATGCACAAGTGGCTGCTAATAAAGCCTATCATTGGCCAACTATCAAAAAGTAAGAGACCAAGTATAAACGGAGAGATGGTTCTAACTGACCTTTGTGGGGCATACAGTGCTGTAGAAAACAATGCTGCTGCTGAAGAACGAAGGCAAGCAGAAAACAACATGGGCCGTCCCAAGGATCCATGCTTGATTATCAAAAAGAATACGGATCAGGCTTTCAAGCAACTTTCGAACGTCGTCTTGGATCAAAAAACCGCATCTACTACATCAAAGTATGGGGGCTCTATCTAAATCAAGTACACTCCACTTGGATGACAAACGTCATGTATTTGAAGCGGCAGTTTGTGGTATACTGACTATCTATTTGCACTTGAACAGCTATATCACCACACAAATCGATGAATGGCTGGCCCATGAAAAACCTACCAATGTAGAATTATCCGTCACTTTCAACAAGCCGGAACATGAGACAGTATCCGGATCGTCATGCAACTTCACAGTAAGTCATCTTTCTATTTTAACAGTATATATATGGATATGCATGATACAATGTCTGATGTCTGTACCTAGATCACTGTACACAAAGCCTTAACGGCATCCCTCGATGTGGATTACTACCGCGGATCAGATACCATCATGTTCCATAGATACGAAATGAATAGTGCAACAGAAGAGGTAAGGGGTGAATTAGAGTAGCAGAAATCGAAAACATCCTTCTACCTCCTTTGTTTCGTCGTTATCTCGAATGTAACATTCTCAAAAGGTGCCATCTCTAACAAAACTAAACTGATAAAACTATGCATATACAGAGACATCCCCATCATGAACAGCCTCTCATATTCCAAAAGTTGAATGTCCTGGCAGACATGGCGTTCCAAGACATGGGGGTGCTCCCAGCAAGAGAGGCGTTATCAAGCATATTACACTGGATTGCAAGTTATCACAACTTGTTCACCGAACCGTGCTTCCGCTGTCATCGACGATTGCAGTTTGACTCGCCCCATTACAAGTATTTGCCTCCGATGGTTCGAACGTGGATTCGGAGAAAAGTAGATTACATGGAACCTGATCGTGAAATGCCTCAAGCCTATACAACAGCTGGTATCGCGTATCACATGCTCTGCTTTGTCGCAGCAACCAAAGTCGCGTCCAAGTTAGCCCAATAAAGAGGATTATGTGTGGTTGTCGTACAAAAAGGGGTGGGATTTATGACAGGTTTGAAAGGCGGTGAGGTCGAAAGAGGGGCAGGGGCATTGCAGATGGACGTGTGAAAACATAGGAGAAAAAACAGCACGCCATAAATACGTCGGAGGAGCGGTACTCAGTGAGCACCAGCCAGTCTAATATGAACACCAACATATTTCATTATTGCCAGTACTTGGTCGAAGCCACAGCAGGATGCAGGCTATATGGTATCTGTTCCATTCTGACAACATGAAAAAGAGACAGGCAGCGTTCTCGTCTCATGCAAACTGATAAGGGAGACGGTTGTGGCGTGTCCCGTTATGGGCGTGAAAAAGATCTCGATTACCAATGTCAAAAAAGGATGTGTCCTTGTTCTTTCTCGTTGTAAGTAAACCATAGTCAACAGTATCAGAAAATAGTTATTAGCGATACAGCGTAAAGAAAGGGGACAGTGATGCGTCACACATATGAAGGACATATGCTGTATGGGGTTTAAAATAAGCACGAAAAGGGAGTGTGCCACACAAAGCACTCTCTTTTCTCTTTCTCTCTCTTTCAAAAGCGAAACATAGAACAAGATAAGCCCACTCACATTTTTTTTTGACTCGGGGAGTACCACATATGCTGCATACACGTTATGTTATTGTCTCCTTTCGTTCTACTTCTTCTTCCTTGAATGTCAGTTTACCACAACGATAACAACCCCGTCCCACAACCGCCCACTATTGCTGACATGAGTAGCAGCAGTAGCAGCAACTACAGTGTGAGCAGCAACAGCAACTGTAACAGCCCAGAAGCAGAAGTGACAAAATGCCAACAACACCACCCATCACTACAACAGCAGCAGCAGCAGCAGCAGCAGCATCACTACCAGCAACATCAACAGCAATCACGTATGGACGTTTTTCGCTTACCAGTTGCTACTACTGCCACCACAGCCAGCCCACCTACTAGCATTAGTGCTGCCCAGCTTCAACAACCAGTAGAATACCCTCCACGCATTCCAGTTGTCATGCGACATCCACACTTGGTTGCTTCCGTGAAACAGTACCGGTCTGAAGCGCAGCGACAACAACTGCAACGACACATCGTATCAGAATCATTTGTTCCCATGGCGCCGGATCTGATAAAGCCACCGCGACGACGACGGCGCCCTCCCTTTTCGTATTCGTCATTGATTGCGCAAGCGATATTGGAGGCAGACCAGGAACGAATGACACTCCAAGAAATATACAAATGGATCATGGATAAATATCCTGCGCTCTACGATGAAAATGATACGGGTTGGCAGGTACAAAGGATCAAACTACCCTTGTTTTTTTTTGTTATCGGTGGGTTTGCGATAAGCTAACAAGGATTGTTTGTAATTCTTGTCATAGAACACAATTCGTCACAACTTGTCTCTGAACAAGTGCTTCAAAAAGGTCCCGAAAGCTGAGCTGGACGGAACAAACTCCCGCGGGAAGGGAGGCTACTGGACGGTGGATGCAGTGTATATGGAAAAGTTTAAAAACGGTGCATTTGCGAGAGGCACCTCGTCCACCGTCTTATCGCGGAGGAAAAGTCCTCGGCAACTACGCATGAAACCGCCACAGCCGTCATCGTCATCACCGTCACCTTCCACTGCTGAAGGGAACACGCCACAGCCATCGTCATCGTTACCGCCCCTTTTGCCAGCGCCAGCTCCATTGACACCCCAGTCTCAGCCGTCAGCAGCAGCAGCATCAGCAGCAGCAGCAGCATCATCGTCTTCATCGGTGTTGTTGTCACCGTTACCGAGCATACTATCATCTTCGATGCCATTTTCCCACCCCGCTTCATCAATTACTACTTCCTTATCACAACCTCCGTTTCCACCACCACAGCAACCATCATCATCATTAGCATCCTCATCACCTATTATTATTACCAAGGCATCTCATCCATCATCAACACAGCAAAAAATGCGAATATGCGATTTGCTTAATTAGGGAGGAAAGGGGACGCACGCTTTCAATATCTTCTGGGGGACTTCTGGAGCTGGAGCGAAAATCATAATTTGGCTTTGTCATTTCCAACACCTTTTTACCCGACCACGCTCACATGAAAAAAAGAATTTGCTATCGATAACCCTTGTTCCTCTTTCCTTGTTCTCTTCTCTTCCACCTCCACACAACACCCCCCCCCCCTCCTCTTCCATGGCAAGCTCAGTAAAGTCCACCGCCACCGATGTAATACCATTCGAGCAATTCAAGCTCCCACCTGTCGGCCATGCTGTTTCGGGTGTTGTGGGCTCCACCATTGCAAACTTGTTCATTTACCCACTTGACATGTAAATACTTTTTTTTTCTCTTCTCCACACCCACCTTATACATAATCTTTGCCCCGTCTCTTGGTTTTGCACACTTGGAATATACTGGTAGAAACGATAATAACAACGTTTAACTCATTTGTGAATAGTTCGACGACTCGTTTACAATTAGAAAACAAGACCAAGAAGCGAGGAATAGTAGAAGTGATCACCTCGATCTACAAAGAAGGAGGATTCAAAGCGCTCTACGCAGGACTTGGCGCCGACACGCTTGCGACCGTACTTTCCAGCTTCATCTACTTTTATTGCTACACAGCCCTTCGAAACGTACAAGAGAAACTCAACACCAACTTGGGAAACAAAGCACAGCTGAATGTAGCTCAAGAACTGTTTCTCGGTGCCGAGGCAGCGCTCATCTCTCGGTTCTTTACCACACCCGTATCGAACGTGACGACTCGTCTCCAAACGGCTGGCAAGGAATGCAAAGGATTCAAGCAGACAGTGCGGGACATTTATGAGGAAAGAGGTGGTTTGAAGGGATTTTGGACGGGATATCGCGCGTCCATCTTGCTCGTGTCAAACCCCTCCATTACCTACTTTGTCTTTGAAAAGGCCAAGGCATTCTACCTGCGCGCATACAAAAAGACGTCGTTGGGGTCGGTGGAGGTGTTTTTGCTCTCGGCATTGGCAAAGACGGTCGCTACTATGGTCACCTATCCGTTCATCTTTATCCGCACAAACATGGTCGCCGAGACCAGCGATGCCAAGGGCAAGGGCAAGGGTACGCCCGTTGACAAAAAGGAGGGAATGATTGCATTGATGAAGCATGTGATTCAACGTGATGGTCCTGCGGGTCTCTACAAGGTAATGACCGGCAGCTTAGTGGGGCTAGTGCTTACGACGTGCTTATGTGATGTTCTAACTATGACGACACGACTTTTGCTTACACTACAGGGTATGCGCGCACAGATCACCAAAGGCTTCTTCAACCAGGGCATCATGTACATGATCAAGGATCGTGTGGCATCTTACTTGGCACTGGCATTCTATACCTCAATGATACTTAAACGACGAGCACTCCAGCAGTAAAAACAAAAAGCATATAAATAAAACAAACCATATTAATAGAACCTGTCAATTTGCCGTCTCTCTCTCTCTCTCTCTCTCTCTCTCCATTTGCATGAAATACATAAAACCGGAACAATTTTGAAGCGTGAGGCTGTGATTCTTATCCCCCCCCCACAAGAATGCGCCCCCCCCCCCACCACCACTCCCTGGCCCTTACTTGGCCCTTTCACGGCCCCTGTGTATCTCACACACACACACACAAACTTACACTCAGCACTCAGTCAAGTCATACTTGTGAACAGTTGCAAAGCAGCTGGCCATGTAAAATGACGGAAATTTTCTATTGTTCCTTTACACTACATCTTTTTCTCTCAAACAACTTTTTCTTCTCCGCAGTAACATCTGTATGTCCAGCGTCACCAACTCGTGTATCTTCAAGGATATCTTTGGCTCTTCGACCATGAGGGGTATGTCTACAAGCCAGAAGACTTGCCATCGCTCTCAAATATACAGTGCCACTGTGCTTGGAGAGAGAGAGAGAGAAAGAAAAGAATAACCACCTCTTGCAACCCGCTCAATCAAGTCAACTCATACATTTTCTTTTCTTGTTCATCGTCCTCTTCGATATGGAGATAGAGATATGGTCTGATCACGGTCGTACCGGCTACTATCTCGAATGGGAGGCAGCTCTTGCCAAAGTACAAGCACGGCTCGGGATGATCCCCCAAGAAGCATGTGACGAGATCGTCAGTCAATGCCATGTTGAAAACATTGATTTCGACAAGCTCAAGCAACAAACCGAACTCATTGGCTATCCTGTATTGGGTGTCGTCCAGCAACTGGTCTTCCTATGCCGCAACAACCTGGGTGAATGGTGTCACTTTGGTGCTACTACGCAGGATGTGACAGATTCTGCTACTGTGCTTGCTATCCGAGCCTCGTTTGACTTGATCGAAGAACATTTGGATGCGATCATGGCGAGCGTTGCCGGACTTGCGGAAACACATCGTCTGCTACCCAGTAAGTGAAAGCAAAGAGCCAGTCCATTCTTCATGTTGGTGTTGTTCTAAATGTTCGATATCAAATCGCTATGAATGATCCCTTTTACCTGTCTTACGACCATAGTGGTTGCAAGAAGCAACTTGCAGCAAGCCGTTCCCATCACTTTTGGCTTCAAAATGGCCCGTCTCTTGGCTACGTTACAACGTCACAAGCAACGTCTGGCACAATTACGCGAGCGCGTGCTTACTTTGGAGTTCAGCGGGGCTGCCGGTACACTAGCAACGCTAAACCAGAACCAAGCCATGAAGTGTCAAGAAGAACTTGCCAAAGAACTCGGACTCGCACAGCCTGAAATCGCATGGCATACTGAGCGTGACAGAATTGCTGAAGTAGGCGCTTTTCTCGGTATGCTTACTGGCACATTATCCAAGGCTGCTACGGACGTCAAGGTGCATACTGTATCTCAGTTTCTACGTTGATCTATGTTTGTTTCTATGTGTAAAGATTACTTATCACGATTTGGATATTGGGCTAACAAAATCAGTTGATGATGCAAACGGAAGTCGGTGAAGTATCCGAACCGTATATGCCCCACCGTGGATCCAGCTCGACTATGCCTAATAAGTTCAATCCAATCAGCTGTGCTTACATTCATGCAATTGCTGGCACTGTACGACAACAAACAGCTGCATTAATGGATGCCATGGTTGAAGATCACGAACGTTCTACTGGTCCTTGGGAAATTGGTAAGCAGGCAATTTCTATCATCATTGCCATTACAATACCCGTATATGAACTTACATTATTGATGCTCACAAATTTCGCTTCTTTTTGTAACTTTGATCCTATATGATTAAGAATGGATTGTTTTGCCCGAAGCCTTTGTGCTCACTGGTGGAGCTCTTAAACAAGCCAAGACCTTGTTTGGTGGACTTCAGGTACATCCAGACAGAATGGCGCAGAATCTGGCAATGACTAAAGGGTTGGTGGTTTCCGAAGCTGTGATGATGGGCCTTGCTCCAAAGCTTGGTCGACAGACTGCACATGATATCGTCTACGATGCTTGTCGTGCTGCTATCAAGGAGGATCAGATGCTTGCACACGTTCTTAAACAAAATGCACAGGTTACCGGAGCTCTATCCGAAGACCAGGTTAATCATTTGTGTGATCCTGCCAATTATTTGGGATTGAGTGGTATTATGGTTGATCGTGTGCTGGATAATTATAAGAGCTCACTCCGTCACTATTAAAATGCAATATCATTGTACCATAACATACTACATCCATTAATCGAAAATACAATGTTTTTCTATCCTGTACTGTAACAGTCATAATGGATCTTACACTATGTACATACACTGAAAGCGGCTTTTGACGCTCAACAAGTTTTGTTTTTATTCGTGTAGACCCCTTTGTGGCTACGATACGATTGAGCATATTAAGTGTCATATTTCAACTCAGTACTACCGCAAAAATAAACTCTTTATTTTACCAATTGGCGGTGGATCATAGGGAAAGAGTTACCACGGAGATAAGATTATGCAGAGTAGTAACGCGTGCTGGAGCCAAAACCAGTACTTCATAAGGTTTTTCTTTTAGAAAGCGTCTACACATGTACCAAGAAAGCGGTAACGGGTAAACAATGCGATGTGGGTCAAGTTGGACAGTTAATAGTTACTCAGCCGAATGCCATCTCGGTTTTGGCTGCGGCGTTCGATGTAGATGGCGAAGTTGCGCTAGCCAAAGACAAAGGATCACTGTGAGATCATCGCACCGTCATTATAAGCAACAAAACAGAAACAGCAAGGAATTGCTGTTACTGATACATACGTTGACGCGCCATGGGCTATCCCAGATTACTGGTATAAAGGATCAGAGCACAAAAACAGGTTTTCTTACTCTTGTGATTTTTTCAATTCTCCTACTGTATTCTCCTAAATGGTTATCTATGTGCTATCTGACACTGATACGCGTGGTGTATATAAGTTCCAAAGAGTATTACGGCATATTCTCACTGATCTATTTATCGCACTGACAAGGGCTGTTCAAGCATACTGATATTGGTACGAACTATTGCCCGTCCGACACTTTTTATCCGGCGCCATCTTTTTCTTGACCCTCGACGCGAATCAGCTAAAGGGTAGCGTACAACCAATCAAGGAAAAAACGTGATTTTCTTTTATCGCATTGTAAATTGTATATATCATAGCTTGCAGAAAGTCAAACATCAGCGAAAAAACCTTAGCGTAGTACTACGACACCAATATTATTCGAGAAAAAGGAAGGTTTCAAACCCGCACGTATTGCCTCTTCTAGCGTCCGAGCTCAACGAAAACATTCTCTCTACTCTCAGCATACAGATTACCCATACTCTTTGCGTTGTGAACCGCGGCGAGAACGGGGTAAGGAGGGTTTGTGTCCGCTGCATTAATACGCGTTGTTGTGGCGTACATACTCTATTGAGAAGCCCATGTTTGCTATTGTAAGGACCACGAGAAAATCTTTCTGACGTTAGCACCATAAAATTTCTTTGTTCTTTCTAATCTTTCGCTTCTTCGTTTTTTATTCAATCAAACCCTCCCTCTTGTTCGCCAGCAAGTTTAAAACGCTTTTGATCGTGTGCATCTGGACAGCATGTTAAAGTAAGTTTAGCACGATTGCACTTTCTGTGACTCTCCACAGTACCGTTTCTAAATATGGTGTGCACAGGCCACAGCTCGGTACCAAAAAGCATTATACAGTACTATGCTGAGATACGCTTTTCGTGTTTGTATGGTATACTCCTTGGGAACAATGCTACACTCACTAGGTTTGTGTGCGCGTTTTTCTTCATTTGATAAACACCCTTTACTGCAGTGCACAACACTGCATGGCAGTCTAGTAAGTAGTCGATGATGAATGGTGTATATTTTGTTGTCACCACAATCACGCTAATTAATTAATACATACTATCATATACTCTCCCCTTCTGACATCTTAAGAATATGCAGGCGTCTTGATGCGGCTCTTTTACATCTGGTCGCTCAACTCAATCACATTTGCGCCTCAGGCCCTCATAATGTACACAGCATATATATTGCCATCAATACAAGGAGGATGAATAGGGAGGATAGTGTAATCCCGAAATTTCCTTTTTTTTGTACTAACTGCGTTTACACGATGTATCTCTGTCAGTATTATAACGCATCTTACTTGCGTACATACTTTCTTCGCTGTTTACAATAGCTCCAAAGCGAAAAAAAAAAAACTCCCCAACATGTCACAGTGCCAACGTCTAAACGGCTGTGCAAACTATGTGTGTTTACGGGGATAATGATGGGGACACTCGTTTTTGTAGTTATTAACATATATAATTTTTCAGGCCGAGCGTCATCAGATGACTGAGCTGTGCGGAACTGAAAATGATAATAGTTTCTTCTCAGGGGAAAGCCCAAAATTCCTATATGATATTGTGTTCTGTGTCACCATTTTCGTGTGGCAACTTACAAACTAACAATCGTCGCTATGAGTCTGGAACAAGTCGGTAAAAATGAAGAAGAAGCTTTGGTTATCTGTTAACAGTCTACGCTTACGTAATCGTTATATGGCGTTAGGTTTAAAGGCTGCACATGCAGGGAAAATAATGATGAAAGGGGTTATTGTGAATATGACGATAGCGACGGCAACAATGGAACTAGGAGCAGGAGCTAGAACCACGTACTACTAGGGCGGGAAAATCGGTCTAGCAGGTGGAGATCAAGCGACAAAAACGACGATGGCGACGACGAGCAATGGTGCCCACCATAAACAGAGCAACCTAACTTACCGATACGAAAGATCATCGAGTGAGCAGCCCGCCAACCACGATGCATCACCGCGGGCCAGCAACAAAACGACAATGGACGACATAGAAATCAATATTGACCGCGCGTGTACTCGATGTGCGTATTACAAAAGATAGGGGAACCTGTCTTCCTATACTGCTCGTACAACCAGTAAACTCGCCACCACCACCCTCCTTATATCCTCTGCGCACTCTGTATCGCTGGTATTAATCACGATTAGAAATGCAAAGTGATCGTCCAGCACAAGCCTCATCTGTAACATCCTTTTGCTAAAGTTAAAAAAAAGTTTACTTGATAAACATCCCTGGTCAACATGTGTGGTAGGATACTGTAGAGATATCAGAATGACATACAATGTAGTGTGTATACATATGAGATATTATGTATAAGTGTGATGAGAACTGTGAGAGCTACGACTGAAGTAATGTATATATATGTATATGTATTGTAAAATAGAAGTGGGGCTGTTACGGCGATTACCATTATATACTATTTGCACAAAAAAAATGCCTGACAGGAGGAAGAAAAGGGGACCATTATATGTAATGTAAGGAAAGAGAAACCAGGAAAGATATTATAGGGCGCGCGTGGATAAACAAGATACCATAAGATTACTCATATAGGAACGTAATAAAGAAGGAGGGCGTTTGTCTTTTTTTGCAATAGAAGCTTTTTTGAGCTGACGTTATGCTTGGCCAAAGCTAGAATGGGGTTGTTGGTTAAAATGAAATACGGAAGGCTCGCGATAATGGTGAGATATGTGGTGATGATGTTGTTGTTGCTGAGTCACGTCGGACTAGTAGATGATAAGAACGTGTCATTATTAGCTTCTCTTCTGTCTGGGACAGTTTGGGGTGTACATAGACAGGAATGGGATGTAAATGAAGGGTGTCTTTTGTATTTTTACCATTACAATGAATGGAGCTTTAGGCGCAGATTTGAAGTACGAGGACGGATAAGTGGAAGAAGAAGAAGGCGACAATGTTGGTATGCTGTTTCCTGCAGCAGGTGTCAACGGTGGTCCGTACGGTGCGTACTGATAATGACGGTAAAAGCTATGGTGATCTACTACACCACAACCTTCACCACTTACTGGTATTAACGGGGATGGGGATTTGTGCTGTTGTTGATGGTGATCATGATGGTGATGGTGGCAATATTGCTGGTGCTGATGCTGAGGTTGGCGAGGCTGATCTGGCATAGCGTACTGCATTGGATACGGTTCTGGTGGCGCGGTGCGTTCAATCAGCCGTTGAACTTGACGCAGACGCTCACTAGCTGGAATTCGGCTGGCATGAACTACTTTACGATGCACCTTGAAGTGACGACGTAAGTTGCTAATTACTGCGAAACGACGACCACAGCCCGGACTAATCAAAGAAAAGAAGATGTTTAGGGCTACTGCTTATATCCTCGACACCTGTTCCCTCTTTGATCCGCTAACTAAGCTTATTACGTGGTGCATTCAAAAGGCTTTTCACCGGTATGCGTATAGATGTGAGTTCGAAGCGCACTAGGCCGACTAAACGCTTTGTTACAAGTTGTACATTGGTACCGCCGCTTCTTCTTCAGTTCTGCTGCCAGCTGTTCAGACATAGTGAGGCTGCTTATTTGGAAGTGTGGTGTTACGCTAGAAAAAGCGATTGAGTGAGAGGGGAAACAAAGGGAGAGAAAAAGGGAAAAGCGAGAGAGAAAGAGAAGAAAGAGAGGGTATATAAACTTTGCGAGCTTAGGGTAGGATATGAAGGGGAAAAGAATAGCCTAGAAGAAGACAAGGCCATATGGTAGCACTGAGGCATGAGACCCGCCCGCTTCCTGCTGCTTTGTTTAGGTGCGTCAAAATTTCATTGTCTTTAGATTTGAAACATGAAATCTCTCCCCTCCTTTGCTGCACTCCTTCCCGACTTTTCGTTTCTCTCTTGCTTTTAGCTGTTCCCTTCATCGTTCTCTATCCGCCCACCCCACCCCCACCCCAAATTAGCACTCCTCCACTTTCTGTTTTCGGGGGAAGCATCTGAGATGAATTTCTTTCTTTCTTTATTGACGTGCGGATATGCATGCAGGTTTTTGTGTATGTGAGTTAAGTGATTATGCGTTGCTCCAGGTGTGTGAGTTGACGCTGCTTACGCGCGCGCGCGCGAACGTTCCCTGTCTCTCCCTTGCTTTTACTTTCCTAAAAGGTTTTTATTCCAAACATCCCTTCTCTGCCATGCCAATGCGCCTACTTTTTCCCCACTTTTATGTAGCCTTAGTGAGGTCACATATGGAAACTTGTATCACACAGTATAAGAATGTGCCAACGTTATACGAGAAAAAGGGTGGCGGGGGGAGAGAGAGAGAGAAAGAGGGCTAAAGAAGGTAATCGAGATTAAACACGTTCGGTAACACCAGATACTACCCTTTCTTGCAAACCTGGATGCTCCCACGGGACGAAGGTTTGGACGGATCTGGATGATCGATATCTACGAATAGCATGTAAATAAAGAGCTTCGCGCGCATGAGCGGAGCAGGAAACGTTCAAAATAGGGGGGGTTCGAAAAAAGCAGGCAGTCAGTCAGTCATCAATCAATCAATCCGTCAGTTGGTAATAAGTCTTCAATAGAGTGACCCCGGAGCTGTCAATCTGTAATGGTGATAGTTTGACATATCAGACAGACATACATAGATCATCCCCCAGCCTCTTCCCTCCTTAAGAAGCTAGACCATGGGGTGCACTGATGACTCAGTGAATAGAAGAATCTGCATGCACATGCAATGTACTGTAGTGCATATAGAAATGAGGATGGAAAGTGAAGGATGCAAGGTAATTTGTTCTTTTTTGTTCAAAGTAGTAGTTAGAAGTATGTGCAGTGACAGATGCTAGGTGATAAATAATAAGAGTGATAACGATGAATGTAATATGAGTATAGCAGTAATAATATAAGGTATAACTGTGATTCAAACAGTAACTGGTGGCAACCAGTATGATTTGTTGCCAGATCCCTTTCCTTTGTCGACAAAGTTCCCGTTTCCTTATTCTATCGCACAATATCCCCCCTCCCGCGTCTACTGCATACTACGACCACAGAGGAACACGACTAGACTTAGAGCAGCCACGGCAGCAGAGGAATTACACAGGGCCACTGCACCGAGTTGATTGTAGATTGCGCCACCGGCGATACATCCAATTCCGTAGCCTAGTCCCGTAAAAAGAGAAGCCAAGATGCCTTGTGCGACAGCGCGTTGATCCGGGGGAAAGATGGCGTCTGCTTCGGAAACCGCAGTTGACCAAAGCAAAGCATACGCCGAGCCTGAGTAAACGAGAGTGTGTGAAGGTTGAAGGGCAGAAACGCATGTGGTTAAGAATTTGCTCGAATGTGATTTCTGTTTTCGCAAAAAACCAGTAACTTTGATTTTCCCAACTACCCGCTTTCTGTACTTGTTCACAATCCCAACATTTTTGCTGTCACTTACCATTAACCAGATGCATGCCCAAGGCAATCACTGTTGACATGGGCTGTCCAGGTGTGATCCACGTATATATCAGATTACGCATGATGATCCCCACATGTGAAAATCCAATAAGACTAGCTACATTGAATTCTTCCAAGAGCTACATATCGTTATTGTTTGTTAAAACCGACAGAATATCACAGAGCTCGTATGTGCGAATTATCAAATGATGACGATAGACGAACCTTATTCGAAAGCCAAAAGGTCATGACTTCTGCAATACCAGCAATAGGTCCTGTCCAGCCGATCAATGACGAGTCAATCCCCAAGTCGTTACGCAAAATTAGAAATAGGAACTGTGCAATCATCGAATACGATACGCCAAACAACATCATGGTAAGCAAAAAGGACGAGATCCGGGGTGATCTCAAGGTGGATTTCTCGGGTGCTTTCGATTCAGGGCGGCCCAAGTCAGCAAATGCTGCTAGTGTGGTATCAATGGTGGGGATATTGGATAAGGCAAGGCCGAGTGGGGGTAGATGATCCATATTGGCGATCCGCTGACTCGCCTCATGTTGAACGTCCATGGCTGTCGTTGTCGTCCGTAATAGTCCAAGCCGTCTGCCCTCGTCGTAATAGTCGTCATAGTATTCGGTGTTGGCGTAGCTGGCTAAGCTGTCACGACGCGGTAAAGCGTCGACTTCGGTGCCGATTGAAAGGGCGCCTGTCAGCGAAGTCAGGTACGAGGATGCAATAGGGGGTGCACCATTTTCCCCCGTTATTGCATTGTAAGGACGATTGAAGCTAAGTGAGTTGCGAAGCAATGGCTGACGACTGTTGTTGTGGTTGCCTCCTTGATGCTCATCGTCTTCGTTGTTGTTATTATGAGCAGCAGCCCAGTCAGCATTGTGTACATCGCTCTCTTCGGCCGATGAAAACTTTGTGAACGAGGCCAGTATAGCAAAGGAGGTTACACCAAAGGCAAACACGTAAAATGCGACCTGTATTCCAGAGACACCGACCCATAAACCGACAAGGAGAATGTTGAGCCCATTCGAAACAGAGCCCCACAGCCGCTGGTTGCCTTTTAATGTGTGTGTCCGTGTTTGTTGTTGACGTCGTCATTGTTTCGACGTGTTTGTTGGAGGTACAAGTGTACGTGAGTCATCAGTGAACCCGCGTCATCCACAACAACAGCAGCAGCAGCACTTTCTTATTCTTACCATACAAGATTTTTTGATCGCCAAGCATTTTTAATACGGCACTGTCGACAAGTGTCGAGACGGGTTGGCCGAAAAACGCAAAAATAAGTGCAAGCGTCACAGCTGCGGCAAAGGTGACCATTGTGTTGCCGCCATTGTTGCCGTCGTCGACGTCTTGAACTAGCCATCCCGGTAGTAACAAGAGCGCCATTACACCACTTCCTCCAATGATGGCCAATGCACTCATGAGATAGCCGTGCCATTGGGGCTTGCGATCGACAACGACGGTCCACAGAGGGCACGATAAGCTTTGTATGAACGGGGTTATGGCAAGCAAAACGCCGATTTGGTTGGACGGCAAGTGTAACGCCTCGTCATAGAACAGTGCCAGATAGGCTATGGCCGAGCCATAGATTGAGTACACGCAGACGTACAGTGCCTTGGGAAAAAGCATTTGTTTTTCTCGGAGATGGGCTGAAAACCAGAGTTAGTTTGGGAAAAGGGGAGAGAGGAGCGGAAGAGAAGAGCAGACCGCTGTTTGTGGGTGTCTTCTTTTTTCATCTTCTTCTCTGTCTTATTATTGTCTGATGCGTGGTGTGGTGTGATGAGAACGCACTTTAGACACCCTTGGCGCTGAAACGAGGGGAGCACCCCCGGTGAACCAGACACCCCTCGAGAACTGCCTTTCTTCCGGCAGAGGGTCTTCTTCCTTGGCTTGCTGAAGTAGCGATTCTATGCTGTTCCATCATGACGACGAGGGTTGCTAATGACAACCACATACAAGGCACACTCATGTTACACACTCATCCCAGGAGATTCCATTCTAGGAAATGGTGTATGCAATGCATCGGACGATGGGATTGCAAAACACATACCCCTTCCACCCTTTCATTTTCCATGGTAACAGTATCGAACAACATGCGCTTCAAACAGATCCCCATGAAGGCTTCAGGTCGAAAGCCTAGCTGCTGTTTCTATTAATATTTACACAACAACAAGAGAGACATCTCGCTACAAACGAACATTGTCCATAGAAAGAAAAGCTACCGTGATCTTTATAAAATGCTGCATGTGTTACAGGAGAAGAGAGCCCTGTGATAGAACCCAATCGAAGGAGAATCAACGCGCGTTTTAGTTCAAATCTGAACTTGCTTTTGGAAATAGCATCAGGAACCAGTCTTCTCCTTTTGTTTCATCTTCTCCTCCCGCCACTCACACCAACTTCACCAACCAGCCAACAATACATACTCGATGCCAAAAGTTTTGTTTTTCCTCACTGCCCTTGCTGTTTGCGCCATTGTGGGGATCAACTACAGCCAAAAACGCCGCAAAAAACAGCAAGCAAATTCCGGTAGTAGCGGCTATGGCAGCACTGTCAAGACACGACAATTGCCTTCTTCGTCTTCTTCCAAACAAGAAAAACAAAACAATGATGAATCGACTTTTGCTGATCAAGAACAACAACAGCAACAACAAACAGAAGACGAAGGGTCCTGGCTTGTTGATTTCCAAACATTGCAACATACGAGTGACGAATTCATTGGCGCGATCTTTCATTCACTTCCGGATTGGTCCACGGACGATCTACCATCCCTGGAAGCATTGACCGAGAGAATGACCAACATATACCCCGCGTTCGCTTCGCAAATGGAAAGTGTGAGACAAACGTATGAGCAGTTTTGGAACTTTGTGTCCATGGACGAGTTTCGGCGTATCATTGAAGACAGTCGACGAGAAGATTCGGACGAGTCTCTGCATCCGGAAATCGCGTTTGACACGCAAGTAAGGTAAAGAAACAAAGAAAGTATGTGTATGTGTGTGAACTAAGAAATGGTTATCAAAAGGATGGGTACGGAGCTGTCAAATGAAGAAAAAAAGTTCATCGCGGCGCGTAAAAACCGACAGCGAAATGCATTTGCGGCGTTCATAGGCGTCGATGCCGATCAAGTTGATCCACGCGACGTACCTGTCGTTGGTATTGCGAGCAGTGGGGGTGGATACAGAGCAATGAATGGTGCCACAGGCTACCTGAAAGCCATGAAAGAGACGGGTATGCTCGACTGCACCATGTACACTGCCGGCGTCTCTGGGTCGACATGGGCCATGGCGCAGCTCTACAGCCGGTTGACCAACGGATCTTTCGACACTTTGGTGGATCATCTCAAGTCACACATCCATACCCATATCGCCAATGTATCCAACTTCATTGCCATCCTCCAGGCTTCTGCTCAGAACGCCAAAACGTTGATGCAAGGTCTTATTCAGCGTTACCATCAGCAAAACGGTACTCTCAATGTCGTTGATGTGTTCGGCATGCTATTGGGAGGCACCTTGTTGACCGAAATGCAAACGGTGGTGCGTCGACCCAGAGGAAACATGGAGCGGCAACCTTCTCAGTACAGCGAAAAAATTGAGCAAAACACGGAGGATAGGACAGTCGGCAACAGTGGCCTTGTGCGTGATGAGGATGGATCGCAAGTACGTGCCAAACTCATGCCCAAGTCAGAGCTCAAATTGTCACGTCAGCGACGCTTTTTTGAAGACGGTTCGTGGCCGATGCCCATCTACTGTGTGGTGCATCACGAAGTGCAGGATCTGTACCGTTGGTTTGAGTTTACACCTTTTGAAATGGGCTGCGAAGAACTGAACGGTAAGCAAAGAAGGAATTTTGTTGGACCAGCTGTTTACCAGCTAGTACTCATCGTTTGTAATAATGGTGTGTTGTATTTAGCGTGGATCCCCATCTGGGGTTTTGGACGTCGTTTTGAAAATGGTAAGAGTATCGAACGACTGCCGGAACAGACGCTTGGTACGATGCTTGGTGTTTTTGGCAGCGCGTTTGCAAGCTCGTTAGCTCACTTTTTTCAAGAGATGCGAGTGTTCCTCCCCGAGGCAGCCATTGCCGCTGTTGATTCCACACTGACCCAATATAAAGAAAGTCTATTGACCATCCATCCGTTTTCTCCCGCCCGGTTTCCAAATCCATTCTACAAGCTTCCGTCGCCACCGACGATGCCTGAGGATGAAATCACCTCATTGTTTGACCGAGAATACTTGGATCTCCTTGACGCCGGTTGTGACAACAACCTACCCTTCTACCCACTGCTCAGAAAAGAGCGTCAAGTCGATATGATTATCGCGTTAGACCTTAGTGCCGACATACAAACGGCCGGACATCTGGAACGCGCAGAAGGGTATGCACAACGGCGTGGGATTGACGGATGGCCAGCTGAAGCTCGATGGCCTCTGCAAGAACAGGCGTCGCATGAGGAACACAAGGATGTCAAAGACGATGAGACTAACAATAACAAAAACAATCATGCGACGCCGGGTGAAAAATATGGTCTCGGGACCTGCACTATTTTTGAGGGCAGCCAAACGACGATGGCATACTTTCCACTGATACCCAACGAAAAGTACGATGCGGAATTCGATCCTCAGTGTGCTGAATTCTGTAGCACGTGGAACTTTGTCTACTCGGCCGAGCAAGTGGCCAAGCTCGTGGGACTGGGCGAAGCCAACTGGCGAGACAATATGGATCAAGTGAAACAAACACTCAAGCTGATTTGGCTAAAGAAACAAAGGCAGCGAACGACTGGTAGTTGGCCATCCCCGACGTCATCGTCATGATGCATAGTGCGTAGTCGAAGTCCTAACATGTACATAATACACTCAGTAGTAATAGCTAATCATAATGCTTGTTTTTGAGAACGTATCATAGACTATGTAAAGAAACGGATCTTTTTTTTTATTATCAATGCTTTGGAGATTGTGATTGTTGCAGCTGATGAAGATGCTCGACTTGTTCGGGTGTTCCTTCGTTTTCAATCTTGCGTACGAGGTGTGGATAGCAATCCCAGCACTCATCACCGCCGTCCTTGAGCGGCTGTGCAGGTGGCATCCATCTTTGTTCTTGTTCTTTCTTTGTGTTCTTGGTATCTTCTTTTGATGACGATGATGCGACAGTGTTGTTGCTATTTCCCTCAGACTGTTGGGCCGAGTTGATATTTTCCCGATAGAGCAGCGGATGGGTCAGCGTGTCTTGGTCTGGCTTTTCCATTGATAAGTCGCAAGCAGTGATGGCAGCAGTGGTAGTGACGGTATGCAAAAGCTGTACTTGCTGGGAGGCGAGGCTTGAGAGGGTTGTGAACAAAAGTAAGAAGAAGTAAGAGAGAGAGAGAGAGAGGGAGAGAGACAATTTATGCAAAGTTTATTATTCGTCGGAACAAAGTAGAACCCCAAACGGGCAATTATTCTTTTTGCTGTTGCAACATGCCACCTTGTTCTTTTTCTGCATAAACTTCTTAGCCTTCTCCTACTGCTGTGCTACCACTGACCGGGAGTTGCGGATGCCAACCTTTCTTCCGTGCCAATGGGTGTATCTGATGTTGAGTTAGACGGAGGTTGGAGGGGGCGGGTATATATAATTGCTTCAGTTGTGTTCTGTTAAAAGAGAAAGAGGCCTGTGTGCTTATACAGAAGCTGCTACAAATGATGTCAAAGCAAAGAATTATTCGATACTGTATGGATGAATGAATGAATGGGACGAGGTCGAAGAGAATGTACAGTGGATATAGTGGACGAGAAGGATTAGCTTCATAGGATAATGCAACATTTGCACCGCGGTACCGTTTCCGCAGCGTTGGTATCTAGCAGAGCAAAAGAACAATTTAACATCTAGACACCTGCTCCTTTCTTCTACTTTCTTCTCTTTCATTCCTTCATCTTACCGTCAGCTGATTTGAGCTGCTGGTCGCGCACGAGTAAATGGACTGTGAACGACTCGCCGCCTCGAAGCCGATTTGCTTGAAGGCCGAGAAAGAGAATTCAATGTCAATAACACTTTGGTCTCTCCGTCCGCTTCTCAAATTATCCTCCACCTCCCGACTCCCAATCTTCAATTACATTCTAACGTAGAATCGTTTTCGAGAAACTTGCCGAGATACAGTAACTCGAGATAGCCGACTGACTGCGGCGCTGCTCGGTTCGATTCCCACTCTATCAATGATATCGAGTTCTTTGTTTTTTAATGACATTATTATATAGTAGCTCTAACCTGCTCGAGAGCAAAAGCTTTTTTTTCATACTCTATTCCTTATCTCTGCCCATTGCTATCTATAGCACAGTTTGTCCCTTCCTAAGGGAAGTGTAGAGTTACCTGGTGGCCATTCTGTAATTACGTGTTTTTTTACTTGAGCAACTGTTGACAGTGGGTCAAACTCGAATGTATGTCTATTTCCCGAAATTAGAAGCAGTGTCAAATGAACCCGGTCGAGTGATAACTTTTGTTTGTCGTCGTCGTCCTCCTCCTCGTCGTTGTCCTCGTCAAGGTCATTCTTATCGTTGTCTGCATCGCTATGGTGTTGATTGTTGTTGTTGTTGTTGTTAGAAGAAGGCTGATCGTCACTTGTGGGAGACGTAGAAGACGGTGCTCTAATAGCTAGTGCTGAACCATTGTCAGTTGTGGTAGGAGGAGTCGATTCATTGGATGGCGTCATGGATAATGGAGCAATGGAGGAGGACGAAGGCTGTTGTTGTCGTTGTTGTTGTTGTAGTTCAGTCATAGCGTGTGGGAGTTGTGTTGGTGGTTGCTGAGGGACTTTCTCAGCGAGTTGCAGTGACATCAATTATATATCAGCGTATGCAAGAGGAAATCGTCGTTTATCAAAATATGTAGTTCTCTTATGTATAGGTGGAGTTGTGGCAAAGGGTAAAAAGAGAGAGAGAAATGGAATATAAGGAAGGAGAGAGAGAGAGAAAAAACAGAGAGAGATCGAGAGCAGGGAAAATAATAAAAAATATACTGATGTAACAACAAACGCTTGTGGTTCTTTCTTTCCTCTGTGGATGTGTTGTCGATACTACGCAACCTTTCTAACTGGCACATCACTCCGCTTTACATTCTTTTTCGTGTAATGTGTACATGTTGCATGTACTACAGAGCCTCTTTCTCTTCTTTTTCATGCGTTGCTGTTTGTCATGGATCAACAACAGAACTTTTTTGAAGTTCCCGCGTAAACACTAAATAATAAAGGGGTTTGTTCGCAGGCAGGTCCGTTGATTTGGTGTCGTGAGTGTAAATGTCTGGCATGAATGTGTATACTATGTGAAACGCACCAAACAACAGATACGTGGTATTAGGTTTATTATCCTGCAGAAATTCGTTTTTCGTGCACACAAAAGCACTTTTCACAAAGCATAAATTTGTCAAGTCTATTAACTGAAAAATCTCTATTTTACCTATTGCACGTCCTAATCGATGGATCGTAATGATAAAAATGGCTGTTGAGGGGTGGAATCTTAGCGTCCCTATTGATGGCTTGCTGGAATAATAATACTATTGTAGCTGACGTATAAATTACGCTTGATTAATGTTTGCTCCTCCTTCATTAATATGCAACAACAATGGCAGCCACATATTGGCCATTTGATACTAATATCATCTTTATTATCTATACACTTACCTACTACATACTGCTATCAAACACCACAAAATTCGAATGAGCTAGAAGTTTGATTGTCGCAACAAATGTCAAGAAGAGGTCTGTAAAGCTTCTGCTGCGTATAAATTTGGGATCCAATGAACCATCTTGGCTAGTTTTACGTAAATAGCAGATAAAATAGCAGAGTTTTGGTTTTTCGACTTGAAAAGTCACTATGTATTTTATGTACCCCTCGCATATGCGTACCGTATGTACTGTATCCCTCCTTTTCTCAGCGTCATCTGCTTATACCCAATCTCGAATTTAGCTGTATTTTCTCATGTAGATAATACCTTTTTTTGTGCATGTCATAACTGACGTACTTGTCGTTGTCGTTATTACCTGAACGATCTATATTCGCAGACTCAGTTTAATAGGGTAGCATGATATGCACTTGCTGTATGTGTGTGAGCTGATCAAAGTCACTTAAATTCGTACAGTATTCGCAATGGTGGTATAGCTGCTTTATCAAAGAGAGAAGATAACTGTTTGTCCTCGTGCTTATATTGCTAAGTAGCACTTTACCCTACAAAAGCTGATAAGGATCTTTGTCACTTTCCTCTATGTTATATATGAAAAAGACATGGTCATTCGAATATCAAAAAAAAAGAAGAACGGTAATGGATTTTTTACCACGTATAAATGATCTTTTTTGTATATCATGTATAAGTTATAGAGTTCCTCCAAAGGAATATGAAGAAGGTTCAGATGACACTAGTCGTTGCACACAGCATTATTTGTTTTTGCGACAGTCCGGGTGCGTCATTTCTTTTTTAATCTACTTTTCAAAGCTGCTATTAGCACACTGATAAAGACATTCTTCATTCGCAAGACCTTGACCGCCACAACATATGCACATTACTTGTAGCAGTATGCTCGATACGTCTATGAATGCGCATGTGATCTATTGTTTTTTTATGTTTGTTTTGTCCACTCATTACAGTAATACATAGGTTTCACATGTACAATACATTTTCATTCGTGATTGTCTGTGATGAAAGTGCAGACAAAAGATACATATATATATATACATCTACATACAATTAGAAGAAAGAAAACGTCTTCTTACATGCTGCTAGTAGATATAAGGCTTTCTGAAAAGCCCCCTTGCTGCTTTATACTCATCAGCATCAAACATGATTAATAAACATAGGGCTATGATATCAGTCAAGTAACTGTGTATTCTACTAGAGAAAGTATACGTATAAGCAGCTGTGAATTTAGATGTATCCGCAACGCAGCAGAAACTAACGAATTATGATATTTACAGGTTCCAAATCGCGTATATACTTAAACATCTGGTACAATCATAAGCATGGTAAGTGGCGCGGTTGATACAACACAGCGTTATAGCTGGTTTTTATCTTCTTTTTCCTGATACTCTTTATTACAGCACCGAACTACAGATATCAATGTGATCATATGTTTTTTGGTCAACCTCAGCGTACAGTTTTTGCACTTACGTACTGCTCAGGATGGAGTTCCATTCTATTCTCAATACTCAGTCTTCTGACCTGTCTTTGTTTGAACGACACGTTGAAAACATACAACAAAACTTTATCTTCTCGCAGTTTCTTTGAGGAGAATGACTGCGTCTACAATTAGTGAGCGACTGTGATGTAAAATATACACAAAAAATAAACTTACACACTACTACCTCCAACGCATATTCAAATTTGCTGCTATAAAGTATTCGGTTTATTATTCGCTAATTACACGAGCAATATCTCGTCCCTCGTGTGTCATCATTTGATCAAGTATTGTAAGTGTAAACCCAAGTAGCTCCACTACGCGATAAGAACCCTCTGTAAGAAAGGCATAAGCACACGTAGTGATCATTGAATGATGAAGACAAGTCAGGCAGTTAGTATAACCAAATCGACTCAAATATCGCTTGGGAGTACATACCTCGAAATTAATGAAGCAACTGCTGGTTGAAGCTCGCGTGCCTAAGCAATGAGTGATGTTATAGTTGGCATTACTCATAGAGATACAATAATGGTGGAAGGGAAGAAGAAACGTCATCAGTAACGCTATTCTCTTTTTTGCCTTACCGCAACTGAAAATGATATGTAGGACGGTAGTTCGGCTGCCAGTTCAGCGTGTTTGAGTTTCCGTCTCTTTTTCATTATGCGCATAATTGCCGCATCAAGCTATGAATAACCAGCGTGTGAATGTGTGTGTGTGTGTGTGCGCTGTCAGAATTACAAGTGTTATGTGCATATATATACAGCCATCGACAAATATAAAAAAACATACTAACCTGGTACTTTCTGTTGTCGTTCAATTCCAGTTTCCATACTCGGTTTTCCAGCTTCCTCTGTTCTTCTGGGTCTTCAACGTGGCAAACAACGATGTGCTTTTCACGACTAGAGAATAATGCATTATATTCAAATGTTACGATGCCGTCATCGACTCCATCTTCAATTTTCATGCTATTTTGATCAGCAGTAGGGGCAAGTCTTGTTAACGTGTTCTTGATGAGTATAGGATGTTTTTTCTGACATAATGGTTCGATCGAATTTTGCAAAGTGGCTTTATCTACGTAAATATCATAATCGTATACATGTAAATATGACAGATGTTGTACCTTGGGGGATAAGAGTAATAATAAGCTACGTTGAACGGATTCATTGGGTTTACCTATCGACAAGTTGGAAGCTAATTCATCCAGGGACCAAGCTCGTTTGCTACTGTTGTTAAAGTGTAGTAAAATTTGCGCTTGAGCAAAGTTTACCACAATGGTTATTGCACCGGAAACAAAGTTGGCGACCAAAGTAGCCGTGCCAAGTGAATGTGCCCACTGGAGCTTGCGATTGGTGAATTTTGTAGCATAGAATTCTGCATATGCGTCAAGGTGAGGTACAAGCTACCCAATAGGATGATAAGCATTTGTTAGAGCTACTACCATTGTTATTGCTATTAAAAAAAGCGTTTCTATGTAATCAGTAGCAAAGCTGTAGAAGACAGGGGTATACCTCAGCAGGTGCTGGTAGCAACTCATCTCCTTTTTTAGAAGGAAGGTCAGTCCAAACCATCTTTTCCAGTGTTGTTATTTCAAAGGTGGCATTATGTTCGTTATTTGATGCCTTTTAGTGATGAGAAGATGCCAAACGTAAACCTTTAGCAAACACAAGTACCGCTATAGCATTTCATGTCTGTATACTTACAAAGAACTGTTTGCAAAGATCTTGTGATGTATCAATATCCTTGATCATGGAATACATAGTTTTGGTATATTCCGGCCCACATTCTGGATCCATTCTCTGGGTTAGTAGAAGATACAAGGTGCTGGTGTAATAAAACAAGCTATTGTCTCTGTACTTACCAGATGCGAGACCTTTCAAAATCATGATTTCATGATCAGTTTGACTAGCGCGTAGTAATAAGCGCTGCGTTAGGGATGCTCGATAAAATATCTCAAATACATCTTTCTCTTAAAACGAGCATATTAGTAGTCAGATGGGTATAAATTCGTTGTAATTTTCTCGTTAATCAGCTTACTTTTAAAATGACGGAACATGGATAGTGCTTGATCGCTAGCACCTTGAATAATCATCTGTTCATTTTGCTGCTGCTGCTTCGTCTACCGGTAAGAAAGTCAATAAATCAAAATTAACATGGTTGTTCCTCTCCATTTTCCCCCCATGTCGCGCACAGACAGCATCCATACCTTCATGACAACACCAGCGGATCGCAGCTTCAAATCAATAAACTGAACCAACAATCGACTGATTTCTTGTTCATGATCTCGAAGAAGCTCACCAAAAGCATTACCAATGGCTTTTTTCAGTGAGCTATCACTTTCCATTGCATCATTGACTGTATCCTCCAATTTGCTCTTAAATTTGATAAGAAACTTGAGGAGTTTGATGCCATTGCTGTCATTGTAATCTTCAATTTTTGATTCACCTCGCACCTAAACAATACAATTATTTTATATCAATTATCTCCAATCTTAATATATTTATCATGACGACTGAATCAAGCGCTGCTTACCAGAATATATGATGTTAATGACCTACAGATTATAGGAACCTCTTCGGAGCTACACGCATTGTAGATTATGTGAAGCGATGGAAGGTCATTAGAGTCGAGCATTTGGTAGAATCCTATCGTAAGTAATAGCATAGCATATATATGGTTATAGCACGCATGTTGTTTGATGAGCTAGTGCTGTCTAACAAAAGAACAATTAGAAATCACATGACGCTTTCCTCGTCATTATTACCTCTAGATACCAGTATCTCTATTTTTTCTTGTATCCATTTGTTTACTACGATCTTGGATAACTTATGCCTGGTGCTGCTCAAAAGATATGTACATTCGCCTGACTCTTCAGCCATCTGTCGAAGCTTGGTGTACAGAACAAAGTCGCGAGCGGATAACATAGAAAGGAGGCGCTGTGCTTCTTGTTTGTAATAAGCGGACATGCTCTCCAAGAATCTTGGCTCAAAATCACTCTTGTATAACCCAAGGTCTATGAGTATCTGTGTAACAGACGTCAGCATATCAGTATCAACTGCACGACCCTTACTACATAATTTACCAGAAATTGTGGTCGAACAATAAAGATAGATAATGATATATGTAAGCTTCCTTTTTTTTTGTGCTTGTTACTTGCAACTACACATAGAACAATTGAAAAGGTTTATAAAGTTTTACCGGTCACGTTGAATCAAGAACAGCAGATTCGTGATTATGCGTTCTTTCACCAAAGGTTGTTGGATAATATACTTTTTGAGCAGAGCAAGACCGAGATCACTAATAGTAATAGTAACGTATTAGCATGATGTATATCATAATCTTATTCTAATATCTTACACTATTGAGCGATACGGCGTATTTTTCAGAATATATCCGCGATCCAGCTCATAGAATATTTGACTGATGTGTGTCTGCGATTAGAGTGGATAGTTATTTAATAAATATGCTCTTTTGGATAAATCTCGATCCAAACTGAGATCAAACAAAAGAAGTAAACGTTACCAATTGCTCCTTTTTCTTGATCCAGATTCCTTCCAAGTCTTTAAGAAACTCGTCATTCAAAAGGGCGTTCCTAATAAATGCCATTTTGAGCCGACTGTGTAAAGTAAGAGCTTATAATTTCGCATCCCCTCATCATTTTCACCGAGAAACTCACTGTATCATCAGTTCTGACAGGTCGTCGAAATACACAACAAGCTCGTTATATAACAGCTCGTACAACTCCTTTGATCTGCCACGCTGACATATGTTTGTGCTAAGCTAGTAAAATAGCATTGTATCGTTTGTTTACATCGATTGTCATATTTACTGGAAGGTATAATGTTGTCACAACAGTCCTACTTCGTATGCAGCTTGAAAGTTGATCATATGCTGATGTTCGCCATTCAGTATTGCGGCTATCAATACTTTGTGATTATCTTCCCATGCTATTTTGAAGTATTCATCATGGGACGCAGTGTCCACGGACACTAAAAGGTGTAAAAGGTAAGCATAGGCTTCTTTGAATATGCATATGTGTGTGACCACAACTGCTTTTTCAAGACTCACGCGCACACACCGTATACTGTTTTTACCTTTCAAATTTTTGACAAGCGAAGCATCATCAAATTCACTGTCATGTACAATTGATTCCTTTCGTAGCTGAAAATTAAATAACATTTGCTGTAAAATTGCTGGAATGAGTGCGTTTGTATACGGCTTAATTGACAGGTGTCTTGAATGACAGTGTACCTTATCTCTTAACTCTGAAACAAAGAAATAAAGCGGTGGCGGACCAGGTCCGAATCATTTCGACTTATTTCCATAGGCATGGTGACACAAACTTGTAGAGAATCCCTTTCCAGTTCCTTTGGTGAAAAGTTGATTGCCTCATAATTTAAAAAGCATTGCCAAATGCATGCTTCGATAAATCCATGTCTGAAGATCCACCTAACATATAGCAGTACTGCTATTACTGCAAGTATGTTGAATGCACAAATTTGATCTATCCAATTATAAGTTTACTATAGTACATGTACTTCAGTCGCTTCGTAATGTCCAACAATTACGCTCACCATATCCACGTGACCGTGTTGGACAAGTAGCACAAAACCGTCTCGAATTACTGATATGCAGAGCTGTGAATCTACGCGTGGGTTATGTAGGTATGCTCGACGATAAAGTTAGGACCATCATTGTGCTCAAAGCAGGAAGGCTGAAAGTTATTCTGACGAATTGATAAGGAACTGCTCTGAATCCCACAAAGTATTGCTCTGTCCAGCATTTTGCGTGCATGCTTTCCAGTGATATACTGCTTCACGACATCACCATCGAGTTCGGAACATGCGCCGAGAACTTTTTGAGCGTAATCTTCATGTTCCCCTGCCCGATGGCGTCTCTGATCGTGCTGCATGTACATAGTTAATAAGATTGGCATCTGAAGCACAGCTGCTGAAACTGTAGCTAAGGATAGCAAAGCGCCCTTGGTGTCCGTTTCGTCGCAACTGCCAAAAATTCGGCAATTCGTATCGAATTTGCTGTTGGATAGCTCGGTTGATTGTGTAGAGCATGTCTTATGCTGAATATTGAGATTACATGGTTTGTCTCCACCGGTAATTTTTGCTAGTTAGCATGACATGATATGCTGTATATGACAGCACGCGAGAAGCGGGTACTTGCGTTTTATCGCTTGGATTACTACTCTATACGGAAGGGATGAAGAAGACAATAAATTAGAATTACAGAAGATGTAGGCTAACGAAAGAAAGAGATTAAAACCGGGCTGGTACATAGAGCTGTAGAAGGGAGATGCAATGATGCTTTGATAACCTATAAAGCAACAAGGGTCTCTAGAGCCATGTGCTGTGATGCGAGTCAAATCAAATTGTGATGTGCGGTTTGTAGCCAAAAACATAAGCATCCATATACTGGCATGATTACATATCAAAAAGTGTTGATAAGAGAAAGTTATGAGAAAAATGCTATACGACATTTTGGCAGTAAAAGGAGTAGGTATGCTATGTATATATTACCTTTCTGTAATCTTATTCGTAATCGACACAGTGTACAGCACTACGGAATAGAGTTGCAGTACAACGCCTTTTCTTGTGATTCAATTTTAACTACTGCTAGCGGCCAGGAGTGGAGCTCAAGACCCTCTTCCTCTTCCTCCAATGCAGCTTTGAAGGCTTCCTTTGAAAATTTTCTCCACACGATGACTTGCCACAAAACGAGATAGTGTAACCATAAACGGGCTTATTTACATGTTCATCGTAGTAGAAGGTGAATGGGCCGCTGATGAGGACAGGCCGTTGCGTGAACAAATACAACTACTTTGCATCAGCGAGTATTGCTTGCCAGTAGTACACAAAAAGACTTTTCTTTGACCAAACTCATAATGCTTACCTAGAGCGTCCAATATGCAGCGGCTCACTCGCAGATGTACGTTAGCTAAATCTGCAATAATTAGATCGTGTTATTAAAGCTCTTGAATGATTCCATAATACGTATCTTAAGGCAGTCTTTTTGCGCTAGTAAGGAAATTACTACGCGCTTGGCATAATTAATCGTACACGTATCAATCTGTAGTATTAGCTAGCTCAACGAATCTCGCTACGGAACCGGTCTCATGCTACTTCGTTTCGTTTGATATACTGAATCATCAGTATGCATCGACTTAATGGTGAGTTCACTTAACCATTTTCTAAGCAATGAGAGTAAAGGCTCAATGAGTGTTCATCGTCAGCTCGCTTGTATATGCGTCATATGACAAGGGTATATAGAAACCCACTATTTACCGGAAACGATCTACCTATCTAAGCAGACTACTGGTCTGCGAGAGTAAGTATGATTGGCTGGTTTTGTTTATGCCGATCATGTTTGATGTTTCGTTTTGGAATACGCACAGCAGCGGCAATAAGATAACCCGATCTTTAACCGGTTTCGGTGTTGGTGCAACGCTCACCATAAGTGGATCGATCTGCATCCAAATATATAAATGGGTGCATGATCATGCAAAGGAAAATAAAGTTCATTGCTTTGATCTAGCAATCATCGATTGTTCGTCTCGTTGTTACAGCTTACAAGAGCAGCACTGCTGCTCCACTGTTAAAGCTCCTATCCCTTGTAATCAATAATAGAAACTAGATATAAACGAGGAGCGACCCATTTTCCTTTGACTGCACACATATTACATGGGAATTGAGAATTGTTTGTTTGGCAAAGTAGACCACCAAACAGAAGCATTATTTCTATTGCTATTAGTAGCGACATCTTTTGTATGGTACATGTAGAGTGATAGGTGAAAGGATTCGGTTTTTACATCAAAATGATTTCACTAACGCTTTTGATCGATGATTATGAGTACAAACATGGCAATGAGAACCGCAAGCACGGCCGTGGATCCAAACAGAATTGCTCCTCGACTTGCTGGAAAATGTTCTTTGGTTAAGGCGACCTGTGAATGAAAATATCGAGCGTTCGCGATATACAGAAACACGATACTAAGGATGACAAACGTTGCTCCCACCGAACGTCCGGCGTGTGCATTGTTTGATGGATTCAGATTATACAGCTGTGTGATGGCTAAAAGAAACATGAAAATGGGCTTCCGTTAGTTATTACTACAAACGATAAACCGTTGTACGGCCAGGGAGACTCTAATTCACACAGCAACGCAGTCCCAATCTAGAAACGTACCAACTCCAACAGTTACCAAAGATAAGGATGTTCGCAACCATGCCAGAAACGTTCGTTCGTTAGCTAGAACAATATTCAATTTTTTCGAGTGAGCATCTCTACAGCACGATCAAAAGGTCTTTTGTGTTTACCCAAATGGTCGCGCGCAACTGCAGCTTTGTTTTCGAGCAAAGCCGAAGTGGAGAAACGTTCGTATATACGGCGAATGGTATCATATGGGTTGGATTTTTTATCCTGATCCTGGTATTGTCGCCGCATAGTTTCTTTTTCCGGTCGAGATTTCGTTCGAACTAGGAATGGCGGTGAGAATTCATGAACGCGATCGCTCAAGCGGTCTTGATCGTCTTCAACGTCGTCGCCATGGTGTTGTGTCGGCGAGGTTGCTCGACTGATAGAGTCGGTTGGGTGTATTGGAGCCTCTTGTTCTTCTTGCCTATGTGTTTGCGTATCTTGCTCAGCTATTGTATTGTTCATCTGGGGGGATGGGGTTAGAAAAGAAGAGGCGGAACGGGGCTTCTTTTTTGGGGGGCGGTGAGAGGTGCGAAAGAGCGAGTGTATGGGAAGGTAAAGAGGGACGAAAGGGATGCTTAAAAGGGGTGTGTGTGTGTGTGCGTATCTTTTAAACCAATTCGTGCGAAAGTGAGAGGAAGAAGACTCTGTGATGCTCCACATGGGAGTAAAGTGCCTTGTTTCAAAAAAAAAACAGAAAGTGGTGTGTAACTTTCTGGCGCATGCTTACGCACGTAGGCGTCATGCGGAACAACACTTTTCCCTCTCCACTACTTGAAATCCAACCACTCGCACGGTATGTTGAGATCGGACTTTATTGGTTTGTAGTTGACTATTATTGACTGAGGAAATATGGAAAGGGTGAACTTGTCAGGGGTGGGGGAGATACTCGTGCTTGCAAAGGGCAAGAAATAAGAGCCCGTGGTAGTGGTGATCGTAGCAGCAACGAGCTTGACAAAGCTAAACACCTTCTAGCTGACGCTCAAGATCGTCCATCTCGGCCTTGGCAGCCTGGTATTTTTGGGTCATTTCTTCGCTCTTGAGCTCCATAGTCTCCAGTTCTTGTTGCAGGTTGTTTGCCTTCTTCTCAAACTGCTCAGCGCGCAGATCAGCTTCGCGGAAACTATTATTATCGACGGTTTCGTCAGTAAGTAAGCTATGGCTCTCGCTCGAGAGACATCCCTTTCTTGCTTACTTTTCTGAGGCTTCCTTAAAGTCGAGCTCGGCCTTGTCGAGTTGTTCTTGCAGAAGTTTCACACGTGACTCCAGCGAGCTCAGTTCATGGTCTTTTTGCGTATGTTCGGCTTCCAACTGCTTAACACGGGCTTCAGCATCGTCTGCACGAGTGTTGGCAGCTTCGACTTCACCGCGCAAAGATGTCAATTTCTACGTTCGATCGGTTCGATCGGAAAGTTTGGATGGGTTACACACACTTGTCAAGCTTCGGGTGTATTGCTCGGATAACTTACCTCTTTGAATTTCTCCATGGTTTGTAGATATAAAGCTAGAATGTAAGTAGGATAAAGTGAGAAGGAGAAGAAGAACGAAAAAACAGACACAAAGAAAGGAACGGGACCCTTTTTATGTGCGATTTCAAGAACTTGCTTTTTTATTTCTTCATCCACTCAGATTCGTCCCGATCCCTTGTTCACATTGTTTCTATTATAGGGGAGGCTACAACCGGGATAGAGAGCTCTGGGGCTCCCTTTTCTTTTTATTTTTGAAGGATATACGTTCATAGAGAGAGAGAGCGTGTGTGGAGAAAGAGAGAGAAGAGGATATTTATAAATAATAGTTTTCTACATGCAGTCAGAGAGAGAGAGAGAAGACGCCTAATTACACAGTATATTCGTAGTAGCGCTAATACTGATACTAGCACCAAGTAGTGATAACACCACCACCAGCCAATTTACACGACATTGTCAACACCGGTTCCACCGAGGTACCTAGTGTTATCATGAAACAAAATATGTGAGTTGCATGTACGTATGTGCAGATATTACATGTAAAATGTACTGCGCGCTTGCATTGCATCACCGTCTTCACTCTAACCATGATCATTAACTTACTTTGAGCTAGCAAAGCTTTGACCCGTAGCAGCGCCAGCACCTAAATTATCACCAGAGTCAGTTAGTATCGGTCTGCAAAGCAATTCCGTCCCCTGGAAGCACTTCTCCCCGTCCTTCTCCCTTTCTCTCCTTCTTCTTACCATAGCAGATAGCAGCTAGTAGCAAGCTGACAGCAGCTGCGATTAATGGACCCTTGTCCATCAAGGTGGACAGAAACATGACAACCGCAAACCTAAGAACGAGGACATTTAGATTCCACACACACCATTATAACCCACCCCCCACGCACTCCTTCTGCCTTTGGTTTATCGTTCCTCTCTTGAGAACACTCGATATCTCCTAACATCTTCATGCCACTGTTGGCTTTTTCTAGTTCTAGAATGTTGGCTGCAAGTAACTTACACCAGGTACATCGTTGCTCGGAACCAGCAGTTTTCAAAATAAGCAATGAAATTATCACTACATGGGAAAGGGAGACAAGCTCAGTCAGTTAATAACCCATATTGTTACATACGCATGCAGCCTTTGCTCTTTTGCTGCGATTTTTCGAGACTTTTTTTTTCATTTACAATTTCGGACTTGTCGGACAGCACTAGTACAGAAAATCAACAAATGAGGTCAGACAATAGGAGTGAAAACGGGGGGTCGGGTTCTTTTGTCTAGTATCCTTATTTCTTCTTCTTTTTCCTCTTACCTTGAGACAGAGTGGAATTTCGACGAACAACAAGATCAGCGCAAGCACCCTAAGAAGCAGAGTTCATCACGTTACTACTTTTGTATATGCAAAGGAATACGGCCATTGTCCGATTGTTTTCCCGCAGTCCTTCTGACTTTCCACTACCGACGGCAGACACGTACCATCCAACAATGCTGAAAACAATATGGTTCACAAATCCGACAATGCCTAGCGCAATCAGCACTGGAGAACCGCGTCGTATGTGGATACGGGATCGAGTCAGTAAACAATATTAATCATCATCACTATAAGAAGGTGAACTTACGGACGACTGATATCAGGCCGAGCCTATTGTGAAACATTGGTACATGACGGAAAAACGCAAAAACACAGACAGTTTGTTCAGTTACGCGCACTATCCATTCGTTACATGGAGTGTTTGGCCAATAACCGGCATAAACAAGAAACGTTTACCATTGACCATAGAGCGAAAAGTTCTTTGACGTTACTTCATCGCAGCAGCCCATTGTTAGTTAGTGATATACGTATTATTTGGAAAGATATCCGAAAGCGGTAAAATGGAGGTGAAAGAGAAAGAAAGAAAAGAGAAAGGCGGAAGGGAGAATAGGGAAAAGATATAGCTCCACTCTCCATTATTTGCCGCGCACTCTCAACGCACACACGCTCTCCCACACAGACACAGACACAGACACAGAGACACACACGGAACGGGTTCGGGCTCCACTTAAAATAGCATGGTGTAACAACAACAACAACAGCAGCAACCTTCTTTCATTGTTATATCTCTTATTATGCTCTCAGCAAGCTACGAATGATAAAAGACCTGCGTTTATCAGGACGATGCGACTGCGGCCGTTGCGTCTGATTTGCTGCTGCAGGACTGCGTTTGCTCTTGCTTCTGTGAGCATCGCTTCTGCTGCTGCTGCTGCTGCTGCTGCCAAGGGCCGGCAAGGATCGTCGCCTTCTTTGGCTGTTGTTGCCGTTGTTGCTGCTGTCGGCAGGCGGATGGATTTCGGGAGAGTAGTGTAGCGGTTTGGGAGGATAATGAAGCACCGTTGCAGGCTCAACACAGCTATCGGTTGTGATTGTCGAAGACACCGGCGACTCCTTGTTGGTCTTGATCTTCATGATGCGTTCCCGAAAGAACCGGGATGATTTGTGTAGGAGGTTACGACGGGATCCTGAGCTTCTTAGCTTTGGCGATGGTGCTGGTGGTGGTGATGCTGCTGCTGTTGTTGTTGCAGTCGCTGGGGATGGTGGAGGTGATGTAAAGTTGCCTTCTTGTAGTACAGCGCCAAGGCTTGTCTGTCGTCGTGACGGTGAGCTCAGGAGCGAATGTCTTCCTTTCGGCTCTCCTGTGATATATCCTGCTGTCGCTGGGTCTTTACGTCGAACCTTGTAGTAATCTTGTTGCTGCTTCTGTTGCTGTTGCTGCTGATAATCGCTTATACTGCCAGAAGAACAAGTGGTAGCACTAGAAGAGTCTTGGCATGTTTTATCACTGCCGTCATCCTGCAGTTTCTTTGTAATCCACTTGTCAGGAAAAGAAAGAACAATCCTTTCGTCCTCTCCCCTATCGCGAATGCCATCATCACACTTACAGCAAGACCGTAAAGTGATGCCCGTTTCAAATCAAACTGTCGGATAAGATCTTCAGAGAACGATTCGTCGCCGACTGAAAGAGGTTGCCATAATTGAAAGTCAATCCGGAACGCAGTGCCAGGAAGATGACCGAGAGGTGAAGTGGTGGAAGGATCTGAAGAAGCTGCTGTCGCAGCCGCCATGATGCGTGTATATCAGGGAAACAGAAAGAAATTAAAGAAAGAAAGAGAGGGAGGGAGACAGCGAGAGCCGACAAGAAGAAGAAGAACGCCATGCGGTAGGTAATTTACGTGCCAGTAGGGGGTACTTCACACAAAAGTCTTTTTTCAAATATGACAGAACATACTCTTGTTGCTATTGTTGGTTAGTAAGGGGGTGAAGGTAAAGACGAGCAGAGAAGAAAGAAATGATAGATAGTGTTCATAACAAACGCGCGTGCATTCTATCTTGAACGCTATTTGCATTCTCTTTTTCCTTCTGGCCACTAAAGTATATATCGCCAACGCGCGCGCGCGGTGTTTTTAGGAGAGGTGCACAAGAAAGGAGGTGACGGATGCTGCATGGCATGAAAGGGTCCGTCCGTTCGTGGTAATATTTGTTTCGTTTTAGTATGTGCAAAGGAGTCGGTTCTGCACTATTAGGCATAAGCCTCCTCCTTTCGCCCCATCCCACTCATCCATCCATTAAGCGTGGTCTTATCCTGCTACTAATTCGGTTTAAAGATCAGCTGTGCATAAAGAAGGGATATACATATCGCGTTTTATTAATATATAAGATGGGGTTTGTGCGTGTGTGTATATATGGGAGTGTGTTGGACATGTATGAGTGGATGTGTGCGTGATGGAGAATCAAGGAAGAAAGTGGCACTTATTGTCGAAGAGCCTTCAAGCGTTCTGTCAATAGGGCGTCCTCGTCGCGTTCCTTTTGTTTTGTTTCGCCAAGTGTTTTGCTTGGCTCGAGCTGGCCCAGCTCTTGGTTCAGCTCTAATCCATGCTCGTCTGCCACTTGCTGCATCAACGTCTCCACTTCGTTCTGCGGTGTCGTCATCGTTGTCGTGCCTGCCATTGCCCCTTCCATATATTCTGTCTGGACATCCAGGTCCTCAAACTGCGACTCGAACTTATCCATCACCATCGATATCTGATCCACAACGTGTTAGTTGTTATCCCGTCTTCCCACCCTCTTCTTTGTTTTTTGCACTTGAATGTATACCTTTTCAAGATTCATCGATTCCATTGCTCGATCCATGCCTTTTACTACGCTTGCCATGGACGTGGTGACCTGTATCAAACCATCCGAAAAAAATCAGACTTAGCTAAACCAGAAGAGAGAGAAAAGCACCTCCCATTCCCTATTAACTTACCTTGCGCATAGTCACTGCCGTTTGCACTCGACTGGCAACGGCGTCGATTCGAGACGATAGTCGAAGCAAGTTCAACGATTCATTCTTTTTTCGGATCGCATTCGATGCATAGATGCGCGCACCTTCCATGTTACCGTCTTGTATAGCCTATCACACCTCATACTGTGAGTTTACGTGTGACCAAAAGCTCTGTCTCGATGCAATAGACTTTACCTTTTTCAACTTTGCCTTTTCGACCCCTTCGTCTTTTTGACATCGCTTCGATTGCTTGTTCAATTGCTTGGCTGTAAACTAAATATGTATAGATTATTTTTATCTGATCAGCTGCTTGCTTGGAGTAGTACACGTTTTGTTTTTTCGATACTCGGAAGGGACGAAAAGACACACGGACCCCACTCAAACTACCCCCTCATTATCCAATAGGTTGCCAAGATTGAGTGCGTACCTTTAGCTGAAACAGATTCTCTAAAACCACCACAAAGAGAAACACAGGTTATACAATCGTCGTTCAAGAAAGCATGGTAGCATTAGTAGAGATTGACATACTTTCGAGACCATTCATTGCGTTATTTCTGTTTTCGAGTAGGCTAGGGGAAAGGATATAAAAATGCTGCTGCAAATGGTCCTGCGAATTCTGTTCTCCGGTTTTTTGGAGTACGTACTACTGCCTTTCCTTGCCACTTTTTTGAATTTGAATCCCCGAAAACCACAGATACTGCAAAAATGTCCAGGATACAACAGTTAATGATGGCAACCGGATACATAGTATCACTCTCATGCTAATAATATAAACCAAATAATGGACTGTTCTGGCTACGACATCGAAAGTGGATGAATGTTACATATCCAGATCCCTGTCCTTTTATTCATGACCAATAAAACAACTACCTAGTTCTGGTGTTGTCTGTTTGAACTAGTGATTTTGTTCTATCCATCAAACTGATCGTCGTTGATGAATCGAATAAAAATTTGTAGTTCGTGGGTGTGACGACGCTTACCATCTAATGGTAAAAGTACGTATATGAACAGCGCCAGTTTTGACTGTAATTCGATGTCTTTTTTTTTGGTTGTCGATCCGTATCTTTCACCAGCGTAGCATAAACAAGGTGGTCAACATACCATCGTTTTAATATAAATGGCAATCTCAGTCGGTGATACATAGCTAAATCTCACTTGAGCAATCCTACCGTATCCTACTGTCGTGCTTGTTATGTATTTGCAAGAAACGGGTCACAGCTTACAGTGAAATAATCGGCATGTGTGGGTGCAACTTATCAAAAGGTGCAAACCATCTTTCTCTCTTTATCTTTTACATTTAAAAGGTATCCCGCGATTTACCGTTCCTAACATGCTACGATCCCAGTTGTGATCAAGAAGAAAAAAAATCTCTCCTTGAAATAGAGCCAAACCCATCAAAAGGTACTCCTACTTGCACATAGTAAATGTATGCATATATCAAAGCAGCAGTAATATTAGTCCACATTATGTTTCTTAACGTCAAAAGAACCAAATTGACAAGCTTCTCTTGTACAAAAAGAAAAAGAGGACAACGTCACCGCTTTGATATCGTTGGCTCTTCGCCATTCGAGCTATTCACATGCACTATCAAAATGCTCGAATTTGATAGCTTGATGTCTGTCTTGCACGTGTCTAGCACTTGGCGACAGCGTCTATATATTGTCGTGTCAACACACCTGCCAAACACTAACTATGCAAAAAATGACCCAACTTTTTTAATTTGCTCCTTTTTGAACCGCCAATTACTGCCTTTGTCCAGGCAGAGTACAGTATCGCAAGCATCGAGCAGCTCTGGCCGCTATGCAACAAGGAGCATTTAAAAATCTCAGAACGCTCGAAATGAAGGGCATGTGAACGATGCTCTTTTGGTATATTTCTCATGTCTTATGTGGAGTTTTCTTTCTGAATTGAGCGTTAGTATCAATGATATAATGTTTGCTTAATATGATATGTAAATTACAGTATCGTGGATCACGAAGCGCTCTCTGTAGGATTGCGTGGCGTGGCAAGTACTCTAGTTGATCTGGTAATCGAATCCAAACTCAACGTGCAGGAACCCTCGGTACCATTTGGCACGGTGCAGTCCCTGATGCCGGCTTTGGAGTAATTTTCATACGGCCACGATTGTCATGGCTCCTCGTTCTTCGACCGATGATACATACAGCAACTATTGGATCCATGGAAGAAATTTACACGGATTTGCGCCAGCTGCGGCTACATTTCAATGCTACGGCGCCGCCCGAAGCTGCTCTTCACAATTCTTTACACGGTGCCCATATCCAAGATCTGAAGATAAACTTGCCGAGTTTGTCTGTCGTTCAAGCTGTTCATCGATATTGTAAAAACATCGAGAACCTTGTTGCTGATGGTCTGTTTGCCTATAACGCACAAGTCATTGATGATACCGATATTAGTGTTCCCGCAGCAGCCCGCTGTCACTGTCGATGGGCGTCTTGATTGTCCCTGGAAATTAGTGGATTTTTACATTGAACCAGTCAATATGGGATCTGACTCTATTGACTGATTTATGCCCCACTTTATCCGAAGCGTGGAGATCCTACGTAGCTTACACTTGCCGATGGACATGCCTATGGGCTTTGACTGGAATGGGCCGCTGTCAGTCGACTTGTGGACGTGCATGGAGAATCCGACGCTAAAGATCCGGTACCAAGAGGTTGTCACTGCCATCCGATTGGCTCGAATGCGACACCAGTTGCACACCCTGCCTCTTTCGGCTGCTGAAACCGACTACCCGATACCATTAGAGGAAGAAGATACGGTAGAAGAAATCGATATGAATGACGATACTGGTGTCCAACAACAACAGCATATGATGGGCGATCACATTGCTCACCTTTCTAACAACATCGCACGCCTCATTACTATGCGGCTTTTGGAGCTGCACCACATAGCTTATCTTACTTTTGGTGCTAGTACAGTACAGCATTGCAGGCAAGCACATTTTCACGAGTCAAAGATTTGTCATGCTGGCAATGAAATATTTTCCTGACAACAAGAACCAAGTGCTTAAAGCTCATAAGAACGCAGGCTAATATGCTTATCCCAAATGCAACAACATCAATTGATTTTTGTCGTTCCTTTTGTGATTCCACCGATGCCGCATTATAGCTGTCTTTTCTGCTATGCTATCGAGAGAGAGAGAGAGAGAGAGAGAGAGAGATTAGCATTAATGACATTGAGCACATGCATCTTACTATGTTTTCCTTCAGCTCTTTTCTCTCCCCTGCCTTTTCCATTTTTCATTATCTAGTCAATGATGATGATAGTGGGGTACGGGAGTCAATGGCTACATACTTTTCAAATAGAATAGTTACCAAGAAGAAGAAGATGAAGCAGGGAAAAAAGGAGTCGGTGTACGGTATTGTTTTTATTGGATTAGCTTTATGGCGGCTTCAGAACGTAACGCATCGGTCGTTTACATAAACAATCAATTCGACTGTCTGCTAAATACAAACGAGCTTTGTTTTAATTCAAGATTATATTGCTGTTGCTGTTTAGTGATCGTAAGACCTCCTTGTTGTAAATGTATATTTTTTTCGAAAAAGAAACAAAAACGAATATCGTGTAAGCAAGAAAGGAAGTCGTCAATAAATTAAAGTTTCTCTTTTGCCGGATGCCGTCGTTTTTGCAAGAGATTCAGGGCAGATATAAAAAGAAGGTACAGTAGCGGTTTGGAAGAATACAACATATGGCGCCATCACTTGAGGGACACCACCTTGCTATAATCACCCCAGAGCGCAGTAGCATCTTATCTTTTAATCCCAGTAAACTCGATCGACTGCGATGGTTTAAAAGTTATGTGATTGAACAACAAAGCAGCAAGAGAAACAAGGAGATCCTAGAACACAATACGTGAGCAACAACTAGAAAAAGCAACAATGAGTAGGCACGTTGTTTGCAGGGAAACAAGCCTTTAAAAAACATACTGTTCGTACTCCCCGATGATAAGGGGGCAGCAGGGGTAACAGAGGGAAGTCTACATATGAGCGAGAGGGAAGATGCTGGATGTGAGGACCTGCATCTACTATGTTTAACATCGAAACAGCTATTATACCTTTAAAAAACTTGATCTCCAGTGCAGAGTAAATGCACATCACCATGCTGACATGATACACAAGTCAATAACAAAGATAGCCAAAACACACACAAGACAAACAGCAGCAGGAGCCCCGGTTGCGTCTGTGAATGGGCACATGATGATATATGGTGGGGCTGAAACTTATAAGCTGGTCCATTCTGTTATTGTAACAGGGAAATCATGAGCACCGTGGAATTCTGGTTTTACCCAGCCGCAAAACGAAGGATTTGCCCCGTCGCAATCACCATGGGACGACGAAACAAACAACACACATCCATTGTAGTACATGTACATCATCATAATCTTATGGTATGTAGGAGATACTAGTAAGCAAACAGATGTATTAAGAGAGAAGGATCAAAATCCAAACAGTTCTTTTTGTTTTCTTCCTTTCTAGAAGGTCAAAAAACAATAAACTAAAGAAGAGGCTGCAATATAGTGAGAATATAAACATGGAAGATGGACGCAATAAGGGGTGGGACTGCCCGAGGGGTTGCTGAATGTGTGTGTGTAGTGTAGAAAAGAGAGAGTGAGAGAGGACGTTGTTTTGTGATATGTACAGTAAATAGACAGCAGCGTGAGTTCAAGTGGTGTGTGTGAGAGAGAAGGAAAAGAAGTATGTATAGCAGAAGAACGGAAAATCGGTATATAGAAGAGGTTGATTGTAGATGTTTGTACGTTAGTGGACCAAGCTCACGACAGCCTTGTTGTAATCGCCGACACTGTAGGATCGTGGACGCAGCTGCTTGTTGGTCTCGCTCACTTGCAAATGATGAATGGGCACAATGAAGCTTGAGTCTTGGGGAAGAGGATTGTGCGTGCGGGCAATCTCCTCCTGCTCGTACAATTGACTGGCAGCCAGAATCTGTCGCAATTCTTGGCAGCAAGCATCGTCATCTTCAAGCTGGAGAGTGAAGGAGGAAGGCTTCTTTGGGCAGGGTGCGACGATGTTCATGGTTGGTTTTCGAGGTATAATATTGCGGCTGTTGTTATTGATGTTGCGGTGATGGTGGTGGTGGTGTTGATGATTGGAGGTATACTGGACAGAGAGAGAGGAATAGGATAGATAACAATTATAATATGTACAAGTAAAGAAGAAGCTGGATTAGAGAATAGAAGTAAAAAGAAAGGGTGTGATGCAGTGGGGTGCCGGTCTGTAGTGCCGCTATTTATATCGATGGGGATTTTCCCAATTGCTAAGTTACACCGACCTGCACCAACCGACCGTGTGTACTACTACTACTACTACTACTACTATTACTACTACTACTGCTGCTGCTGCTGCCACTTGTCGCTCCCTCCCCACCCCCAACTCCTTAAACTGATCATGTCTTTTTGTTTCTATGATACCGACAAGCTCGTGTCTGTACTCGGTATTAGTATCATCGGTGTACTGTCTACATATTACTGCTACCACTACCACTACTACTACTACTACTACTACTGCTCGACAGACATGTCTCTCCCTCCCTGTTCTTGTACGTGTGGAGCGGAACCGTTTTTGCTGTCCCCTTGTGTTCTTTTTCTCTCCCCGGGTCCCATCGTCTCCCTTTTCTACTGTCATGTAAACTTCTCCAGAAAATCAAGGGAAAACAACCCGGTTGAGAAAGATCCCTTACAGCAGACACGACCACACATTACATACACTCCCAAACTAAAAGAAAAGAGAGCTCGGCCTTTTTTTTTTGTGTTCCGATGGAACCGCGTGCTGTTTGCTGCTTTGGTATGCACGTAACCAATGCCGAATTCAAATCCGATCAACAGTCTCACACTCGACTCTCCCACAGCTTCCAACAGTGAAAAAGGAGGTGCTAAGCACAGAGAAGAACAGAGTTGTCGTCACGCATGCCATATAAGCTTTATCTAAAGTACTGCCAACTATGTCATCTCTCAGGGGCTGACAACACAGTGAAAGGATTCTGGAACGTATCATTCATTTATTTATTATTTAATAACAGCAGAGTGTCCTAAATTATCGATGTGGGTGCTGCTGCTACATACTACTTCTTGTGGACCTGACAAAATATTATTTAATAATACATGCGCACACGCACCGTAATGTGACACAATGTACGATAATATATGTGTGTACATGACACGCTTCTCGCTCTCTCTGACTTACCCCCCACCCCACCCCCCTTCACACATACTCACACACACCACACCGCCCAGTCAAGTTGATCGACCTGTGACCTTCCCGGACTTATTCACTTTCCATGGGTTCATCTGTTGCGAGCCAGCTGTATTCCTCCCGGTACCACACGGTACCACAGACCATACCCGAAAGGACCGTGTGATAAGCTGTGATCACGTTACAGAATGTACGCATTGACGCACCGTCTTGCTGCTGCTGCTGCTGCTGCTGCTGCTGACAGTGCATACTTACATACATCTATCGTCGGTGCTGTCCCGCAGGAAGAAAACTCTTGGCGACTGTATGCTACTGCTGTCAAGAATAACTGGGTCTTATTCTTTTTCCAAGTGGCCACTTCTTGTGCTGCCCTCAGCTGCGCCTTTGTGCATGAACCAGAAGCACCGCCTTTTTTACATCACTAAGAAACACCTGTGCTGTATGCACACCCAGTATGTGCCAAGTTATGTATAAGCGTGATCATATATTGCTGTCACGGCCATCACTGCTAACTGCTAGATGGCCATTACATTGTCTTGCCATATACACATCGTCGACCATCAATATCTTTTCTCCCCACCTAGCTCTAAATGAGAAAAAAGAACATGCTATGAATCTTATATAGAGGCGCACAGTCTTTTTTTGGATTGTGAAGAAGAAAACGTGGGCGCTTTGATTACTGTCACGTACACACTTAATTAGTTTAGTCTGAGTTTGAGCATATTAACGTGTTACAAGTTTTTTTTTGAACTTTTATGCGTAAAAAAAATATCATAATATATTTTGTGTCGTCTTCAAGGAGGTCGTAAATGTCATGGAAAAGATAAAAGATATAAACCTCATTGAATGGCTTATAGAATATAGCTTTACTTTACGATATGCGTTTAGTATGACTTTACTGTTTCATAGAAGTAGGCTGATTACTAACTAGCTACTTAGCCCTTTACATGAGACGGACTAAAAGGCTTAATGGTCTTGTACTGAGCTCATGGGGAACATGAAACACCTATAGCTTGGCTTCATTGCGAGCTGATTAGACTTGAAAGCCGCTCAGAAGTGTTTTGGCGGACACTAGAAGACAACATCAAACAATAATCCTCAATGTTGGGCGCGCATCAACTCTTCGATTCTTAGGTGATTTATAGTAACACTGGGCAAACCTTACAACAGCGGATGCAATTTTAAATTAGTTAGTCCATGTATCCGCGATTGCTTTATTTTTTGGTACGCCGGCATGGGCGATGACTGTGCTCCAGCAGCAGATGTCTAATTTTTCTTGGCTCCATAATGAAACATTGTTTGCTACCTTTCTGTTTCGAAAACATTTATACACACATCTCAAAAAATAATCCTGCGCCGACGACACTAAATATCATGACAACAATACTAGTACCTGTGATCGACACTTAGGAAGCGCGTGTGACAGGTATTGACATTGCCTTTTCAAAACTTTCTATATCGAGACACCAAAAAGAGGCAGCACGAACTAGATACTTCGCAACAATAAACCTCAGCGTAATTTGCTCAGTTGATGCCTTCTCGCATACGACGGAAATGATTGTATCATAGTTGAGTTGTGGTTTATATTTCTACATCATATCATAGAAGCTTTATGGCCACTAGTATTCACTGCATTTTCTTAGATGACGACGTTGAAATCCATTATGGGTAATGATCCGCCCAGCGAGAACCCCGCAGGTATCGACACGTCGTAGAAATATCGATATTGTGAAAAGCCGATAAAGTATGGAAGTACACCATGAAAATGTTTTGCGCCTGATTACTAACAACTATTCCATTCATTGGCATGAAAAGTCTGTTCAACTCCGTGCAACAGATTTTTTTCAAGTATGAACGATATTCAATAACAATGGTTAAATCAACAAAAGCAACAATCTGTGCCACATAGCACTTTGCCAACTTGACTAAAGGCTAGAAAAAAAAGGGCAACGGCTTTCAGAATATTCTGCTCGTCCTAATGATACCTTGTGTGTACTGTGCTGCTTGCTCCTATATAGCAAAGAAATACTACATATTTGGCCGCCTTTTAAACTAGCTTTCTCGACAACTTCATAACGTTTAGTGTTACAGCGCAATTAAATGCTGCTGATAAGTTCCCCATGATTTTCTGAATTCCTATTATTTGTCATATCAGTAGAGAGAAACGCTTTTGTGATACCGATAGTGTCTTTCTAAAACACCTGCCGCGTGCATTGTGTGTGACTCCTTTTCTTCGCCTGGTAAGTTTGGTCTCGTTGATGGCGGTATCGGCGTGTTTGATGATGAGGTTTGCTGTTTTTGTTGTTGTTGCGGGAAAGTTATGGGGAGTTTACAAAAGAGCGTAGTATAAAAAGTACCCATGCACATTCAAGGCTTTCTCTTTCATTTTCAGATGGATGATATAATAATAACAGCAGCAAACATAAACAACAACAAAACTAAACAAGCTATCAACAAATAAACTTGTTTTGGCGGTCATCTTGAACAACATTTATCCCTAAGATTAGCGGCGTTTTCTCGAAAGCAATTCACTACTATTACACATTTGTAGTGCCATTTCGTCAATGGATACAAATGTATCATTCTATGTACCTTCTTGCAGAGCCTAAGCAATTCTACCGAGGCAGTAAATATATGTACTTCTTCACAAACGAAGGTGAATGGCGCCCAGGTAGTTAGTACAAGCCATCATGCTTCCCATTCGTTAGGGTTGTCAGTCCATCTATTCTTTTTTTTCAAAGCTAATACATATTTGAATCTGCATCATATCAATATTTTGACACGCTTGGCGTCCGGAGTGACATTGAAAACAGTTATCGCCCATCAGCTCATGAAATTTTCCGCCGCGCCCCTCAGCAGCAACATCAGAAGATATACATACCCGCGTATTTCGATTCTACATGTGCAACATTAGGACAATTGATAATAGTAAAAAGCTACTGCTAGATCAGTCGGTGACAGCGAAGGCCGTAAATCATTGTACGGTTCAAGCTCTACTTTCTATTACACAGCTTTACTAACGATGTTTACATTTATATACTATTCATCACCGTTTGCGGATGCAAAGCAAAGGGCCGTGCGCACGTACGCGGACACGCACGCGCATTGCGACGTTAAACGAACGTGCCCCATGGCCTTAATAGCCACGATGACACTGATCGTCACTTTTCGGAGTAAGTTTATTTTATAAATACTCTATGATAACGAACCGGGAAAACGACTGGATCGATCAACCTGTCTGGTATCACACATTCCCCCTCACTTCCACTGCCTCCCATGCTCTCTTTGAGAAGATCGATGTATCATCCCTTGAAGAAAACAAGGGAGAATCGTAAGAAATGTGTCATCAATAGTGCGAGTAGAAGAAAAACAAAAGATGTGACTTCATCATGACGCCAATATACCTAGACAAGTCTCCTGAGTAATATGCATACGTTGCGTGGGTAATTCAGACTTAAAATATATGTTTCATCATCGTTTGACTTCATAAAGGCTGAAAAGTAAGGCTGAAAAATAAAGAGACTGAATATTTGGCAGCAATTAATAACTGCAGACAACGGCGAGCTGTCAGAGACTGATGTTGGTTGTTCGAATATAGCGCCTCTGGTATGTGTAGTGTGGCACAAAATTGCGCTTTCTGACACTTATGCATTACTTTAGCAATACATGTCTAAAGGATCCGTTCCCTGTTCAACCGATATTGAGGTGGTTCTCTCTGATAAAACATCCGAAATCCTGTGTACTTTCTAGTATTGGTTACCGCACAACATCTGCTGTCCAACAATTTTTTACGCCACAATTGCCATTCGGCTACTTCCTGATATAGTTGCTCGATCAACACAAGGTATTGTTCCTGACACTGGTGCTCTTTTTCGTGTTTTTTATTCCAGATGCAGCAACAACAACAGTAAGGCTAAAATGTAAAGCTGATACAGAAAAATAACAATAATATAAGAGGTAAGGAACGGAAAATTACACAGAAAAAGAGTGTGTGCGTGTGAGAGGTGTTGGAGAAAGTTCAGCACTATAGTATGTTGAAGATGAAACTGTTATTATTATTATTATTGGCGTATTCCCATTTTCATTTCTTCTACCACCCCCCCAAGAGAGCGCTTTGGTTATATTTTTTTTGTGAGCTGTCGGTGAGGTTATACTATGTGCAAGTCTGTGCGCCTAGTATGTTTCAAGGGCAAAAACGCCAAACCTTAGTAGACGCACCGGATGAAACATCGTTTCTCCTCCCTTTCTTCGGTCGCTCATTCTGTTGCTTCTTATTCATCGTATATTTTAGGAATTTCAATGTGGAGACGTCGCCGCAAGAAGGGGGCGCCGTTGGAAGTGATATTTGTTTGACGACGTTGTGTGAAACTAGGCTAATCGATTTCTTTTTCTCGGTCTGTGCCAATCCTGATAGAGTGTTTGTTTGTTGCCTTGCGTCCAACTTAGACTCTAGACAGGTGGACAGGTTTGACAGAGTAAATTAAGAAATCTATATAAAAGAACCGCGTAAAACCTGTTCTTTCTCCTTTTCTTATTCCATTCACACATCAACACCAAAAGTTAAAAGTTTTATCTGCTACCTCCTTCAAATAAACCTATACATCACCTCTCCTCGTCATGGTCTACTGCTGCTTTTCTGCAACTTCCTCTTCCTTCTCTACACAGCCTGACCCTAATGGTCTTCCCGTCAACTCGATTCGTGATCTTGATCTACGCGGTGGCCAATGGTAAGCTTGCTCATCATACATATCACTAGAAAAGAGTGCGTGTACAGGTTGCTGTGTATATATAGACATGATGACAGCAGAGAACAAACGGAGGAAAGAGCAATGTTTTTGTGAGCAACATTAACATTTACTTAAATGCTAATGTGCTCTATGTACGTTTCGATCTTTTTCTAATAGTACATGGTGCGGGAAGTACGGTCATCGACGACCTGTATGCCCACTTTTGAGATAAACCTATGGCATCTTTTGTATTATTCAAAACGACACTATCTACTACTAGCAATTGTATCTTTCATTTTCATCTACTGCAGTTATAAACATCATCTTTCGCTATCCTCACCATCCTCACCATCACCAATCACACTACAAAGCACTCAAAAATGCATCATTCTAATCTTGTTTATTTTCTGCCACACACATTAAAGCACCAAATTCTATTGCTGATATTTGCTGCTTCATCCTATAAAAGCTCTCTTTTCCTCTCTCCCACATACTTTTCTTTGTACCCCAAATTATTCAATAATAGAAATAAGCTTTTTTGGACTGTTTACATAAGTTCTTTTAGAGTTTCGAGTACAAGGTCACAGGGGCTATATTTTTGTTGTTATTTTGTAAGATGCTTCTCTTTTGTTCTTCGTTGCTGTCTGCGCTTTATCTCGAAAGATGATCTATGCTAATCGGTAAACAGTGCCCTTTAGTATTTGCTATCATTGACATTATAATCGAAGCACATATACACGAACGCTATCCCAACGACTGTTTCCACTTATCAACATGAAATAGTCTTTATACTAGCAGAAAATATGCTGCTGTTTGTTGCTGATATATTTTATAGAATGAAAATAACTCATACTCACCGTTCCTGTTATGGTATTAGTTGGATGTGAGTTTGTTGGGGAAAATAATCAGGGGGTGGTTGAACGTACTGATGTGTTGTTGTTTTTGTTGCAAGTCGTTTTGAGAATATAATTCTTTTTAAAACATATGGCGTTTTCTTTCGTGGTTTAGATGTGTTTTATGTAGCTGAAATTAATTCGACCATTCATCGTTATTGGGATTAAAGTTTAGCACTCACTGTTCCTCACCGAGATGTCATGTTAATGCAATTCACCCACCTTGCTGCTTTGATTGCTATCTTCTACGTTTTTGGAGCCACCTCTTCTCATTGGTTTGAGTTAAAAGCAGACATTTAATGGTATATAGTTTACTATGCTACTACAATGGAGTGTTCTTTTCTCTTAAATAAACAGTCTGCGCCATTCTTCGCCAGCATTTCCTAAGTCTGGACCTTTGCTCTTAAGAAGGAAAGGTAAATAAAATGCGCGCCAGATATTTATATATTTGTTGAATATGAAGAATGGCAAGCGTCTTAAAAGTGTATTCTTTTTCGCCATTGGTGCTACCACAATCAAGAATAAAGAAGGACTATTATATTTTTGCCCATGGTGGAGAAACCAGTACTGTATCATTAATGATGTAGAGCCGTACTTACAGATTTGTTTGTCTGAGTAATGGCCTGGCATCTTCTGTTGTGAGTGAAAAGGTACACATACTGTCCATCCAAGATTTAATGATAGGTAGTTGGTATAATCAATTCTATGCTGCAGCTGGATGATCTACATGGTCAAAGTACCAATGTACTATACAGGCCGCGTGCAAACATTATCTTTTGTGAAGTGCATACTGCTACCGCTAAGCAAGTAGCAACTGCGACAGTTGTTCATTTGCTCCGCTCCTTCCGTGAAGATTCAAATGGCAATTTATCCCTCCACAAAGTTGTTCGTTTCGGACAATGGGGCCATCAGAAGACATATGTACGTGTATCTGAACGTTAACATCACTTATATTCTGCAACCCTACATTGTAATACTTGCTAACATGTCCATCAAAACACACACTGCTTTTTCACTATTTTTTAAATTTTTTCTGCAACCTTTCCTTAGAAAGAATGGGCGAACGAAGAAACAGAATCGACGCTAAATATGACCTAGACGAAAAATGACGTTTTTCGGCACTAATCCTAGTCAAGTTTAGTCTCGGAGTGCCAAAAATTCCGTTCTAAAAGCATGATGATGACGAGCAGCAGTATCAGACGCTGGATTCATTCTTTCTTTCACCTGGTTTTATATATTGTATCATTCATTTTCGAAATCTGTATCATACCTACAAATACGCTAACAAAACATAGGAAAAAGAAAGTACCATTGCCATGACCAACGAACTCAACGCCAAACCTGTACCCAACAAATCTGGGACCCGACGATCCATTTCTGAGTCACCCGTCATGCCGATGCCAGAGTCTCCAAGCGATCGTATGGCAGCACTTAAGAATCTGGGCGCAACGTTCCAAGAAGGCCATCAAAAGATCTCAAAAGTAGCGACACCTACAGAAGAGTTCGTCCCCAGCTTTGTAGACACGCATCAAGTCGAGGCAATGGCTCAGAACCATAGCAATAATGATAGTAACAACGACAGCAACGGTAACCAGGGAGGCCCTGATTCATTACAGGACGCTGGCATGGCAACCAAAGTGGATTGATTTAAACAGACACATACGCCTCTTTATAGTAAATTGACGTCACCCAATTATGTCTTCCTTCTTTTCTTTCTACATCCTTATTGTTCCCCCTTCTTGCTGATATCCAGTCTGGCTTCTTTGCATCCGTATGCCGATGGTGTGATGATAATAAGTTTGCCACGCGGAACAGTGATCTTTGGGATATCCTGTTAAATTGTAAATATTTGTTTTTGAATTTTTTTACAAACATTAGCACAACATGGAATATATGTATGTTTTGTCGTGTTATGTTTTTTTAAACGGTATCGATTTCCATATACTTACACTTTCAGGGCGATCAAACAGATAGGCATACAGACAGCGTAGTACTGTTTCATGAGCAATGATCAAAACATCGTTTTTCTCGCGCTCGAGTTCCATGATAATCGCTTCTAGACGCACGGCCAGATCATGATATGACTATATTTAGACATGTAAACAAACATGTAGCGAGTGGCGACGACAACAGTATACAACAACAGATGGTGAAGATTTTTTTTTATAATGGGAACAAGGAGATAAAACGCGGTTAGAAAATGTTTCCTTATACCACACCATAAAACATAGTATTACCTCGGCGCGTGGATACCGGTGATGATAAGGATCAACCTTTGCACGTTCGATTTCGTCAGGGAACTTTTCATTGATTTGCTCTGGCGTCATTCCATCCACTACACCCGGGTTCAACTGATTAACCATCGAGTAGTGTCGGACGGCAATGTTGGGGTCGGTAGTGAAAATGCTTGCGGTCTGCCGACCGTTTTTCTGTGTCGGTGCCCATACACTCAGGGATCGGTCTTCATCTGCGCTCTTGCCAGTAATACCATCCTTTTTCGCGCGGTATTCGATCACAAATTCTTTCAAAACGTGAGCATAATCCCAACCTTCTTGAGATAGTTCAGGGTCTTCTCTATAAGAGTTTTCAATGACAGAGTTTCCGGTCTGATATGAACGTTTACATTAGTTCTTGAGATTCTTGATTACCATACACTTAATAGCTAGTAACCCTTTTTTACTTCTTACCCTTGCAAAGAAAATGGTACGAGGACGGTTATGTAGATTCATGAGATAATACACCATGCGTGACTATATTGGAATTAAGATAAACCAGCAGCAAGATGAACAGTAACAGAACAACTGTACCTGAAGATAACCCTGCACATGGTTGACGATGAGACGTTCGCCTACGTTCATGAGTTTGACAAAAGGCAGTGATGTATCTGAGATCGTTTCATAGTCAAGCTCATGTTGCTTAATGCGATCCTGTTAAACCGGGAATATAAGTGGGATGTCGTTAACTAGGGTTACCAGTACTGTCTTTCACTCTTTTAAAACCTTACAGTATAATCTTTGACGGCAGCATCGGGATCCCAGCCATAATACTAGCATGGCATTGTACATATTAATGAGCAATCGTCATTATTCATGTTAAGCAATAGTAACAATAACTTACGTCTGGCGAAGACACCTTGACGCTCCTGATATTTGCCAATACAATTTCGGGCTTGTCGCATATGGACTCGATGTAAAGCGGATGAATATCATTCTCCAACAGCTTTTTATAGATACCTCTTCGTCGATTTTCCGTCACATTATTTCCGTCATAGATGCCCACTTGTCCACCACCCACTCGAAGCCATTCCATCATGTCAGCCAAGCATTCATCGGCAATAGTTAACCGTTCTGCTTGTGCATCGAGATTGTCTACACGACATTAAATACATGTTAAAAGCTTGCACAATTACGCTTAACTGGTTGATTATGAAAAGAATCACAAACGAACAAAAGGTATTATACATACCTGGATCGAAATAGTCTTCAGGAATAGACTTGAGTCGTTCACGACGATAGTTTCCTACACTGAAAACTTTGGTGGAGACACCCAACCATCTCAAGTAACGACACAGTGATCGCGATACGTGTGTTTTGCCTCGTGCTGGAAGACTGAACAAAAAATTGTATATTAATAGCACGCCTTCTGCCATTCGCCTCATACCGATCGATCTCCTATTACCCAACCAAAACAATGGCAATGGCACCTGCATGGAATAGACGGCCACTTGCTGTTTTGTATAATGCAGCCATGACAACTGGATTGAAAAGCCAAAAGAAAGAAGAAATCACCCCGCGAAAAAAAAGGGGTCGGTTACAAAGTCTCAGGCACGATGCTTTGGCGTACGATGCATAGAGCCCTCGTCTATTTATATATTCATGGCCGTATACTCATACTCATGGTAGTAATATGAAAAACTACGATGGATATTAAAAAACTGTACTTTTTCTTGCATCGGCTTATATGACCGACACGCTTATAAAATGCTCTGCTTATGTTTATGAAACGAGAAAAACGAGATAGCGGATTTACGCATTTTTTCCACCCATCTTTTGGATAATTACTTGAGTGACACGAAAATACCCTTCAAGTCTTTGACCAAGATTATTTTCGTAGAATTATCATCCTTATCACAATGTCATAATCTATTGTCTGTTCTGCTTGTCAAACAGACATAATGACAGCCTTTGTTACACATACGCGTTCAAAATGACATTCCCACTTCTTCCCAGTTTCCCGACTGTCTGACAACAGTATCCAACTCAAACACGTTGATTTGCCGCCAAGACTTCTTTCTTTTCACATATCAACAACTATGTACAAGCTACCTTAAAAAAAAAAATTAATGCTTTCAGTAGCTAATATAGAAAAAAGGGATAGTATCAGAATGATATATACTGCAGCCGTCTGCGTAAAAGGAAAATCTTTGAACTTCTAAGAGTTCACCCTATATACTACCATTGTATCGATGCTAATTGCAAAGGCACAGCCTATATATACAGAAGTATTCTTGTCAAATCATGGTGACAGTTTTAGCTGATATATCAAGTAATGTTTGAAATAAGATACATCTAATTTGCAACATATTAATAGAAGATAGACAATAACGGCTAGTAGCTATACGAGCGTTTTGAAAAGAAAAAAATATGGAGCTGCATGGACAACGTCATTATTTGCCACCACGTACAGGGTTATGGATAAAATATTCCTTTGCTTACTCCACGAAAATCGCTTACAATAGAACATGGCTTCAACTATAAATTAAGTTGACTGCACAACCTTAACTTACATACGATGAAAAATTTACATCAAAGCAAACATTCTCTAATGTGCATATTATCGTTAGTTCTTTTATTACGTACCAGTATGTAAGGGAGGAATTGTAGAATAAAAGTGCGTATATATCTAATGTGGTTTTGTAAAAGGAAAAAAGTTGGAAACTAGTGCCAGCCCAAGAGTTTCCACCAGCCCATGCCTAGTGTAAGATAGATGATAATATAGAACAATGCGAGTTGCAAGCCGATAGAAAACCACCTCGAACGGGTCACATAGCCAGGTGCATAATACATGGCTGCCGTACCAGTTGAGAAGTTAGTCTAACACATATAAAGGAATAACAAAAATGCCACTGTTAATGATAATCGTCAAGTTGGATAAAGAAATAGGTCAAAAAAGGCTCTTTTTTTTTACCATGCAGCCGCCCAGTGCACCAAAAAACGCCAACAGAACAGTCAAGATCATAGGATTAGCGCCCAGCGCTCTACCTGCGTCCAAAAATGTACCAACGAAAGCGACAGTATGGGCACTCAGTGAAGAGAACATAAAGGTTGTTAAGAAGTAAGCCACAGCCAGGGCCGGTACGGGTGGCAGTCTTAAGTCATCTATCGCGTTGGAAATTTTATTGCCAAGATAAGCTGATGCACCTGCTTCTGAAAGTTGCTGTGCGATTGTCACAAACCCGCCTAGCCAGAATAACGTGTCCCACTGAAAAATAGTAAAAACAACCTTTCAGTATGCATTTCGCTTTTTCTTTTTTGGTTGTCCATTTTTCTTTTAAGATTTGTTACTCACAGCACTGGTGTTACTAGAAACATCCTTCCAGGTAATCGTACCCATTTGTAAGAGTGCTACAATGCCGATCAGAGCAACCAAGGTTGCATCTAGATTCGTGTATCCTGCACTGATCCACAGACATAGGCACATGATCAAAACAAAACACAGTTGCTATTTAAAAAAACATTAACGTCACATGACAATACCAGTTGTACGTGTAGTTAGTATTAACAATAAAATCGTGCAAAAATATGCGTACCCATTCCCGGCATGAAATGGGGCCCAAACGGTCCAATTCCGTCTGTGCATGCTTGATGATGCTGTCGCTGGTTACTTTGTTTTCCCCCGATTTAGTCTTGAGACCGCACGCCCAGCGCAAAATCAAAGGAAGACACACGGCACAAGTAAGGCCTGGAACCACTCCACCGATAAACCAGTCCAAGAATCCAAAGTGGATCTGAGGGAACAGGGCTTTTGCTTTTGCCAATACGATTGGGTTCGGTGCCATACCTTAGTATAAAAAGTAATATTTTCGTTGTTAGAAGGATCCTCGATAGAAAGGAGTCGATCAATGTAAGGGGAGCAGGCGTAAGCAAACAGCGGTAGCAGCCAGCGGGTATAGAAAATAACCTGTGAGGTACATAGAAGCCGACAGCAAGTTTGAATGAGATCCGACCAGCATCAAGAAAGCACCCACTTGAGGATCCTTTGATGGAGTCGAGCCCAACGTGGTGGCAATCGATGAAACAACGGGTAGTATGATCCCGCCGCCACGGGCTGTATTGGATGGAACGAATGGACCTAGGAGTAATTCTAATAAATCAAGCACAAAAATTAAGGGTCTCATTATTCTTTTATTCAAGTTGCCTCCACATTAATAGCAACTCAACCCAACCCCCTTGAAAATTCCTTTGTAGATATTTGAACTCGTTTTTCTTTCATCATTACCTGATGCCACAATCGCATAGGCCAAGCCAAGAATCCGCTTGCCGAAAAATTTAATCATCAACAAGGAGAGACGCCGACCTAACTGAGTAACTTCGACTGCTTTACCGAGATGAAAAGCAGCAAAGATCAGCCAAACGACAGAGCTGGAGAATCCTTCAAGTGAGTGCTTGAACGACTCCTTTGCACCCTTGCATTCGAATATGTCTCTTGTCAGCGGGTTAACTTCACCACAAAGACGACACTCAGTGTATTTGCCGGTCGCTTGATCCTCGCACTCAAACGATTGTGTCAAGGCGAGAACGGTTAAGCCCGTCAACACCAGCATGGATATTTCCACCTTGGTTGTAATTAATGCGAAAATACAACTTGTCAATTGTGTACATTTCATTTTTTAGTTTTGTTTTGTCCATGCAATATTCTTGTCATTATCATGATTTCTAATATTAATAAGTGTTAACTACCTGGCAAAGACGGCCAACAAGTGGATGGCAGTCGTACTAAGCTCAGGTGTCGGTGTGATCCCAAACCAGATCACTATGCCCAGAATTAGAGAAGGCAGAAGACTGATAAAATGGCTGCGGGAAAGCTTTTTACAACATGCTAGGTAGATGGTTTCGTGTTAAAAGTGGCCTTCAAGGTATCGTTTGCTCCTCTTATATGCTTACTATTATTAAAGCTGCCGGTGATCGAGCACAACGATGACGACTGCGAATGATTAGCGGAACTAGTGGTAGGAAGTAAAGCAGTACGTTCGTCCGGATCATCGGCGGTGGAGGCAGGAACTAAGACATCAATTGCTTCATGAGAAGAGGGCATGGCTTTCAAGGATGTAAGAAACGGAAGAGAGATGATAAAAAGGTGGACGGAAGAATGCGCTCTTTTTTATGGATGACAATGCATTGAGCAATTTTTGTCTAAATTTGTATATAATTCGAGGCGAGCCGTTTCTGCTTGGTAAATAACGCCTTAATACACATACGGTGCCTATAATGGTGGAGCTACTAATACTGTACCTGTCTATCACTCGTATAATCGTCCAAGCCCTTTTTTCCCTCTATGTCTCTCTAACTCGGTTTCTCTATTTTTTGGCTCTGCCATCCCCCCTCCCCCAGAGAAAAAAATGAAAGCACTCCTTCTAATATCATGTTGTATTGGACATCGTGGCCGTTTGCCCCGATCGTGAAAGAGGGAGGAATTCCACTTAAAAAAAATTCTATGACCCCTACTGTCTTGGCTCTTCGCTTGATCTTTTTTCCCGGAGGCTGATGATGATATTAAATTTGATTAATGTGAGGAAGATGATGATGTCAGTCTGATACGCTCTCTGGATCTGCAAACAAGAAGTCGTGTTGTTGCTAAATAGTGCACGACTAATCTTTAAGGCAACTCAACCTAACCGACGAGGTTACACAGCTAATTTAAAATAATCCACACCGGGCGCGCTTTTGCTGCAGAAATGCTAAAAGCTCATACTCCGGTCTTCATTTCTTTTTCCTTCTTTCGCTCTTTCTTTTCTTTCTTGAACAATACGTTAGCCGAGTGTGGAGTGTGTGAGTGTGTGCATATTATACAACAGCCTTTGTATACTTCACATCCACTTCTCTTTCGACAACCCCTTTTCCGCTCGTTTCATGTCATCATTATAACTGCTTATATGCTACTCGGCTCTTTTGCGACGGCGCTGATTCTATCTGCATCATGTGCAGCGGCAGAGCGGTTGCTGCACGCTGCAGTCCTTGCACCCAACGGCACTATTTATATTATCGGCGGCACGCCTGTTACCAACACAACGAGCCTTACGGTAACGACCCTGCAGATCGATGCGCATCATGAAATGATCCAGTCACCGTTACCTCAGTCTCAACAACAACAACAACAGCAGCAGCAGCAGCAGCATCTACTTCAGGGACATACGGCGCATTGGCATCCTCTCAAAAACGAACCCATGACGCTGTTTGGTATGACTCAACAACACAAAGAAAACCAAGAAAGAATAGCAACAACGATTACGACAGCGCCGATACCTGTGCCACGCTATCATCATGCATCCAGTCTAAATGTCGAAAACAATGAAATCTATGTTGTGGGTGGTCGAGATTTTCATGGGCAGGTGCTAAAAGATATTTGGAAGCTCTCGTTACGATCAATGAAGTGGCACCGACTATACCAACTCGAGCATCATCGGGGTTTCGCAGGTCATGGCATGGTCTTATATCGGCGTTGGCTGATTTCTTGTTTTGGAGACGAAGGCGACGGCGCCACCACAATTACAGGGTGCACGCTATGCTTTGATACCCACTCTCTGGTTGCACAAGCATGCAGCAATCATGGTGATAGTTTACCACTTGCTCGTACTGATACTGGTTTGAGTCAGGTACAAGACAACGTTGTCATTGTGCACGGCGGCCGCCAGCAGCAGCAACAAGGCTTTCTTGGCGACATTTGGCACCTGGATCTGGCTCAGACGCCCAACTTGGTTTGGACCCAAATTGAATCCAACTTGCCACCACGTGCTGGGCATAGTCTTATATCGTTAAACGACTCTACACTGCTGCTCTACGGTGGTCAGTATGACGACAATCAACCTGCTCCTATCGAGTATATCCATCTTACAGGATCGACAAAATTAGCAACAACAACAAACAATTTATTGAGTAAACGAGCTGTGGCGGATGGTGAACAACAAAAAGGAAATCAGACAGCGACAAATAAACAGCAAGGCCAGGAATCTCAAGAAGGGCTAAACGGCGGTTCAGTTGCGGGAATTGTTATAGGTGTTTGTGCGTTTCTTGCCATTGCCATCGGTGTACTTGTTTGGACACGCAAACAGCAACGTCGTCGATTGCGGTACTTCCACAACCGTGCCTCCCGATTCAGCTTATCCACCCCACCGCCTTCGCGTCCAACGAGCACCCGCATGGTCAAAACAGCCAGCTTACCTGAAATGAGCCATATCCAGCCTGCTGCTAGCCGACTCAGCACGCTCTCCTTTGGATCTGATTTCCGGATGCCTGTGCAACAAGACCCACAGCGCGCATCGATTTCATCTATTGCTATGCCCCAGTCCCGTTTTGATACCCGCACAGACTCATTCATGGCTGGCGAAGGCGACATTCAGATCCCAGAACCCGTTGCCATGACAACAACTGCACAGCAACGACGGCGCGAGAGCTCGACAAGCTTCAAACGGCTGACGCTCAACATCCCATCTGCGCTTCGCTCAGCAGCAGCAACTCCAAACAGAGATGAAACCGCACCTTCACCGTCGATCCTGAAGCGTTACACAGTTTCTGGCCTCGCCGAGCGACGGCGATCCAGCATGTTCGGCCTCCGTGCGTCCCGGTTCCTTCATATCCCTGGCAACAGCACAAATGATGCCTCCACAGCAGCTTCTTCAATCAGCAATGAGCCCATCTCTCGTATGTCTATGGATGCTCGGTCGGTGTCGTCTATCCAGTGGGTAGGATTCAACGATTCAATGGACTATCGAGAACAGCAATGGAACCCAACTGTGCAACTCGCCGTGACAAACCAGCAGCGACGATCAGTTAGCAGTAGTCGACCCACGAGCTTTGCGGCCGAAAGCATTGGGTCATCCTCGTCACCCCGCAGTGCGGTATTCCGCCTCAGTAACAGCACACAGCCCTACCGACTTAGCACACAAGAGATTCATTCCTGGGATGATCAAATTAACCAGCGGGTTTTGCGCACGCGTGTGCAGCAATCCTCGTCTTCTTCACTCCCCTCACGAGCCATCGAGCGATTCAATAACTACCGTATTAGCACCAGTAGCGATGAAAGCAGCATTGTTGTAGCATCAGGGACTGCAGCAGCCCGTCAGCAGTAGATCATAAAGCATATATAATCACAACAACATATACACACCCATATTTTACATATACACAACATATACACATACTACTTTTTTCTTGTCCACCTTCTGTCTGTATACTCATGTATTCCCGCTTTTCTCTTTTCGCCAATTCATGCTCCTTCACCTGCCTTCGCAACTTTAACACTCATATATACTTCTACCTGCTGTTGTATCTAATTGCATTGATAAAAAAAGACATTGTACAGCCTTATATGATTTCTTTTCCCGCCAAGCAAGCTGACGTGTGCGCATATCCGCATTGGCATTTTGGAAATCAGCTACGCACTTCTGGATTTTTGCAGGAGAGCTAAAAGAGGGCAAAACCTGTAGTTGCTTGGTTTCACTCTCCATACATATCTTTATTAATATCAAAAAGAAAGAGAAATCGCGCGCTTCTCATATAACTACCTTTTTTTTGCTGAAAGAAATCTCAGGTAATAAACTATTCCGTAACGTGTACGGTACAAATTCTTTGTGTCGCTTTGATACTCATTTGACCCATTTCGCCGTGATGCGGGGAATTTCTTCTTGGCATGTGTTTTAAAATAATATATAGTTGAACCTTACAAAAACTCCTCAATTTCCCTTGTTTCTTTTTTTTATAAAAAAAGACTAGCATGAGGAACGCATTAGAGTGGTTTCAGACCACTCGAAGAAGAAAAAGAAGTATGCTTGGCATTTTCATTGCGGTGCTGGCCGCCTCTTTGTTCTTGGGCCAAGCTTCTGCACAACAAGTAGCGATCGAAAAAAGCGGATTCAATAACATTCCGGACAAGTTCTTTTACTTTAAAGATTCAGACGTAAGAGAGGAGAGACATCAGTACATATTATTTATCAGGGTTTCCTGCGACAGGGGGTATTTTTTAATAACCGTGTAAATCTATTAGGTGGTGCTGTGGCTCGACGCAAACGAACACGTCTTGTGGAGATCAGAAAACCATGGAAAGCATTGGGATCAAGTATCTGATATCCCGAGTGATGGAGCCACGTATCTCTTTGAGCATCCTCACGATAAGGATAAGGTAATAAAAGGCATGAATAAGGAGTAAAATAGTGGTGATACTAAAGATAAACATGAATGGTGTGGTTCTGTAGGCATACGTTCTTAGCAAAGGCAAAACGCATTGGAAATCGAACGACAAGGGCAAATCCTGGCAATCGTTCGAAACACCAGTAGAGCCGGCCGTGTCTAACCAGCTATCGTTTCACGCTGAACGGCCCAACTACGTTCTGTTTCTTGGTTTCAAGTGCAAACTAGGCGGCTGGACTGGTGTGGACTGTGCCGACGAAGTGAGTACTACACATATGATTTGTGATAAGTGAGTGGACGCAAGGAAAATGAAATGGATAGATTTATCGTTGGCTCTATTATCCTCTTTCTATATTTAGACATACTATACGCTCAACAATTTTGAAGAAGTAACGTTACTACGAACGCATACATCATCATGCATTTGGAGTCTCTCGAGCCCCGAGTTCGAAAATGCGCCGGTCAAAGAAGTAATGTGCGTCGAATCACCCGAAAAAGCCGGTTTATCGAGCCTGTTCAATCCAGAGAACTTTCAGCTCGTACAATCTGAAGATTTCTTTCGCACAACACAGCCCGTTAATTTCGGCACCGGAACTGAGGTCCACGGTGTTATTGCCGTGAGTGCAGTAAACCGGTTTTTGGTCGCAGCCGCGAAACCCTCTGCCGCAGATCCTACCATGGATTTGTACGTATCGCAAGATGGCGAAAACTGGCATGAGGCAGTGTTTCCCGAGGGTGCGTCCGTGCAGGAAAAGGCTTACACCATCGTCGAGTCGACGGGCCAATCGTTGCTGGTGGACGTACTCGTGAACCCACTGGCCGAGTTTGGTACGTTGTACAAGAGTAATTCGAACGGCACATTCTTCGTCAACAGCCTAAACCACACAAACCGCAACGGTATGGGTATTGTTGATTTCGAGCGGATGCAAGGCGTAGAAGGTGTCATGCTGGCAAACGTCGTCGCGAACCACGAGCAGGTGGCTGCCGGTAGCGCCAAAAAGGAATTGCAGACACGTATCAGTTTTGATGACGGTTCGACATGGACTGCGATTAAAAAGGTCAAGAATCCTGACGGAACAGAACTGCTGTGCTCTGAGGATGAGTGTGCTCTGCATATGCATTCGGTCACAGAGATGCATAACAGCGGTGAAGTATATTCGTCCGATGCAGCTGTAGGCGTCGCCATGGGCGTGGGTCACTATGGCCGTAGTCTCCTGGAATACGATGAGTGCGACACGTTCTTGTCAGCCGATGGCGGATTAACATGGGTCATGGTGCGTGAAGGTGCACACAAGTACGAGTTTGGTGATATGGGTGCCTTGCTGGTCATGGTAGACGATGAAAAGGAAGTGGATCATGTCTGGTGGAGCAAGAACCGCGGCAGCACTTGGGAAAAGCTGGATTTGGGCATGAATGTCCGTGCTCGTATGCTGACCACCGACCCGGAATCGACGTCGAGAAACTTTCTGCTCATTGGCTCATCGCGTGGTGCCGAGTCTCATGTTCAGGCGATCCATCTTGATTTCACGACTGTACAGTCGCGCCAGTGCGAGCTGAAGGAACACGACGACGAAAAGAGCGACTTTGAAAAGTGGTATGCTCGCGATTTGACTCAAGGCCCTGACTGCTTGATGGGACATGAGCAAATGTTTTACCGCCGCAAGGCGGATCGCGACTGCTATGTTGGCCGCGACTATCAAGATCCGGTAATGGAAATGAAGGAGTGTCCGTGCTCAGAAGCTGACTACGAATGTGATTACAACTTTGTACGTGGTGCTGACGGTAAATGTGTGCGCATTGGTCCGGATCGGTTGGTGGATGGCACGTGTGAAAGCAAAGACGCTACATACCCTGCATCCAGCGGTTACAGATTGATCCCGGGCAACACATGCAATCAGCAAACGGGTACCAAGCTGGATGAGCCTGTGGATCGATCTTGCAGCGAAAACCAGGTTTCACCCGACGGCCCACTTCCACCAGCAGCATCCCGACCACCGAACCCGCTCGCTGAACCCTCAGATGAGAACATCAAGCGATACCCAACTGCTTTCTCGGACGAAATCGACCAGTTTATGTACTTTGAGGACTCCCCTGCAATGATTTTGCGGCTTAGAAACGGAGAAGTGTGGCGGTCCGAGCAACACGGCATACAATGGACTCGCGTTCTGGAAAACGCTGGACCAGCATCTATTATTACTTTGCACGAGTTTGACAACACGCGCGCTTATGCGTTACTTGAGAACGAGATCCAAGTGACTAACGATCAGGGAGCATCATGGCAACGCATGCAAGTTCCACGGCCGCCTAGCCGTCATGTTGCACAAGTACTCGATTTCCATCCACAGGAAAAGGATTGGTTGCTTTTTGTTGGTGAAGCAGAGAACTCGCCCTACCATGCTGAAGCATTTATCAGTCGGGACCACGGTGGACGATGGGACTCGCTGAACATGTGGGTCGACAAATGTATTTTTGGACGAGATTCCAAGTACAGCATCCAAAAGGAGACAATTTACTGTTCGGGCTACGATGAACAGCAGATCAGTGAAGACGCCAAGCTTATGCGCACCATCGACTGGGGTCAGAGCAAAGAAGTCCTGTTTGACAATATCGTCGAATTCTTTGTAATCGAAGATTTCATGGCAGTAGCTGCGAGCCACGGCGGTAACCTGGCTCTCTATGTCAGCATTGATGGGCAAACGTTTGCTGAAGCACAATTCCCGCCCAACCAATACATTGATCGCAACACATTCACTGTTTTGCAGTCGACAACACATGCGATTCTGCTGAACATTTTCAAGGCTGTGGGTGCTGGACGCGCACATGGTGCCCTATACAAGTCCAACGACAACGGCACATTCTATCACATGTCACTTGACAACACCAATGGGGATATGCTCGGCTTTGTCGACTTTGAAAAGATGCAAGGCGTCGATGGCATTATCCTTGCAAACCAAGTAATGAACGCAGACGAGCTCGTCGGTAACCGTGGTGTTGCCAAACGTGTACGCACAATGATTAGCTGGGATGACGGTGGACAGTGGCAACCATTGACAGCACCCCATGAGTTTGACTGTACTGCGCGCGACTGTACCTTGAATCTGCATAGTCGTACGGACATCCATGGTCCAGGTGCTATCTTTACTGCAGGTGGTGCTCCTGGCCTTGCCATGGGCGTTGGCAATGTTGGTCCAGAGCTGCTACCCTATGAACAGAGCGACACATTCTTGACGCGCGATGGTGGTCATACTTGGCAACGTATCCAAAATGGCGAGCATTTGTACGAGTTTGGCGACCATGGCTCCTTGCTAGTACTCATTAATGATGAAGGGCCTACCAACGAGCTCCTTTATTCGTGGGATCAAGGCGAGACATGGCATTTTTATCAATTTGCACAAACGTCCGTCAAGGTCAATGCACTCACCACAGATCCCATGTCAACCACTCTCAAGTTTATTATCCTCGGCCATACAAAAGAAGGCCAGCGTTCTCAAGTACTCATCACAGTTGACTTTAGCGAGGTCAGCCAGCGCAAGTGCGAGCTCGACAAGGGCAACCAAGAAAAGAGCGACTTTGAGCCGTGGATTGCCAAGGATGACGATGGTGATGATGCCTGTTTACTTGGAAAGCGCACAGCGTACCTGCGTCGCAAGAAGGATCGTGTGTGTATTGTCGGGGAAGCGTTCAAGGAGGCTGAAGTGATCGAGGAAAACTGCGAGTGCCGTGATATTGATTATGAATGGTAAGCTATATTCTAATGCATATACACTTGCTCATTTTGATAATGATATGTTTTCAATAACTTGTCATGTTTTAGCGACTTTGGATTCTGGCGTAACGAACAAGGAGAATGTCAGTTTTATGGTCGTCATCCTGACCGTCCTGCAAAATGTGGCAAGAACGAGCAATTTATTGGTCGATCCGGTTACAAGAAAAATCCCAAGAGCACATGTACTGCAGGTGTCGATCTTGAAAAGGAAAAGACTTGGCCCTGTGGTGAAGGCGGTCAAATCCAGAGCAGCCGGGTAAGTGACACACCAGAGAATAGAAAGAACAAAGTTTTTGTCTAACTTGTCGCTGCGTAGATGGAGTTCACCGATCGTATCCTGGATTACGTTTACTTTACCGACACTGACGTAAGAGCCTCCTTTTTTTTCGGTCCTAATGCTTTTGTTTGAAAGGCTCTCACTCATATGCATCCTGCTTGTATAGCGCGTTATTGTCCGAACAGCTGACGGCAAGGTCTGGGGAAGTGAGAATGACGGATATAGCTGGAGCGAACTGTTCCCTAGTAGCAACATCATTGCCATTTATCAAAACCCACACTTTGAAGACCGAGTAAGTATACATAACCAGCTCAATAGAACTTGGGAAAGAAATGGTGGGCCGAACTCGTCTGTATTAATTCATTATTAGGCCTACTTTATTACGGATGGCTTGGTGCATTACGCAACGCAAGACAAGGGCAGCAACTTTGAAGAAATGTCAGTTCCTTTGGTGCCTGTCATGAACATTCAAGGCAACGTCATGAACTTCCACAATGTCGAAGCGGACTATCTCCTATATTTGGGCGAAAAGGACTGCGACACGTCGTTGTCCATGGACTGTCACTCGGAAGCCTTTTATTCGCATGACAATGGCAAGAGCTGGAACCATATTGGAACCTATCTGCGCAACTGCATTTGGGGCCGTGAAGGCTCTGTGGAAAAGGCTGATCACCATGCCATCCTGTGTGAACAGTACCATGAAAAGTCTGGAAATCAGCGCTCGTTCTTTGGTAACCAAATCCAGTATGTCACGTCCACCGACTATTTCAGTGATAAGCAAGTGATCTTTGAAGACATTGCTGGCATCGCAGTATTTGGCAAATACATTGTTGTTGCAGTGGTAAGTTCTTTCTCGCTATTTTTTTCCACAACAGAGTTGGCTGACATGTGTATAATACCATTAGGCCAATGGCGCTAGCTCCAATCTGCGCCTTTATATTAGTTTGGATGGTGTAACATTTGCATCTGCATCTCTCCCTGCAGGATTTGATCTGCCACCGGAGGTAAGCTTTATTTATCTTCTCCCATCAGCGTCAATGTTTGTGTTGTATGCATATAAACACAAGTCAGACGTACATTCATGTAAACATACAAGTACAACTCACGCAACACATGATATAATAGGCATTCACAATCATGGAATCTGTCAATTCGCTGTGGGTCCATGTATCCACCAATACACATCGCGGTAGCGAGTATGGCAACATCTTTACTTCCAACTCGAACGGTACTTACTATGTCATGTCGCTCGAGAACGCCAATCGAAACGAACTTGGCATAGTTGATTTCGAAAAGATGCAAGGCATTGAAGGCATTGCAATCGCCAACAGAGTCAACAACCCTGGTGAAGCCAACGCTGGTAACCCAAAGAAGCTGGTAACCATGTTGACCGCAGATGCTGGCGGTCATTGGAATCCACTCCACGCACCTGAAAAAGACAGTAGCGGCAAATCCTACGATTGCGGTAAAGACTGTCAGCTTCATTTGCATTGCTACTCTGAACGCAGAAATGCTCGAGACTTGTTCAGCTTGTCGAGTGCTGTCGGTCTGATGGTCGGCGTGGGCAACGTGGGTAACAACCTCGCACCATATCGCGACGGCAACATGTTCTTGACACGCGATGCCGGCAAGACGTGGAACGAGATCCAAAAGGGCTCACACATCTGGGAATTTGCTGACCAAGGTGCGTTGTTGATTTTAGTCGATGACAAGGAACCAACCAATTACGTCAAGTAAGTATTTGCATGAAGATTTGAAAATCTGTTTGCTGCTATGTATGTTTTTTCGTAAACTTACATAGTATTTTCTTTGGAACAATTTTACTAGATACACAACCAATGAAGGAATGTCATGGAATGAGTACCAGTTTGCTGACAAGAATGCCAAGATCCAAGTCGAAGACATCATTACACAGCCTGATGGTACTAGCCAGAAATATGTTTTGTTTGGTCAAGACAGAGATAGCGGCAAGACAGTGGCCTATCATATCGACTTTAGCGCAATTCATCCAACCAAGTGTAAGCTTGATTTGAATAACCCTGAGCATGACGATTTTGAACTCTGGTCGCCCGAGGACACGCGTGGCGAGACGTGCTTATTTGGCCGTGAGGTAAGAAATGATTAGAGAAAGCTCCTTAGAGAAGAGAAAAAAGAGGTGAAGCTCAATTCTAATGCTATTGTGACCATATGATAGACGAAATACTACCGCCGTATTCAAAACAGAGACTGTTATATTGGTGAGAGATTGGTACAGCCTCGTGAAGAAGTTCGTAACTGCGAATGCACAGAAGAAGATTTCGAATGGTATGAAAGTTCAACAGGACCAAAAGAAATTCATGTTAAGATTGCTTATCGATGATATTCGCTTACTTTATTACAGTGACTTTAACTTTGTGCGCGATGAGAACAACAAATGTGTTCTGGTACCAGGATTACAGCCTCTCAAACCTGAATGTCACGGATCAATGGATTACTACTTTGAGTCTACTGGGTAAGTTATTAACCTCCTTGAACCTTTTTCTTTCCTGCAGTACCATTTATAGAGAAGCAGTGCCCTCTAATGATAATACATTTTATACCACAGCTATCGCAAGACAGCTGCCACATCGTGTCAAGGAGGCCTTTCTTTGGACGAAGGAGAAAAATACTGGTGTCCTGGCAAATCAACTGGCGGCGGCATGTGGGCTGTATACATCCTGACACCAATTGCTGGTGCTGGACTCATCTATGGCTGCCTCCACTATCGCAAGCACGGCGGCCGGATCGGACAAATCCACTTACCAGATGGTTCGACCGGTGGCGGTGCACATGCGTCACGACTCTTATCGAACCCGGTTGTTACCAAGGTTGCTGCTGCCGCAGTCGTCATACCTATTGCCATCATTGGCCTCCTATCACGGATCCCGATACCACACTCACTCGAAGAACTGAAAGGCATGTTACCATCGTGGCCATCTAGAAACCGAGGCTACAGCCCTTTGGGACAAGATGAACACGCCACGGATGTACTGCTGGATGACTATGATGGATCTGAAGGCCAGCTGCTGGATGATATGGATGAAGATGCAGATGAATTGTAACAATATATAACCCACCCCGCCCTCCTTTCTTTTTATTATTCTCACCGTCTCACCTCTTCATTCTCTACTTTGTACATTTCTCGTCCTTTCCCTTCTAAATAAATAGATTTCGTTGTGAGAGAAACGCAATGAAAGCATATAAGTTTATCTACTATCAACTCTGGATTGCGCTTGTTCGTTGTGTAATCTGAGCACATACCATACTTGTAAAGCCTAAACGTCACGGGGACAAAAGCAATCCAGGGTGACGGAATGACAAAACCCCGCTTCCGGTGGTTCATGCAGGCAGTTGGCAGCTGACATTTCTGGATAATTGCTTGTCTACTTCGAAACCCCTCCACATAACTTCTTTATCTTGGCAAATTTTACCATGAGTTTAATGTAACTTTGCATTTCTCGTATCAGAGTTTTACTCCAAATACTGCTTACTGATAAGTACATGTTTATAGGCATGGCTTTAAAAAGAATTTGAATCGTGCCGGCACGACGGTAAGTTCACTCTTTCCACCGAGATCTCCAGCGATCGCTGACTGAACGATCTCGCAATGTAGCTAAAGCAAAAGGCGGGCTGGGCCGATAACACTATTGACGAGGAGTTCAACGACGAATACGAACGGTTTCAAATGTAAGTGCTTTGTTCTCTTTCCAAGCGACAAAAAATGAAGCTGCTTGTTCAAAGTTTCTTAGCTTAGAAAAAGAGGTGGAAAAGTTAAGCAAAGAAGCCAAAAATTATCTGGAAGCTGTCCGTAGCATGAGTGCTGCGCAACGACGCATGGCACAGACACTGGGCCAATTTGTCAACCATGAATTGACGCCTGCAATGGTCCAGTACCAAAAGCTGATTGAGCGGATGGACGAGGATACACGGGCCGATTTCGATAAAGAGTTTAGAACCACAGTGTTGGAGCCATTGACAAGGCTTTGCTCGTATTTCCCAGCTGTGAATGAAGCAATCAAACGACGGCATAAGAAAGCCCTTGATTATGATAATCAGCGCTCCAAGGTGCGCAAGCTGATTGACAAACCCTCGGACGATCCGCAAAAGCTACCGATGGTAAGAAATTAGCAGTAGATTCATTGATGTGTGTATGCACGTACTAACTATACTTTTGCCACTTAGGCCGAAGAAGTTGCAAACCTAGCCCGAGAACAGTACGAAGGTTTGAATACCATTCTCATAGAGGACTTGCCCAAAATTGTTGAAATGCGAGTGCCTTATGTGGACCCTTCGTTCGAGGCGCTTGTAAAATCGGAACTCAAGTTCTCTCAAACATATTATGGCGAATTCGAAAGCATCCAGGATATTTTCCAAGGGGAGCGAAAAGGCTCTGTAGACGACATATTGCAAGACATGAGGCAACTGGCAATTTGTGGCAACTTCTAAATGTAATAATAGCAATAACAGTATTAGCAAGTATAGACCAAGATGTAGATGTGAATTGATATGATTGAATTATCAAGAAGAGTAGCGTGTGTGCAAAGTTTATTCTTGTGTTGTGCTCCTGTTAAATGGGAAAGAATTAGAACGAACGAGAGAGAGAGTGAGAGGGAGGGTGTGTGTGTATGGGCAGCATTGGCCTTGCATGAGAGGGAGATAGAGAAAATGTACAATTTGTTGCCGATGAAAGACTTGTTTTCTTCTTGCAGTCAGTATATTATGCGATGTGTAGGGATGGACTATTTAGTTTTCGTCTCCAATCTTGGGAGCCAAGTAGTAGCGGACATAGCCAAGGTTATCAAGCTTGTATTCCACCAAAAGAGGCACGTCGTTGGACATGCTGAGAGAAACGCGGCTGGAAAGGGGAGTTGCTTTGGTGAAGTTGACGAGGTACTTGATCGAGAAAGCCATCGATACGCTTTGCTGAAGCTCAATGACAGTGGCATCGTCCTCCTAATAACATGTGTAAGTACAAACGTAGTTTTCCTAAATGCAATGGGAAACCTCTCTCCCTTTTTTCGTTCGTGTAACACGGCGACGCGATACATACATTATCGATCATGCTGTTTGCCTTCAAGGTGACACTACCCTTTCCAACTTCACCTTCGTTGCCGAATTTGATGCCTTCCTTTGTGCACTCGATGGTCACGGCATCACTGATCACCTGCAAATCGCGAACGATTTCTTGGAAGCGATCGGACGACATGGTGACAACAGCATCGTATTGTGTGTCGGGAATACCGAGATGTTCACTATCGATGTCCATCAACTTCAAGTCGTACTCACTGATCTTGTCGCTGTCTAGTAGTTGTGCAAAGTATATATTAAGACGCGCAGGCGCGTAGCATGTGTTAGTCTACCGGAAACAGTACTTTCAATCCGCCCAAAATTGAAAAACAATATATAGCACAAAACCCAACTTGAAGAAAAGGAGAGGACATTACCTTTGCTTTCGAAAACCAAGCTCAGCACATCACCGTTGTCATCAGCTTTGACAGTCAAGATATCGTCATTTCTGGCACACTTCAAGATCTTGTTCAAGCTAGTGAGGTTCACGCCAAGCGGGAGGTTACGATCGCAGCGATAGGGATCGAAACCATCGGATCGCAACAACATGGCAACAAGAGCAACGTGGGAGTTGTCCATGGCCTGGAGCGAAATGCCAGTGTCATTACAGTCAAAGTTACATTCGCTGACAAGTTCCTTGACGGCTTCGAGAAGGGTCTTCAAGAGCTTGGCTTGTTGGAGGCGGGCTTCAAGCATGGTGACTATACTAATACACAATTGTATAAGGTAAGATTTTTTTTGTGTTTGTTTGTTACAACATTGAAAAGGATAGTACAAGTTGTTCGCCCATTGAGATTTCACTTACGATAATATAAACGTGGAAAGTAAATTTCGAAAAAAAAAGAGGAACGCGTAAAAGAACGGAGGCACGAACGAAAGAAAAAAAATCGCAGCACCGCGTTGCGTGGAAAAAGAAAGTCACTACCGATTCGCATCCGGAACGCGAGGCCCAAATGGGACCGATGAGCGGAGTAACAATCGCTATGGTTCATGGATGCTGCTGCTTTGATGCTCGGCTGCTGCTGCTGCTGCCAAGTTCTGTCATTCTCTTCTCTTCTCTTCCTCACTTTCTTGTCACACACATTCTATTTATCCCCCACTCCCTTCTTTTTCTATTTCACTTGAACCACTTTACTGTCTTTGCTATGTTGAATGAGGAAGACGTACTCGGGGGCGGATTTCTCGACGCTGATCCTTCAAGGTACCTGCTCGGGACAGCAACATCGTCATCCATCAATCGGTCATTGTCGATGCCTCCCCTTTATGCTTCGCAGCTGAGTGTGGATGCCAATCCATGGAATACCGACAGTCAATTTGAAACAGTGCCTGATATTGGTCAGGGCAGTAGCAGCAGTGCTGGAGGACAGGATGCAGTAGACGACGATATCCTTGGCACAGGTCTTACGGCCGCCAGTGTACTAGGTAACCTGATTGAATACACGGACATCTTTCTTTATACTGCTTAAGCTGATAAAGGGTCGTATACATGAATAGTGGGAGTCGAGCTGCCTGAGGTTTATGACACAGCATACCTTCGTGCTCGGCCCATAGGAGAACGCGTGAGCTTGGACTCTTTGGAGAAAGTGATCGGGCTTGCTGAACTTTCGCCAAGGACTGTGCAGGAGGTATATACGACAAACCAACCAACCACCTCGCTAGTTATTTTTTACTAAAGGAAATGACAACCCTGAATTACCTGTAATATAACAATAGGTCCTGAACATTGTAGTCCCTGCAGGAGCCATGTATGTAACTCACAACGAATTTAATACGGCAATGGCATTGGTAGCTTGCGACCAGAAGAATATGGGTAAGCTCTCTCTCTCTCTCTCTCTCTGTGTGTGTGTGTGTGTCTATCTTTATTCTGCATTTTTATTTTTCCAACATGACCAAAGGATGTTTGAAACTGAATCGGTTTTCTTCCTTCTTTTCTTCTCTCTTTGTGCGTGTGTGCTGTCACGTCAGATGTCTCCCTGCAGACCGTTTACCAACATCGCAATGGTAAGAGCTGGTCTTTCTTTCTCTCTCTCTCTCTCTCTCTCTCTCATGTCGGAACACGAAACATGGGCGCATCACCCACGTGCATTAATTAACCACCAAAAAACACATCCATCCGACTTACCTCTACTATAGATCTACCCAGTCCTATATTGCTCAATCTAGACCAGCTCAATGTCAAGCGTGATACCACCAGCACTACCGCTTCCACCACTCTTAAGCAGCAACAGCAGCGACTAGCTGCTAAGAATCAGCCCATGGATGATCCTTGGCTCTCGGTTCCAAACGGCATCGTCGACAATCCACGCAACGGCAAGATGGATGAAATGCGCTCGGCACCGACAAGTATCAGAAGGCCCAAGCTGGGATTGAATAGCAACGGCACACCCCGCTCACGCAGTATGGATAATACTCGCCAGATGCAACAGCAGCAACAACAACAACAGCAATTATTACAGCCGAACGGAAACGATTATGATAATGGACTATTGATGCCAGACGCAAACGGCAAGTTTCTGGGCGATAGCCATATCGCTTCGACCGAAAGTTATCAGTGGTTCCTGGATCTGGACATGGTCAAGGTTTCAATCGCTCCTGAGAAAGAAGGGTTCATCTTTAAACATGTCAATTATGTGATTGAGAGTCAACTTCGGTCATCCAAGGTGTTGCGTCGCTATAGCGACTTTTACTGGCTGTGGGAAACCCTGCTACGCCGGTATCCGATGCGCGTTGTTCCGAACTTGCCACCCAAGAAGCTGGGAGGAAGTAAGTCCGACCTTTATCATTACTCTTCGTTTGGTTATATTTTTCTCACTGACAGTAAATGCATGCATGGCTCACAGAGGATGAGTCGTTTCTAGAAAAAAGACGCAAAGGATTAGCACGATTTATCAACTCGATCGTACGGCATCCAACATTGAAGTGTGATGAAGTTGTGGAGACGTTTCTAACGGAACCGTCGGTATGTCACTATGTCGCATGTGTACAAATATTGTGTGTGTGCGTGTGTATCACGTAAATTCAAATTTGAGCGAATTACTTTTTTTCTTTAGGAACTGTTGGCTTGGCGACGAGCCAACCCACCCATTGTGGATGAAGAGTTCGTGCGCAAAATGCCTAGTGCTGCCGAACTTGAATGCTATATACCCCAAGACCTCGATGCACGACTCGAAAGTATAAAGAGCAGGTTGCCGACGATCACTGACCATTATAATAACAAGTGTCTTGTTCTGGAACGACTAATACGCATTTGCGAAGTACAGAGCCGTGAGTTTGTACGGTACAGTATAACCCTCAAGTAAGTGTACATTCGAACGAGCAAACATGTGTGTATTCCTTGCGTAGTAGCATGCTGACCCCAATACATTTATTGTTTTCGCTATTGTCGTAAAAGCGCGATGTGCGAGATTGAACAAGTATGCTACGTGCCGGGATGTCAATCATGTTCGCAGGTCGTACGAGGATATGAGGCTGTGGCAAAACATATGCAACGTGCCGGTACTATACTAGATGATCAAGCACTAGCAGCAAGTAATGGCGTTTTGGAAAATTTAAAACGACATCGTGATCTCCTTATTTCATTCAAGGTACTGATTATTGCTTATAATTAATTTTTGTTGTGTTTGCCGCCTGACGACCTACACCCTTCTCCTCCTCCTTCTCCTCCTCCTTCTCCTCCTCCTCCTCCCCTCCTCCCCTCCTCCTCCTCCACCTCGCTCTCTTTCCAATCGCACCACCACGATTACTTCAGCTATTACGCACAATTATTTTAATTCCTTCACCCAACCCTCCTTCTTTTCTTCTTTCCACTCCTTCTTCCCCTTGTGAGTAGACTAACCGACACCACCATGTTATAGGAAATGGTGGAGCGAAAAGAAAAGCTTGAATTGAACCAGATCGAAATACTCTCCAAAAAGATATCAGCCAACAAAGCCAAGGTGAACCAAAACCGAGGTGTTCCAGGCTTGGAGTCCGAAGTAGAACGGTTGGATGGCGTCATCGAATCGGTAAGGATACGCTTTATATATGCAAGAGTTGAGAAAAAGAGAATTACTAAGAAAAAGAATCGTCGTGTTGGATTGCAAATATAGGACCAAAGCAAAATGACATACCAACTGAATCGAGATACCCATATTCGGTACTGCGTAGCGTCAGAACTTTCATATATCCACAAACAGCAAGCATTCATCTCCCTCATGTATCAAAATTACGTCCACGAGCAACTCCAGTTTTCACGACAGTTGGGTGATAACTGGAAACTGTTGCAAACATTGGCTTGCGAGATGCCAATTGATCCCAATGATTTTGCCTAAATATTATATTCACATATCTATTTTAACACACCGCTCCTACTACCATACTACTACTCCTTCTTATCCTCCCCTTGACCTTTCAATCCCACATATCATGTATTTCCGCAACGCATCTCGCAACATTATACGCATATCATTCACTCAAAAACATGTTTGCAATAAACCAACTTTTTGAAAACACAATAGTTCATCGCTAATGCTAAGGTCCCAGGTCTTTCGATTTAGTACATACATCAAGTTGGTAGTCACGCGATGCTATGTTTGTTTATAAAGAAAGGAGTCGTGTGTTGTGTAGTGTGGCACCAGATCCAGATAGTGCGAAATAGCGATAAGTAATTGTTTGATTTCATGCGCCTATGAATGATACAATAAGAAACCTTGTTCCTTGTGGTTGCTAGGCAACCGATCGTATGTAAAATTAAACTTTACCATGCCAACATGTCACCGAAATATGGGCTGCCATGGTTACTGCGAAGAAAATTTAAGAATATACTCTCAATATAAATCCAACCACTGTGTATGCTTACTTGGTAACCGAATGTTCAGAAAATATACTTGTGTCGATAAAAGAAGATGGATACCTACCTACAAGAATACAAAACGAAGCTGTACTTTATAAGACGTGGCTTCAAAAATGAGGTTGCTGAATTGGTGACTCGCTTTCCTCTCAAAGGGCGCTTCCAAAAATCGCCAGCACCAAGGTCATCACAGTTGCTCCCCCTCTCTCCCTACAATGGAAAACTCTGAAGGCAAACTCGTCGATCTCTACATTCCCCGCAAGTGGTTAGTGTTTTTTCGTTCGTACCACTCGTTTAACGACCATTTCACTTGAAAGTTTCATTATGATTGGATTTTGAATACTGAAAAAAAAAATATATAGCTCTGCCACCAACGGCCTCATTGCTGCCAAGGACCACGCTTCGGTCCAAATCAATGTTGGCGATGTCAACGCTGAAGGTCGTTTGACTGGTACCTACTCCACCTATGCTTTCTCCGGCTTTGTCCGTCGTGAAGCCGAGTCTGACGATTCCTTGAATCGTCTTGCTACCCAGGATGGCTGTAAGTGTTCTATTACGAGATAAAAAATCTACAACAAAAAAGACCTTCTGTCACTCACTCGTTCTTTCTATCTCTTTGAAATCCAACATAGATCTTAAGAGTGTTTTCTCGTACCAATTGTAAAACAACATCAAATAAAGAAAAGCATATGCGTGTATAATATAGTTCTACCATCCCATTAAACAAAACAGAAAGGAAGAAACAAAAATAGAATGATTCTATGCTTTCCGTTTATTGTTCTTTTTCTTTCGACTTTGAGGTGCGGGAGAGGATTTGGCAGAAGAGGGTACGGATGTGACCTTGGGTATCTGTGGTCCTGATAATTGTGCTTCAATTGCTTCAGCTGTTAGAATGCATTTAAAGCCTCGATTAATATCATCAAATACACCCCATTATACTCATTCGCAAAAGTTGGTTGTTATCAAGTAGTTGTGAAAGTCTTTACCTTCCATGGACTTGTTTTGCATCTTGCTCATCAAACTAATATTTAGTGTTGTAAACTTCCTCAGGTCGGATGCTTGATTCGTCTTGTATTTTACAATCTATTTTTTGCCAAGCGCATCATTGTACACATCTGTAAGCATACGTGTCCCATCGATATTGTTTTCACAAGCTCTTTTTTTACCGTTCGATCGTCGGTCACTTTGAGAATAAGTTCGCCATCGGTATGACGGAAACCCGAAACGTAACGCGTCTATATATATATATTTAAATATATATATACGCACACATAATAGAATTCAACAGCATTAGTTCCCCATCGTAATCTTCCCCAACAAACAGGTTAATGCTTACGGTCTCGGGAGATGCTGCATAGAGCTCCTCCGCAGCTTTCTGGAACTCGTCCCAGTTGCTAATGTACATTGTTAAATAGAAAATAAAAAAGAAAAAGTGGAGGAGAAGGAAAGTTGAACAAAACGGGCTGTGGGCGACGTGACTTTTCGCCCGCTATTATTCAGGAGGTTTAAAAAACAGTTATAAAGAGCTTATGATTGTCTACTACGATCCTCAGTTTATGAAAATGGTTTTCTTTTATTGTAGCCTGGTAAAAAAAATATAGATCGCTTGTTTGAATAGCTCTTACGCAATTTTGTCTGAGCAGATTCACTTTCTAGCAGGAATGAAATAGTCGTAGCAAATATTAATCGTAATGATTATCCTTTCACTGAAAGACTCCTTCTCTTTCCAGAATGGAGATTTAACGTACTTTTGAAATGTTGTAAAGACTTTATAACGAAAAAACAAATTTGTAGATGCCAGCATCGAAAAATCTGAATATATGCTTCTGCAGCGCATAAACAATGACATTGACAAACGTGTTTATGATACTCAGTCTTATCGATTACTGTGGGTACTTCAGTGCGGATACTGTATCGTGAGCAGTACATAAATGAGGCTTCTCCTAAATTTATAAACTCTGTGTTAATCTTTCAGTTGTATATACCAATGCACCAGCGGAAACTATCCTATTGAACAATTTAGCCTACCACATTGCCGACTATGATTGTTATGTAATCACCTTTAGCACTCTTTTAAGCTTTAATCCTGAAGATCTTTGCAACAGAACAAGGCTTACAATATGCTGAGTCATGTATACCTATTTTACGGAGCTAATGAAATCACAAGTGGTAGTCAGGTCAATAAACGCATGAGTATATACTACGCGTAAAACTATTCTCTTTGTCAGATCCTTTGTTCTTGGTTGCTGTACGAAACTTTTTGAAATCAGCTTCGTCCTGTCAAGCCAGACTTTTCTGCGACAGCTAATACGACTGAAACAATGACAAGCACTTACACACGCTGGTGCTCACGCCTTTCTGATCCTGCTGCGTTTCTTGGGGGCACCTCTTCTATATTTAGTTTCATGAATATATAATGGGTTTGTAAAATTGGTTGTCCTATGTACTGGAAGTCGGTGTTGTTGGTGGAAGCTTGAGTCATTTGATGAACGTAGAAAGGTGTCGGGAATGTGGATCAGCGAAGAAGAGATAACTCCAAACGGCGTTCCACACAGACAACCTGACAGGACAGAAGACAAGAAAATGGTCGAGGTCGTCCACAGCAGAGGTGCACAACCGGCACATAGACGACTCGAGATGGCCAATTTTAATATCGAAAAGACGGAGAGCTCCCCCGTAGTGTTCTGCAAAACTTGGATCGGATCGTGTGGGTAGGCGGATACGGATCCGATCCGTGAATCCGACTTATATGCTGAGTAGATAAACTGCAAAAGTCTCTTTATATAACAGAAAAAGTTGTATAATAGAAAAGAACGAAATCGGTACTAAAGCTCAGTATATTGAGCATGGCCAAGCAACTGCATTCTATATCGCATAGTGTACATGCATTACATATAGGAGATTACGAAATTGACATTGTAAGCAGTTTAAGCAGCCAGTTCCTTGCAGGCAGCTTAGGTGTAATAAATTATCTTCTTAATCGGGAAGATATTTTTATCCAGCCATACTATCAGGGAACCGGCGCTTGCTGGGTCCAAGTTCCTTGCTTTCCTATCTACACAACGCTATATTTCGCATCTGCAAACGATTACAACCGGCTGAAGGTGTTGGAAGAATTACAGCAATGTCAGATATGGATCTGCTTTATTGTGTCATATCTGGAGCACTTTCTCTCTGTATAGCTTATCCTTGTCACTTCAAAATAATTCCGGCCTGCTGAAACCGTAGCTACGCAACTTATCAATAGCAGATATAACGATGACCGGGATTACTCGATTCAAAGAATTTTGGCACAAAGATGTTAGCAATGGGTACGCGCTCCCTATGCTGTCTTGTAATACTATAATTCCGGTCAGTCTATCAGTTCCCATTAATTGACTCTGCTGTATTATTCTATTACCCCAAACGTTTCACACTATGATACTTAAGCATGGATGCATTGTCAAGTGTTTAACTGTATATCTTTTCGCGTTTTATATCGAGTCTTTAATTTTACACGAAGAAATCGTCAAACGCAAGTACCATTACTACGAATACAGTTTTACTTAAGGAGCACAGATCTAGGGTAACACTATGGGAAATGGATATGGAAAAATATGAAATTATATAGAGAAAATATGAATATGGGGAAAATCTACTGAGAATATGGGAAAAATATGAGATGAATAAAGAGACAAAGTCGGTCGGTGTGTTAAGTTGTAATTGAGGTTGTGATCGAATGGAATGGAACGGTTAGCTGTACAGCTCACTGCTTGGCGACCAAGTAAAATGGAGGTGGGTTTGTTTGTGATTGCCTAGAGTTTCACTCTTCAAAAGAGCTACAGAACAATCAATGTTATGCACGCTGAAAACTTTGTACTTTGATTGACTGTTTTCAGTCATGCGTGGCCAAGGATGCCCAGTGACGGCTTCGGTTTTGTATACCTCGGCAAGTACAAGTAACCTATGGTCGCCCTTGGACTGATGCGAGATGAACTGTTTTACAGTACCGAGATACTGGCGCTGCTCTTTGGCGTTGCGCATTCCGGGGGCGTTGTTTGTGTTCACCCAGCATGTGAACTTGACAAGCGAGGTCGAGGGAGCACGCACTCAAGGAGATAAAACTGTCGAGTCCTTTTGGCGGATAAGTACCGTAGCCAATAGAAAGAGAGATCACAAAAGAGTAAGAGTAGAATAAAAGATAACTTGAAAGATGATGTTTATTGCTTGATGATGAAAGGGATATTTATATGTTTTCTATTGTTACTAGATATGCTATGATGGCTATGTGTTGTGATGAGAGACTAATACGTGTTCAAGCAATGGACAACTACGTGTCTTGACAATCGTGTGTTAACGAGGAGCGACTACGTGTTCAAACGATGGACAGGTGTCACAAAAGGAAAAAGGAAAGACCGGCCAAATCTGGCTACGACAATATCCCCTCCCCAAACTGTAGGTCGTCCTCGAACAACAAAGCAATCTGACCAGCAGCATCGATGTATTGGCGTTCGGCAGCACGAGTAGCAGTAGGGTCATACCAAGGGTCTTGTGAAATTTTTGAGGCAACATGAATTGGGCGGAGCCGATCAGTGTGAACCCAGGAAGAATAAACTTGTCCTTGTAGATCCTCGAGCTTGTATATATCGGTATCCGGATTAGCAGCGATCACCTTGTATGGTCCCTTCCAATTAAACTCGAGGCTAAGCTTATTTTCGTGGCGCATCAGAACATGGTCACCAACAGAAAATTTCTGTGGTTTCATGATGGAATCCCAACGGGCCTTGTCCTTGATAGCGTTTTCTTTGAGTCGACTATCCGCAAGCAGTGTGCTTCACGCAAACGGCGGACTTCAGGTACACGGCCGGAAACCACAGGTGAATCCTCTTGGTCAGATTCAGGGAGCAACAAAAATGGAGGCAGTGGTCACCCGCAACCTGGTTCCACACCATAGGTCAAAAAATATGGAGAAAAACCGGACATACGGTGTTTGCGAACACGACAGGCAAAAAGGGCAGGCTGTACAAATTGGTCCCACTGATGAATCCGGCCTTGGGTGTATTTGCGCAACATCTGCTTGAGGATACCGTTGGTTCGTTCGACCTTAGAATTGGTACGAGGATGGAAAGCGATTAAAGATATGCTTGACTTTGAGACGACCCAAATAGTAAGTGAGTACCTTGGGCACCTCGATCTGTTAGAATTTCGACCGGGCAAGAGAAAGGCAGCACAATTTCCTCATAGATAAAGTTAGCGATGGCTTCACCAGTGGCATCAGGCACAGCGCGAGCTATGGTCCAATTCGTGGCGTAGACTACGGCCACAAGCAACCAGCGATGACCATTGACAGTGGTAGGTAATTCACCAACGAAATCCAGATGCCATCGAGAAAAAACAGGCGGCACTTCTAAAGGTTTCATCGGTGCATGGTGGACATTGCGATCGGCATTGGCAGCAAGTCGGCATTGTTGGCACGAAGCTAACCATTCTTGAATATCCGCACGCATATGGGCCACCACCAGCGTTTGTGCATCAAGTCGTACACAGTCGTTTTTCCCGCATGCCCAAAGGATTTGTGGAACTGCTCAACCAAGTCGGCACGGCGAGCAAATAACACATAGCGCACTTCTTGAACAGCATTGCCAATTCGAACCTTATGATAGATCTGGTCGTTCCGTACCACGAACTTCTCCTTGTGCTTGTCCAATAGGTCCTTATACATGGGTGGCCACTTGTCCTCAGTAACAGCATAGAACTTGGGCCAGTCGATTCTTGCACTGCTTTCACCGCATACAGAAAATCGGGCTCCAAGCTGGGCTCTGGGACAACAGATCGGGAACATGGTTGTCCTTGCCTGGCTTATACTGAATATCTGGATCGTACAGTTCTATCTCGGCGATCCATCGAGTGAGGCGTGGCGTTGGTTTGGTCTTGGAACGGAAGTACTTGAGCGGGTGGTGATCAGAGTAAACAGTATATTTGCGGCCCTCTATAAAGCAACGCCAAGTCCGCAAGGCATGAAGGATACTGAGCATCTCGCGTTCTTGAGCCGGGTACGCGCGCTCTGCCGACGACAACTTCTTGGACTCAAATGCCAGTGATGGAGTTGACCATCGGATCCTTCCTGCAGCAGCACAGCACCAACACCAAAATCGGATGCATCCGTTTCAAAGATATATGCTTGTCCGGATTAGGCGGCGTCAAGATGGGTGCGTCACACATGCGGGCTTTAATTTGATCAAAAGCCTCCTGGCACTCGGGAGTCCACACAATCGCCCTTTTCTTCGCGCCGGTACCTTTGGTCAATCGGTTAAAGCTGCGCCATTGCACTGAACCCACGAATGAAACGACGATAATGCGACGCCAGACCACGAATTGTCGAACCTCCTGCACATTGGTTGGCACTGGCCAGTCTTGAATCGCTTGCACCTTTTTCTTTGATGGACGAATTCCTTGAGCGGACACCTGGTAACCAACGAACTCCAACTCGGTCTTGTTAAACTCGCACTTTTTCAGATTGACCACCAACTTTGCCGCACGCAATTTTTCCAGTACACGCCGCACGTCTTGCAAATGAGCCTCTTCATCGTCACTTGTGCTAAAGATGAGGAGATCGTCCAAGTACACGAGACAACGCGTATCGATACACTCGCCTAGTGCTTCATTCATCATAGCTTGGAGACCGGTGGCGAATTACGTAATCCAAACGGCAAAACTTTCCAGCAAAACTGGCCATACCGAGTGTTAAAAGCGGTCTTGTCCTCGTCCTCGGGTCGGATGCGTACCTGGTGGTAGCCGCTCTTGAGATCGATGCTTGTAAAACGGCGGGCATTGGCCAAACGTTCGAGACACTCATCGATGCGCGGCAATGGGTGGGTGTTACGGCGGGTCAGACGATTCACAGCACGATAATCAACGCACATACGCATGGATCCATCCTTCTTGCGCACGAAAAGGACTGGTGCTCCCCAAGGTGAAGAGCTAGGGCGAATCAGGCGCAAGTCGAGCAACTCTTTCAACTGCCCTCGCAATTCATCCAACTCGAGCGGACTCATCTTGTAGGGAGGACGAGAAACAGGATCAGCATCGCCAGTATTAATGACATGTTGCACACCGTGGTCTGGAGGCAATCCGGGCAGTTGCTCGCGGAACACGTCACCGAACTCCTGCACCAGCTGTGTCTTGAACGGGTCACTGACTGGTGGTTGGTCTTGGGTCCCATCGGACTGGACATAGCAGACGAACGCCTCATCAATCCCGTTGCTACGTTCCAAACGTTGGACTTGACGGTGTGACAGTAGATAAGAGAGCTGAGAGATTGCCGGGTGTGGCGAGGCCGGAGGACAAACGTATAGTATGCGTACTGATTTCCAGGTGTCTTGTGCCCAATCTGGCACTGGTTGTACAGTCTTGAGCCAATCGCGCCTAGGATAACGTCGAACTTTGTGTCGAGCACGTAAGCATCCGCCTGATGCTCGTAGCCTTGGGCGTTCAACGACAGCGTGGTTGACTGGAAATTGACAGCACATGACCACCGGCAGTTTCGACCTCACGACCAACCATTGAGCGAGTAGACAATCCAGCGACAATCCTTGGTGAGACATACGAGCCAGTAGCACCAGAGTCAATCAACACATCAACAGTACGACCATTGCACAGCATGAATACAGTGGCAAATCAGTTTCTTTTATTGATAACAAAGTATCAAAGTACTGGCTATCCTCCTCTAGTGTACGCTGCAGCACCTGCGCATCCTGGGCACGATCTTCGGACAGATCAATCAACTCGGCCTCGGGGACCGACACGGATTCAGCTCGGACGACATTAAGGGATGGAAATGAGCGCGAAGGGACTCCCTTTAATCCCGACGCGCTTGGCCTTTTCCCTAGCTTGGAGAACGACTCTGCTGTTGGCGGTTGCGACGGGGAGATGGACAGTTGCAAGATATGTGTCCCCAGCCACCACAGTTGTAACAACCCTTGCTAGTGCCGCCATTATTACGATCATTGCCTTGTTGCCTCCAATTCGAACCACCACGACCAGACGAATACCAATGACCATCACTTTTTGCGCGAATGGCATCCAGATCCATAGGCGCCACACCAGACGAACGAAGATACTCAGGTACGAGCGGTTGTTGCTGTGCATGTGAATGCTGCACGAACTGTTGTTGTTGCTGGAGGAGGGGCTGCGAAGCCTGGAAACCTTGTGCTTGCTGCATCACCACCTGACTTGTTTGTTGAACACCTTCAACCGCAAGCGCCAACTTCATCGCTTCATCCGTAGATGATGGGAATCGAGTCAAGATTTGCATGCGAATAGTGGGGTGGAGGCCACGCTGGAAACGATCGAGTGCTTCCTCATCGGACATGGAAGGCATGGAGGACCAGGCTGCCTAAAACTGCGCAACGTAAGTTGCTACCGTTCCCGTTTGTGCTACTGCGGCAAGTTGGTCACGGGCAAGTTGTGCTGCATTTGGAGGATTGAAAGTCGCCAGCAACCGCTTCTTGAATTCTCGCCACTCGTCAATCGTCACCCGCGCCTCTTGTTGTCGCCACCATGTTTCCGCCTCACCACGTAGTAAAGTCACCGCGTATCCGATCCATTCGTGTTCGCCTAGCTTGGCCATCGTCAGATATCGCTCCACCGCCGAGACCTAGTTCAATGCAGCATCTAGGCTGCGGTCACCGTGATACGTGTCTGGTTCACGTATACGCGCACGAAATATTGGAGCCGAGTTGTCTTTTTCCAACAACTTCTGGATTGCTTGTAGGAGTAGGGCTTGTTGTTCAGCGATCATCTTTGGCACAGGTAATTCCGGGGTAAGTTCTGTTCTTGTAGTAAATTCTTCTTCGGTGTCAACAGTGGATCTTGACTTGTACGAAATTTTTGAAAACTTGGGGTGTCTTTATACTACTTCTTTGCTGGTTGTTCCTTATTATCCATAAAACCGTTCTTCCGCTACCAATTGTCGAGTCCTTTTGGCGGATAAGTACCGTAGCCAATAGAAAGAGAGATCACAAAAGAGTAAGAGCAGATAACTTGAAAGATGATGTTTATTGCTTGATGAAGGGGATATTTATATGTTTTCTATTGTTACTAGATGTGCTATGATGGACAGGTGTCACAAAAGGAAAAAGGAAAGACCGGCCAAATCTGGCTACGACAACAACAAAAACAGAAAAAAAGTAATTTCTATTGGATAGAAATAATGCCTCCAACGGAATCGAACTGTTGATTTTCTGCTTACTAGGCAGACGCTCAGCTAACTGAGCCAAGAAGGCGTGTCGTCTGTGCGCGGCAAAAAGCACCTTTTGTCATATTTTTTTCACCCACTCCACTGGAGTTAAAACCCGATTTCAGAGTGCTTTCAGTGTACTCTGAAATTTTTCTTTCAATGTGCTTTCAGTGTGCTTTCAGTGAGAATTTACTTTCAGAGCGCTTTCAGTGCGCTTTCAGAGCCGTGATGCAGCAAATGGATAAAATTGGCTCCCCCACTAAAATCCTTCTCCCCAAAACCATCCGGGATGACCCCTTTTTTACACCACCTGGACTGCTGTGCTTCTTCCCACTCTGAGACTTTTACCGCCACTATGCTTGTCTCCACCACTTTGCTTTTTTCTCCTTTTTTACTTTTTTTTTATTTTTTTACCAATTACTAAATCAAATTCTTCAACATCTTTATTTATTTGACCATCTACAAGTTTCTTGATTCGCCATCGCATTAGATTCCTTCAAAATGCTTTTTAAATCTGAAGCGATTTCTATAATTCAAAACTTGTTTTTTATTTTATTCTTCATTACAACTACAGCAGCGTGAAGCCAAAAAAGAAAAAGACCTGACCTGAGGTATTTTGCTTTTAAGAGTAGATTACTTTTATTTTACGTGGTAAATATGTAAGAGCACAGCTATTGTCTATTTGAATAGGGGTAACAACAACGCCGGAATGGAGCCTCCCCAAAGGAACGACACACTGCCACGTATACGGTTCGATTTCTAAATGGTAGACGTCCATGCCTAGCATCCTAAACGACTCAAAGACTTGCGTATTTGGTCGTAGGTACTCAACAAAAGCAAAAACGAACTGGCAGAAATTACCGTCGTGGGATTGCGCAGGTTGTGGACAAAGAAATATAAAATGCGCCCAGGACGAACGATCGCTTCAGTATGAAACTGAGTACTTGGGCAAACGACTCGGACATAGGTGCTGGTGTTGATGTGGCGAGACATTTCAGAAATGAATGTTTGGCCCAGGAGATCGACTTTTGCAAATTTGTAGAGGTGATCGCTGACCTGATTACCACTAGTGCTGGCGAGTGACACAAAATTCATGTCTGGAAACATCGATTGGTAATACTCGACAAGACAGTGGTAGTGGCGCGTATCCATGTACACCTTTTTGCCCGTCTTGAGGGGAAGACATGATGGTGGCAGCGGCTCCCAACCAACTACGCTTACTCCCGCGGCATAGTCGAAATCCGATTGATCCAAGAACGGCTGACAATCGTAATGCTCTTGCATGGCTTGATTGTGGCAGCAACAGCTCAGCAATCTGTCTGGCAATCGTGCTGTTGCCGCACCGCTCGACCACGACTCGTCGGACCATATCATCAGCGAACACGACACTCAAGAACTTCTTCATGTACGTAAGCTCGAAACGGTCTTTTTGGTTGGTGTGCTGGTTCTTGATGATCTTGTTGAACCGCTCAAAGCTGAATACCCACATGTTATAGCAGCTGCCAAAATTGAGTACCATGTCGCGAAGGTGAACATGCAAGTGCATATTTGGCGTGACTTGATCTCTAGAGTACAATCTTGAAAAGTCGCGGCCAAATTTGAGCAGCAGTTGGTGGGCTTCCTCGTTTTCGGCGATGGTGATGGATGGCTTACAGAGGAGACGTGCTGCCGCGACAAAGAGCAACCAGTGTGTCATCTTTTCTCCTAGCAATCTTCCCTTCAACAACGACGGCGAGAGTGCAACAGTCCACGACCTCCATTCATCCGACGTCATATCAGCAAATCCAGTCGCAATACAGCCGCGAGCGATGCTGTATGATGGGGGCACCACCATCTTTTCAAGGCAACTCTCCATATCGGTCAAATGCTCCTTGGTCAAGGTTCCGTCATCTTTCCATATGGTGGCCATGCGCTCGGCTGTCCCGCAGAACATGTTGTGCATACAGTCGACTATTGTCTGCGAAACAGGATCAAAGTAAGACGATGCAACTCGGACCAGCGTGTTCCATTTGACTTCTCCAACTGTGTCCTTTCAGTAGCCGTTTTTGCTGCCTTCCAAGCTTTTGCGTCTGCCAAGTTCTTTGCCTTTGTCCGCAATCTCCAAGGAAAGTCAAAGTTGGAGTAATCGCGCAGCCTTGGATTCTCTGCTTGCGATGGCCAGGAAATGTCGCAATGGTTACATCCGTAGAATGAGTTTGGACCTGTAAAGCCAGAAACCTTTCTTGAAGCCGGTATGTCCGATGCTACGAACAATAGAGCTGCTCGCACTTTGACCAAGGAGCCGTCATCAATAACCATATCTTTGCCATGATATAAATGTAACAGATCGTCGACCATTGGACGCAGGAAATTATTGATTTGCTCTATCAGTATAAAAAGGAAAGGGAGTCAGAATCACACATGCGAGACTCCAGAATCAACGAGCAAAAAGATAAGCAACAGTATAATCGAAATGGTACCTTTGGAGCTTTCGTGGGGTCCTGGTGCTATACCGACTAATATGACATTTGATGACTTGAATCGTTCAGATCTTGGCAGGTTATTGATTGTCATATACAGGGCACCGACAGAATACGAAGTCTGCTTATCGAATGACTGGAACCAATCGACATTGAGCGTCAACATAAGTGAGTGTTGATTTCCGACACGTCCAACGAATGATACAGGGTTTTCTGCCGTGGATTCTGGCGCCATTATCGACCACCATTTGCGACCATCGTATACATCATCCAAAGAATTTGGTCGTGAGGTTCGGTTCCTCCAGTGCTGGAGTTTTTCGCCGAATCCTGGTCTACGCATCATAATTGCAAGGCTTGCTGACACAGGATGATACGCATACACTTTGGGAGGTACAAGGTTTCTGTTTCTCAAATGAAACAAGTTCATGCCGCATGGGCTCGGTGTGCTGTCATTGGATGGTGTGGGAACTTCTGGAACGAGCATTTCAAGTCGGTAGGTATATGTTCATTGGGATAGAGGCATTGGCAGCTGGGACATATAACGATTGCTTGACCGCAATCCAAGAGCTCGTTAAGACCGGATAAGCGGCGTACAGTAGCCATTGACCGTGGGATACTGATTGGAATGTAGAGACCCGCAAAAACGACAGATAGAAAATGGAGGAGCAGCTCACCACCAGCCCTGCTCAAATAGCGATCTTGGAACAAGGCCAGGAAAAGGTAAAACATGATAATGAAGTCGGATGGTCGTGTAATATCTGTGTAGAACATCGTGTATGAGATACTAATAATTTGAATTTCGTGCTACTATCTTTAGTTTATACGAGAACATAAATTTACCATCGGTGTTTTCGTCCTCTTCTCCCTCAACAGTAATGTCGAATGTCGAAACTGATGGTGGCGGTTGCAGCAAGTCAATCGTGCTTGTAGCTTGGCCGCTGGTCTCACTCAAGCTTGAATCGAGCTCCATTGGTGTGGCTAATGGGTCAAATGGCAATAACGTTAATGGTCTGATCGTCGATACTAGCACCGAACAACCGAAGACGTTCCCACTCTGAAGACAAATGGCAACTTACAACTTTCGCCGGTGCTTGGCTGATCCGAATAGAGTAGCTGGAGGTTTGAACGACCTTCGCGCCGTGAAGAAACTAGAAGGATGGCCATTTATGTATTAGGAACCATACAACAATATATACACAACAACATATACAGCAATATATATACGACAACATACACTTGGCTATTCCATGGTCGTGACGATGGCGACGTTCTGTTCGTGCTGACACAAGCTTACAGTGCGAGTTGTTTGAAACGAAACAACTGTCGCAATGACACAGTACGGCTCTGTTTGGATCCAGTGTAAGTGATGGAAGCGTGGGGGGAGTTGACATAATGAAGGTACTTGAAAAAAAATGGTTATTCGATCCAAAGACTTATTTTATCCAGCTTATATATAGTCGAAGCAGAAAACTTATGCAGAAAGTACTCGGAAGCTATTATTGCTTTGGACTTTGGACGGATGAGGATGCTAATTGTTGGAAATGCACAGCAATGCCGGTGTGGATGTGTAGTCATTTTTGGTAAATGCTACTATGCAGGTAGAGTAAACACCGCTGTTTCTGAAGTGCGTTTAATTTTTCACGGCCATCTTCATGTAGAACAGTAAGTTACAGATGAATTTTTTGCAGGTACAATTATCTTACACAGCTACCAGAGGGTAACAACATTTTTTTCGTGAAAGAATGAAATAAAAAACAGCTGCTCACAACTGGATTGATAGTGTTTTCTTACTATAATGTGATGGCGCGGATCGATAAAAAAACCAGGATGTGCATATCCCACGTCCCATTGTGTAATGGTAGCTGCATGACGCTTACAGCAGCGAACGAAAAGAATAGGAAATGCACATGCACGAACAAGGCTTTGACCTAGTTGATATATATTACAGCGGGCAGCATCTGGATTTGGTAACTTTGTCTATGCATGTTTTTTTTCTCCCGCACAATGAGATATGTATACTTTTGCCTTCAATACGACGGATGATAAATGATGGGTAATATACAGCGGACAGCATCTCGATTTGGTATTGTTTCTTTGCATGTTTTATCGTTGTCCCTACACTAACATATCCTATCTTTCTTATGCATGACTTTG